GGTGGTGTCACCACCTTGCACCTCTGCTTTGCAGGGTTTGGAAATTCCAACCTGACTGCAACTTGACGGCAGGCGAATAATTCTCTGTGTCTACTCGGGGCAGGAGAATCCTGAAAATGGAAAAAGAGATACTTCTTCTCCTCCCTGCCATCGCCCTTACCTCCTCCAACCAGAGTGGCGTGGCACTTTCGTCCTCCAGCCAAAAGCGACCAGTCCAGACCTCAGCCTCGCTTTACGCCACTGGTGGGCCACGAGGTTTCTCTCCGCTCTTGCACCTGCTCGATCCGTAGCACAGGCATTGCCCGTGCTCCCGTCAACCTCGCGCCTTGTTTCTCCTCCACGTTGGTAGAGACCGAAAGAAGGCGTAAGTGCCGCACGCGGCGAGGCAAACACCATCTCCGAACATCCACCAACCGACTTCTGAGACTAGCTATCTGCGACCAACTAACCGCGGCTAGTTACCATCTGCGACCTCACCTGATCACACGCCATGGCCTACTCAACGCGCTTCGCCGTTCTCACAGTCGCCGCGCTCGTCGCTCTCCTCCCCGCGCACGCGGCGCCCGCCGCGCCGCTCTGCGCGCTGACGGGGCTTCCGCCGACGAAGCCCGTCGTGCCGCCGTCGCGGTGCCCCGCCGCGGCGCAGCTGTCGTGCTGCACGGACTGCTCGGACACGGGTCTGGCGCTGCAGCTGGTGTCGTCGAACCTCGCGGAAGTCGTCAACCAGATCGATCCCTCGCTTGGCGGCTTCATCGATGCAGGTCTCACGGTAGGCCTTCCTTCGAAGCTCCTAAAAAAAAAACGAAGCGCGTCAAGATTATATAATCTGGCGCAAGTCGTCAACTAGATAAACCCTCCCTCGGCTGTTTTATCGATGCGGGTCTCATGGTAGGCTTTTCATTCCGCTTGCAGCATTGATCGTGTTCGTTTGGATCTGAGATTGTTAAGTCTTTGCTAGCGGAAACTCGGCGGCTTCACCGATGCTTGTCTCATGGTAGGCGTTCCTTTTTGCATGAATGATATAGTTGTGACAGTGTGAAGCCGTCGCGAACCGCGGTAGACCATCTGCATTCAGCATTTGTCGTGAGTGTTCAGATCCGAGAGTGCGAAGTCACCGCGAACCGAAAACGAACCGCGCGAAGCCCGCATTCCGCCGCCGGGGCGTTTCGCCGCTGGGGGTTCTGCCGCTGCGGTACCCACCCGCACAACCTGGTTCAATAAAATTCGTGCTCCGCGAGAGTGCTTCTATAATAGAAAGTGGTATTCGACGAGACGCAATAAATGTAGAACAATGCTGAGTAAAAACAGGCAAACCTCGGTTGCCGTTGTAAAAGCGTTTCGTCCCTTCCCCCGTCATGGATGGACGTAAATGGATGTGTACCTCTCTCCCTCCCTCCCTCCCCCCTGATTCCTCTCCCTCCCGCTCCTCCTCCGTTCTCCGCTCACACCCTGCGCTCCCGGCATTTTCACTCTCCCCCTCCGCCAGGTGTGCGAAGCGTTCAAGCCGTACCCCAAGTGCATGCTGATGATCGAGGAGATTGTGTGCGGCACCACGTGCAACCCAGGCGAGTGCTGCCGCATCGCATCGTCTCGCTGTCCTGCCATATTGCGGTGTCTTTTTTCCTTCTTTCTTTCCTTGTTGTATGAAACGATTATTTTGAAGCGTCACAAAATAATCCAGGCAAGAGATTTCCTCAGAATGTTCCGTCACTAGCGTGCTATTTGCGAGTGATGACTATTAGTGCACTTTTTCTTTGCAGTTAATGATACGAAGTCCGCACTTTGTATGTTTTATTCTTCTCTCTCTCTCTGCAGATTCGGGAAGCTACGTTAAAAAGTCTCCGACGGGGGAAATCATATTGACGGTCTGCCCGGAATTTGCGCAAGCGACCTACGATTCGTGCAAGGACGTCGAAAGTAAGACCCCTCTCAGAAATCCGCGGGTTGAAAGAGTATCGAGTCGAGTCAAAAGTCACCTGGCTGTCTGCTCGGAATATTTGTTCAGGGGCGTCGAAAGTAAGACCTCTGAGTAATCCGCGCGTCGCATGCCACGCGGTTCGATTTCAGCGTACTTGAAATCGACGGCATTTTTTATCAGCGGCACCTGTACTCGCGCAAGTTTCCGGTTTCTCGCTTCCCTCTGCCCGCAGAGCGCGGTAAAACAAACCAACCAACGGGCCATGAACCAAATATATAGCTGTCCAGCGCTGTCAGAATCGCGATTGTCCTTCAGCGACCAGCATGCTCATCTCCACCGTCCATTGAATCGGCCACCTCATGTTGCAAATAAATGTGAAGCAATCCGTCGGACATGATGAGCCTCTGGTGGTTACCACTCAAGGTCGCGACCGTCGCCAGTGTCGCGGCCTCCCTCCATCGCGTCCTTACTCACCGGTCTAGTCTCCTGGCCCAAATCTCTCCCTCTGCCCAATCAGGAGCTTCGTGCTGAACAAGGTGACTTTTGGGTTGACTCAAAAGCCATCTGCGCGCAAAACATGCACATCCAAGACGTGATCTATGATCCTCCCTCGCGTCCATGTTCAGCTTATGTCATCTTCAACTTTCCATTCCTACTCCCCTCTGGCAGTCGGTAGCTTAGCGCGCAACATGCTATCCCTAGCGCAGAGGCCATAATGTCTACTGTTGTATCCAACGCCGCTGCCTCACCCTTTCGAGTTCCCTTCTTTCCTGTTTCCCGCTTGCAGTCAATGGCTTCGCGCTCAACCTAATCATCCCAACCGCGGAGGCCATGATGACCATGGTCGTATCCAATGTCATTGCAGTCATGGGTGTTAAGAACTTCAACATTTCCGTCGCTCCTGTGAGTCTTCGCCCTTGCTCTCTTGAACATGTGGAGTCTTAGTTTGCATGGTGTTTCTCGTCATCTCCGCTCCAATGTCGTTGCAGTTAGGAGAGTCCAGAGATTCAGCATCACCATCGCTCCTGTGAGTCGTCCTTTCTCCTTGTCCTTCCTCCCTAGCACATGTGGTCTTAGTGTTTGTGCTGTTTTTGGTTGTTGCCAAAGCTGTCGTGGTCATGGGGTGTTGAGAACTTAGGGTTATGGGGTCTCTTCGTAGCTCCTGTGAGTGCTTGGACCCCTCAACTCACTGCATTTCTGCCTATCACTGCATCATCTGATTTTCAACCACCTGGCCTTGCATACTACATTTTACATGCCTAACCACATACAAACTCTACTGTACTTAACAATGACTTGCTCGATCCTGTCTTGTTCCGCCTTCCTACCCCGCACCACCAGAGCACATGCTTCACAGGAGCCGCGGCCACGCCACCCTACACGCCCTGCTGTGACCCCCTCGTTGTCGACCCCAAGTGCCCTGCGGGGGCAGTGGACACAGTGAAGTACGCGCCCTACATCAACCGCAACATTGATTCTGCCGCCTGCATGGGGGTTGCACCCCAGCCCGCCCCCGGCCCTTCCACCTCCACTCCTCCCGCGCCTGGTCCCGCTCCGCCTACTGCTGCTCCGCCTACTGCCGCTCCACCTACTGCCGCTCCGCCTACTGCCGCTCCGCCTACTGCCGCTCCGCCTACTGCCGCTCCGCCTTCCGCTGTTCCGCCTACTCCTGCTGCGCCTGCACCCACTGCAGGAGGCCCCCCACCTTCTCCCCAAGCGCCAGGAGTTGCCCCTAGCACCCCTCCTGCCTCGCCTGCAAGCCCCTCGCCCCCTCCCCCTCCTCCCAAGTCCGGGTCTGGTTCCGCTGCTTCGGTGATGTCAGTGGTGGCTCTGGCAGTTGGCGCTGCAGTGTTCGTGTAACGAGGGGTTGGTACACTAGTGTTGATCCTCGTTACGAAGGTGATTCGGGAAGGACTTTCGGCATTGAGGGAGTTCTGTCTGGTTCAGTGGCAGGGGTTGTGTACACAACCAGGTTGATGGTTGTTGAAGGTTGGCTAATTTTTTTATAAACTCAGAAGTTCTTCACCACTTCAAGATCACATTTGGACAAAAAGTAGATGGTGCAAATAATTGACGTTGCAAATAATAACCCAGGTGGTTACCTGAACTCTGAGAAGGGTTTGTCAGGTCTTTGAAACTGTTTCTCATTCCTGGTGGCATTGGACTGCAATCCATTTTATAAGGACTCTGGAGGTACACTCCGTATGTTCAGTGAACTCTCTTCTACACATCACCAGGTTTCTTGAGCTCAGCAAGAAATATTATATTGGCATGAGATAACTACTATTGGGGGGCAGGGTTTCGCTGTGCGGCTGGCGAATAATTGTATTGGCACGAAATGTCCGATTTTTTCGCGAGAAGTGTCGTGTATGTTCGAATTTTGCAGGCGAAGCTTTTTTTGCTTGCGCGAATCGTTCTGCGAGTCCCTCCGTTGCACTCAACGAGCAGCCCAAACCAGGAAATCGGCGACGGCATATTTTTTCGCATGTCACTTCGTTGGGTCGCGATTTTCTTCGCGAGAGGTCACGAAGGACGAGGAGCGTGGGATTTGGGGGAAGCTCAGGGCCCTGTTGTGTTGCCGCACTTGTGACGGAGAGAAAGATAGTCGTGACGGAGCCCAGTTGGCGAACAACCTGAATCCAGCGCAGTCACTTCACGGACGGTGGCGGGACGGATCATGTTGGCCGGCCGCCGGTCCAGGCAAATCCCAGCTGGCCGACGTCGCAACGTCGCTTTAAAATGCCCAGGGAGGCAATGTCCGGCTGTCAGATCTGAGGAAAATTTATGACACCTACAGTACGAGCAGTCTCTGCAGAGACATTCCGATTTCCGAAATGACACCAGAATGCCTTTCCGGAATGGAAGAGGCATTCCCGTGCTCCCGTGAGCCTCGAACCCTTATTTCTCCCTCACGCCAGTATTGAGGTCGACGAAAGCAGGTGTGTATACGTTCGTAAGTAGATACTGGGTAACTAGTAAGCGGAACTATTCGAAGTTTGAAACTCCGAACTTCCGCCAAACACGCAGTCCGGCTAAAGTGCCTCCGACCTGATCTCGCTAGCCTGGCCAGACCTCATTCGCCATGGCCCACTCAACGCGCTTCGCTGTTCTCGCAGTCGCCGCGCTCCTCCTCGCGCTGCTCCCCGAGCGGCATGCGGCGCCCGCAGCCGCCGATCTCTGCGCGCTCTCGGGCCTTCCGCCGAAGAAGCCCGTCGTTCCGCCGCACCGATGCCCCGCGGCGGCGGAGCTGTCATGCTGCGCGGACTGCGCGGACACGAATCGCGCGCTGCAGCTCGTGTCGTCGACCCTCGACGATGTCGCGCAACGGATCGACCCCAATATCCCCTGCAGCGGCATAATAGATCTCACCCCTATGGTACGCGGCTTTCCCCGCGTTCCGCTGCTGCGGGGGGGTTCCGGCGCTGCAGCGGTTCCCCACCTGCGGGTCTTGGTTCAATCTGAACCGTACATCGCGACCGCACCTCTGCAGCTGGATCTGTCAGAGAATGTCAGCAATTTACGACACCCATCTCCACATAATTTTTCAGCACCGGGTGCTGGGGAGGAAGGTGGGGGGAGGGACGGGGGGTTGCAACCCTAGTAAGGCTGCATTGACCCACATGCACATGGGTTCCAATGTTCCAATGCATGTGGGTCGATGTAACCTTACTAGGGTTGCAACCCCCCCTCCCTCCCCCCACCCTCCTCCCCATCTCCCCCCCTCCCCACCTCCCCCCCAATCTCCTCCTCCCTCCCTCGCTCCACCCACCCAGCCCTCTCCCACCCCCCTCTTTCCCCCCATTCGGCACTTTCCTCCGCGTCCCGTCAGGTGTGCGACGCGTTTCAGCCGTACCCCCAGTGCATGCTCATGATTGAAAAGATAATCTGCGGCGCCACGTGCAACCCAGGCGAGTGTTGCTTCATCGCATCGCGGTTAATGAGATGTTGTACAAATCAGTGCGAAGCATTTTGAAGCCACATAAAGGATCATCTGCGGCGCCAGGTGCAACCCAGGCGAGTGCTGCTTCTCTTCGTCACTTCGCATCGCTGCCTCTTTCTGTCGCATTATTGATTTTCCTAGTATTTTGTTTTGAGCAGTTTCAGAACCTATCAGATGGGTCCTTCTTCAGGGAGTATTTTGTTGCTGGAAATGCGCAGCCACATTGGCCACATTAACATTTCTTTTGGCTTTGTTCCTTTGCAGATTCAGGAACCTACGTAGTGAAGAAGGGGGGAGAGATCAGTATGACTGTCTGCCAGGAATTCGCGAATGCCGCCTACAAAGCATGCAAGGACATCGAAAGTAAGACCGAACCCGTCCCCTCTCACATCATTCTGCCCCGTTCCCTCTCACATCATTCTGCCCCGTTCCCTCTCACATCATTCTGCCCCGTTCCCTCTCACATCATTCTGCCCCGTTCCCTCTCACATCATAAAGACCGTTCCCGTTACCTCGAGGTCTTGCAGGGTCGAGAATTCTCAAAAGCACCCTGCAACATCGAGGTCTTGCCCGTGTCCCTGTTCCCTCTCATGCCATTCTGCCCCTCTTCCCACACAGATCGTTTATCCCATACTTGCCTTGGCCCCTCTTTCCTTCTTCCCCTGGTTCCCTCTCTCCTTGCAGTCCAGGGCGTGGCAATGAATCAGCTCATCCCCGATGTTCAAAACATGATGGTCTATGTGACCAACTACTATGCAAATTTCATGGGTATTGAGAACTTCAGCATCGCCATCGGTACCGTGAGTGCTGCTTACTCCTTATCGTCTTGCTGCATGTCTTCTTTTCATTGCATTTCTGCATTTCACTGCATCACCCGTTTGAGTAAACATCGAGCTTGCTTGTGTAATGTAACGCATCGTGGGTAACGGTTACAGGCAGCCGCAGTTTTCCATACTCCAATCCCGAATGATCTACTGTACCCCTTTTTCTTGCCACAGCGACCATGCCTCATGGGAGCCGCAGCCGCGCCAACCTACACCCCCTGCTGCGATCCCCTCGCCGTCGACCCCAAGTGTCCCCCGGGGGCTGTTGACAAAGTCGCGTACGCGCCTCTACATCAACCGCACCATTGATTCTGCCACCTGCATGTCGGGTGCTCCCCAGCCTGCCCCTGCCCCGTCCCCTCCTCGGGACGCTCCTGCTCCCCCTGCGCCTGGAGCTGCTGCGCCTGCACCCTCTCTGATTTCTCCGGGTGCGCCTGCTCCCGCAGTGATTGCTCCTGGTGCGCCGGCTCCTGCTCCGCCTGCACCCACTGCAGGTGTGCCAGGAGCGCCCAGTCCGCCTGCCTCGCCTAGCCCCACGCCTGCGAGCCCCTCATTCCCTCCCCCTCCGCCCAAGGCTGGGGCTGGTTCCGCTGCTTCGGTGATGTCGTTGGTGGCTCTGGCGGTTGGCGCTGCAGTGTTTGTGTAATGGGGGGTTGGTAGACAAGAGTTGGCCCTTGTAACGAAGGTGATTCGGGGAGGACTTGTGGCACTTGTGGATGGATTGTCTGGTTCAGTGGCACGGATGGGTTGATGGTTGTTGGGTGCCATCTGGGTGCCATAAGGTAGGCTTATCAATTATCAACACAAAAGTTATTTTACCACTTCCAAGCTGCCATCATTTAGGCATACGGTGGATGGTGCAGGGGCTTTCAATTAAGCCCTAAACCCTAAACTCTCAAAAGGGTTGACTAGGTCTTTGAAACTGCTTGCCTACGTCTTGGAATCATTAAGTGTAAAATCTTGGTAGCAAGATAGGGACGACCATATGCACGAGATAATTTCTGTACCTTTTGAGTAAGGTAGGCTCAGTAATGTGCAGCCGAAAATGCTAGTAAGGGGTCGGGTTTCATCGTGCTGCTGGCGAAATTTCCTATCCCTCGCGATGGCCTAATTCGTGCACGTGCGATCGTGTAGGCGAACCAAATGTCGCCGGCGCGAATTTGTTCCGCGAGTTTCTCTGTTACTCACGTGTGTCTGGATCAATGAGGACCGATAGCAGAAAACCGCCCTCTGCCAGATACTTTCGCATTGCAATTCGCCGGGTCGCGAATTTTCTCGCGAGGGGTGACTACCACAATTGTGGGATTTGGCTGGGTGTTCAGGCAGGACAGGGAGGAGCGTCATTAGTCGCAAGTAATTTAGTCTCCTCCTTAGTCCTGAACCACCCCCGACGGTGGCGGGACCGGCGTTGGCGGAACGGCCCTGGGAAGTCCCATGGGTACTCTTTGCTATCACAGCTGCCTCTGTTCGTGACACAGGCATTTATCGTACTCCCGTTAACCTCACGCCTTTGTTTCTCATCCACGTCAGTAGGTGTGTGTGCCGTACGTCCTTGGATTTTGAATATAAAAGCCGAACAATATTAAGTTTAAAACTCCGAGCTTCCACCAAACTGGCAGTCCGCAGCTAGTAAGCGTCTGCGACCTGACCAGCTGACCTTATTCGCCATGGCCCACTCAACGCGCTTCGCAGTTCTCGCCTTCGCCACGCTCCTCCTCGCGCTAGTCCCCGCGCATGCGGCGCCCGCCGCCGCCGCCGCCGCCGCCGCCCCGCGCTGCGCGCTCACGGGGCTTGCGCCGAAGAAGCCCGTCGTTCCGCCGCACCGGTGCCCTGCGGCGGCGGAGCTGTCGTGCTGCGCGGACTGCGTGGACACGAATCAAGCGCTGCAGTTCGTCTCGTCAACCCTTGACGATCTTGGTCAAATGATGAACACCTGGGATCTCTTTGGCGGCACCGCGCGGGTACGCTTAAATACATCTCAGCCCCATGGTACGTTTTCCCCGCGGCGGCGTTCCGCTGCTGCGGGGTTCCGCCGCGGTCCCCCATCCACGGGTCTTGGTTCAATCGGAACCGTACATCTTAATGCCGGTACAGTCAGAAATGTTATGCATTCTATCGAATCGAACACTACAGAGGCTGGCTGTCAGAAAAGTGCCCAGGGCAATGCAGCCTTAGGGTTTCCAACGTTTTCCAATGCTAGAAAAGTTTGTTCGTAACACCCACCTCCGCCAGTGCAAAGGTTTGGTTTCCAAACCAAAGTTGCTTTTGACTTGGTCAGTGCAGCCTTAGAGTGTTACAATCGAAGGGTTCCTATGTTAGAGTTGACTCGGTCAATGCAGCCTCAGGGTGGCAAAGGACTAGCTGCAGCATTGTGCCAGACTCTCTGCTTCAGAACTCCCCTCAGTTTCCATCTTACCCGCCTCCCCTGCCCAACCCCCTCCTCCCCATCTCTCCGTCCGCCTCACAGTCTCCTCACACCCTATCCTCGCTCCACACACCCCCTCCCTTCCCCCCATTCGTCCTTTTCCTCCGCGTGCCGCCAGGTGTGCGATGCGCTTCAGCCATACCCCCAGTGCATGCTCATGATCGAACGGATCATCTGCGGCGCCACGTGCAACCCAGGCGAGTGCTAAATGCATGCTGCTGATGACACGCCAATGCACGCCAAGTCCTTCAGCCGTACCCCCCCAAGTCCATGCTCACGATCGAACGGATCATCTGCGGCGCCACGTGCAACCCAGGCGAGTGCTGCTTCTCTCTTTTGGCACTCATCCATCGCTGCCCTTTCTTTTTACCCCCAACCCAAGAGAGGCACTCTTCTGGGTTTTGGCACTTAAGTGGTTTGTTTGAGGAGTTTCAGGGCAACCCAGAAGAGTGCCTCACTTGGGGAAAAAAAAAGGGCAGCGGTGGATGAGTGCCAAAAGAGAGACGGATGCATGAAGAGTTTCAGGGCAACCCATAAGAGTGCCTCTTCGTTTTGTCTTTATGACATGCATTGGAATGATATCGGCATGCATTCGCATGCCATCAGCATGCATTTAGCATGTACTGGCACGGCCACATTGACATGCATTTAGAGAGCGTGCTGTTATGAATGCATGCTTGTATTTTTTCGCGGCATGTTGATGCCAAATGCCACATCACAAATTAATAAGTAAGAGCAATATCATTATAATTGATCCAACTTGTTTTTGGATTTGTTGCTTCACAGATTCAGGAAGTTACATTGTGAAGACGGATTTAGAAATCATCATGACGCTCTGCCCGGAATTCGCAAATGCCGTCTTCGAAGCATGCAATGACGTCGAAAGTAAGTCACCGTTCAAATCTGTCAAGTCTTGCTGAAACCTACTCCTATGCAAGTGCTGCTCACTGGAAGAATATCCGAAGATCTGCTGACACCGTTTAAAGTTCTCAAATCTTGCAACACCCACTGAACCGTGTTTTGAGTGTCACTGCCTTATTCGCATCCTTCTATTCTTCCCGTTCTCCTCCCCGTCCCTGTACCCATTCAGATCGTATCATTCTACCCATACTTCCCTTCGCCCCTTCATCCTTCTCCTCTTGCAGCGAAGAGCCAGCTCATCCTCGACGTGTTTTAAGTCGACTTGAAACACGACTCTTTCCTTCTTCCCCTGCTTCCTTCTCCCCTTGCAGTCCAGGGCGGTCTGATATACCAGTTCTACCCGGACGTTCAAAGCTGGTTTTTGAGAATTCTCAAAGAACAGCACGCATCACACGGACTATGTGGCTCTCTACGCTTCCAATTTCATGGGCGTCGGGAAATGAGACGTCGCAAAACGTCCCCTGCTCCCTGGTTCAAAACGTCCAATTTCTCCCACTTGCCCTGCTTCCTTCTCCCCTCCCCTTGCAGTCCAGGGCGGTCTGATATACCAGTTCTACCCCGACGTTCAAAGCCTGATGGACTATGTGGCTCTCTACGCCTCGAATTTCGCCTATTTGATGACTCTTGAATATCAGACCTTCAATATCACCATCGCTCCTGTGAGTGCTTTGCTTACTCTCTATTTTGAGCCGCCTCACTGCATAGCCTGATGGGATGGTCTATGCAGCGTACTACGCTTCAAATTCCCGTGATCCGAGCTCCACTGATGACGGCGGAGTGGTGTGATCCCTGTGAGCTCACAGGAGCGATGTTGATACGGATCGCTCCGTTTCAATATCAACATCGCTCCTGTGAGTGCTTACTCTCTGTTTTGAGGCACTTCGAATTCCCGTGATCCGAGCTCCACTAATCACAGCGGAGCGGATGTGATCCTGCGAGCAAATACCATATGTCCTGTGCGTGCTTACTCCTCATTGTCTTGCTGCATGTCTGCTTTTATCTTCAAGCTTGCTTGTGTCGTGTGTTATGTAGCGTGCCGTGGGTAACGGTGACTGACAGCCATATGAGTTTGCAATGGAAGTGGTTATTCAGTGGTTAAGGGTTTGCAGTTCATGCCAGAACATTGCAACGGGCCTTACTTTGCAACATGGTCCAATCCCTTGCAGTATCTAAATCGGTGACTTTCGAGTCGACTCAAAAGTCCCTTGCAGTAACGAAATCCTTTTTTTGTTCACTCTAGCCAGTTCAGTTTCCCATAATACAACAACCCCTCATTCTTCACTGTACTCCCTTCTCTTGCCACAGCGTGCATGCTTTTCGGGAGCCGCGGCCGCACAAACCTACAGACTCTGTCTGTACTTCACCGTGACTTCTCATTCCGCTTTCCCTGTTCCACATCACCAGGGTGCATGCTTCTCGGGAGCCACGGCCGCACAAACCTTCAGACTCTGTCTGTACTTAACCGTGACTTCTCATTCCGCTTTCCCTGCTCCACATCACCAGGGTGCATGCTTCTCGGGAGCCACGGCCGCACAAACCTTCAGACTCTGTCTGTACTTAACCGTGACTTCTCATTCCGCTTTCCCTGCTCCACATCACCAGGGTGCATGCTTCTCGGGAGCCACGGCCGCACAAACCTTCAGACTCTGTCTGTACTTAACCGTGACTTCTCATTCCGCTTTCCCTGCTCCACATCACCAGGGTGCATGCTTCTCGGGAGCCACGGCCGCACAAACCTTCAGACTCTGTCTGTACTTAACCGTGACTTCTCATTCCGCTTTCCCTGCTCTACATCACCAGGGTGCATGCTTCTCGGGAGCCACGGCCGCACAAACCTTCAGACTCTGTCTGTACTTAACCGTGACTTCTCATTCCGCTTTCCCTGCTCCACATCACCAGGGTGCATGCTTCTCGGGAGCCACGGCCGCACAAACCTTCAGACTCTGTCTGTACTTAACCTTGACTTCTCATTCCGCTTTCCCTGCTCTACATCACCAGGGTGCAGGCTTCTCGGGAGCCACGGCCGCACAAACCTTCAGACTCTGTCTGTACTTAACCGTGACTTCTCATTCCGCTTTCCCTGCTCCACATCACCAGGGTGCATGCTTCTCGGGAGCCACGACCGCACAAATCTTCAGACTCTGTCTGTACTTAACCGTGACTTCTCATTCCGCTTTCCCTGCTCCACATCACCAGGGTGCATGCTTCTCGGGAGCCACGGCCGCACAAACCTTCAGACTCTGTCTGTACTTAACCTTGACTTCTCATTCCGCTTTCCCTGCTCCACATCACCAGGGTGCATGCTTCTCGGGAGCCACGGCCGCACAAATCTTCAGACTCTGTCTGTACTTAACCGTGACTTCTCATTCCGCTTTCCCTGCTCCACATCACCAGGGTGCATGCTTCTCGGGAGCCACGGCCGCACAAACCTTCAGACTCTGTCTGTACTTAACTGTGACTTCTCATTCCGCTTTCCCTGCTCCGCGTCACCAGGGTGCATGCTTCTCGGGAGCCGCAGCCGCGCCAACCTACACCCCCTGCTGCGACCCCCTCACCGTCGACCCCAAATGTCCCCGCGGCGCTGTTGACAAAGTCAAGTACGCGCATTACATCAACCGCACCATCAACTCCACCGCCTGTAAGGCCGCTGCGCCCCAGACGACTCCCCTGCCTACTACCGCCACTGCTCCTGCGCCTGCTGCTCCTGCGCCCGCTGCTCCCGCGCCTGCTTCCCCTGCGCCTGCTCCCACTGCTAGAACTCTTCCGGCTTCCCCTAACCCAACGCCTGCGACTCTCTTGTCCCCTCCCCCTCCGCCCAAGTCTGGGGCTGTTTCCGCCGCTTCGCTGATGTCAGTGGTGGCTCTTGTGGTTGGCGCGGCAGCAGTGATCGCGTAAATGAAGGTATGGTGGAGCAGTTCTGGTTCTCGTAACAAAAGGTGGTTCAGCGAATCCTTAAATGGAGGATGGAGTTTTGCTCTCTCCTTCAGCATGGATGGGTATGCAATGCAACCAGTGGTGGTTGTTAAACGTTGGGTTATGATTTATTTATTGTTTCTGCATACCATATACGGTATGCAGTGTCCTCAATTGTGCATATACGGTATGGTGCAAGGTTTAGGGTGAAATTGATTGAATGTGAATGAGCACCTTATGAGCTTGTAATTAGATTCATACACTGCACTAAATCTTAGATTTCTCTGCAATAATGATGGTCTTTAGCTGTATAGCTGTAATGTTGAGACTAAATCCTGTTCTGTATTATCATGCAGACGATGTATAAAGGTCACAATCACAAGACATCAGAGTAATACTAAAGGGTATAAAGCAACAACTCCCAGCGGTATACAGTACTTGGATCGAGGTTTCCCCTCAGCTCGTTTCAGACGGTTCACTGCCAGGCGTTTGTTTCAGGCGTCCGTCAAGCATCGAAGAATAGTTTCAGGATTTCCGTCCTATTCGGCCGGTTTCCGTCCTCCATTCCCCCAACATTCAGTTATAGTCGTAGTTGAGCGATACATTGGATTCCGTTCAGGGTTCGTTTCAAGGGTTTTCAGGAATCCTCAGTTCTATTTAGTGATTCCAGGTTCCTTCCGGCGTCTGTCTGCAAGCCGCCATGCCAGGCGCGGGAAGCGGCGGGGGAGGGGGAGGGGGAGGGGGAGGGCTGCGCGTGAGCACGCTGAACGGCGTGAAGGTGTACAACGTGTCGGGCGGCAAGGCCGTGCCCGAGTGGATTTCGGACAAGAAAAAGCGCGCTCTCAGGAAGGACGAAGGTACAGGATTAGGGTTGGGGTTTCGATCGTATGAGGGTAACGGTTGCGAACGGATTAGGGTTAGGGTTACGAAGAAGTTAGGGTTCAGCTAACGGCCACGGCCGTGCACGAGTGGATCCAAGTCGAAACGCGCGCCCAGGAAGGTCGAAGGTACAGGATCAGGGTCAAGGTTTCGAAGGGACGAGGGTTTGAGTTTGAACGGGTACGGGTTTAGGGTTTCAGTTTCCTCCAGCGCATCGATCTCATTCGGGAGCTTGAGTTACTTTTAAAATTCTCAGAGGTGAGAATCTGCAAAAGTGCCTTCTGGGAAATTTCAAAATCGAAAGGTTACGGGTTTCGGGTTTAATTTTCCTCCAGCGCATCGAGCTCATTCGGGAGCTTGAGTTCAAAGTCGCCTCCACGCGAATCAAGGCGTCCTTTAGAGAGTCGCCTCATAAGCCAGCCACGTCATGTGCGCACACGCAAGCATGCGTTCTCATCTCACCGTGTTTTCCGTCTTTGTCATGTGTGCGTGTGCACGCGCGTGTGCCTCTCTCTCTCTCCCTTCCCCGGACTACCTGCGGCGCATCGAGCTCATTCAGGACCTCGAGTTCAAAGTCGCCTCCATGCGGATCAAGGCATTCTTAATGCGCACACACGTTCATCCATGCGTCGTGCTACGCCATCTCTCCTCTCTTTGTCGTCTGTGTATGTGCCTCTCTCTCTCTCGCCTCCCCAGACTACCTGCGGCGCATCGAGCTCATTCAGGACCTCGAGTTCAAAGTCGCCTCCACGCGGATCAAGGCGTCCCGTGACGGAAAATACCTCCTCGCTTCAGGTGCGCTCGAGCGGTTGAATAGTTACAACAGAATCGATTTCTGAGTCGACTCAAATACCTCCTCGCTTCAGGTGCGCTCAACAGCTTGAATAGTCACAACTGAATCTCTTGAACGTTCTCTCTATCAGGTGCGTTTGCAAACAACGCTTCCTTGCATGAGGTGCGCTTCAGCCTTCAGTGCGCTTCACTCTCTGCCCCCCTTTCCCCTCCCCTTCCCCAGGCGTGTACCCCCCTCAGGTGCGGGTGTAAGAGCTGGCAGAGCTGTCCCTCAAGTTCGATGCCAGGCACTGCACCTAAGAAGCATGCATCCGCTCCCCTTCATTCCTCTTCCCCCCACTCCCCCCCCCCCCCTTCCCCAGGCGTGTACCCCCCTCAGGTGCGGGTGTACGAGCTGGCAGAGCTGTCCCTCAAGTTTGAGCGCAATCTGGACTCGGAAATTGTTGACTTTCAGGTACCTCTCTACTCGACCACTCACTCACTCACTTACTCACTCTCCATTTTCCGGAGATTTCGGAAAATCCTCACCAAGAGTTTGGTCTTTACTTTAAGCGTTTCAGAAGTGCAGAACCTGGACTTTCAATTTGGTGCTTACTTCCAGTGTCCTATGTGATCCATGTGGTAACCCTATGCGTAACGGTGTGACCGCCGATGCAGGTGCTCACAGACGACTACAGCAAGATTGCCTTTCTGTGTGCCGACCGCTCCGTGTGCTTCCATGCTAAGTTTGGAGCTTACTTCAAGACACGCATCCCCAGGTAAATTAGTTGGCACTTAGTTGAAAGTGTCACCTTGATACGTAGTTGAAAGCACAGTTACCCTCATCATCGGGTCCCGATCCTTGTTCATTGTTCTTGTTTGCTCATGTTCACTGTCCTCCCGCAAGAGCTATTTTTTCTCCACGTTCTCCGCGCCGCCATTCCCGTTTCACATCAGGATGGGCCGTGGATTGGCGTACGACCCAGCGTCGTGTGACCTGCTGCTTGCCGCCTCCTCAACACACCGCGCACCACCACCTACCCTCCCACGTGCTCTCGCTCCCCTCCATGCTCTCCCCCTGTGCCACTGCCTGCAACCGCAGGATGGGCCGTGGATTGGCGTACGACCCAGCATCGTGTGATCTGCTGCTTGTCGCCTCCTCAACACACCGCGCACCACCACCCCCCCTCCTGCCGGTGTGCTCTTTCCTCCCTTCTGTTCCCTCTCCTCTTCATGCTGTTTCAACCGCAGGATGGGCCGTGGATTGGCGTACGACCCAGCATCGTGTGACCTGCTGCTTGCTGCTTCCTCGCCTGAAATTTACCGGATCAACTTGGAGCAGGTATGTGCGTGCAATGCAGGAGGTGACTTTAGCCGATTGGCATAATCTCCCCATTCCCTTCCCCTCCAACCCCCTCCCTTTTCGCATCCCCTTCCCTCTCAACCACCCATCCACCCACCCACACAATCACCAACTCTCTCCTCTTCTTTCTTTTCGCAGGGTCAGTTCCAGCAGTCGCTGCAGTCGCGGTCGCCAGCAGTGAATGTGATCGGTCGCAGCCCCTCCCACGGGCTCGTTGCATGTGGAGGGGAGGACGGTGCCTTGGAGTGCTTTGACAACCGCCAGGCCTCCGCCGTGTCTCGCATTGATGCCGTTGGCGCTACTGGGAATGCCGAGCAGGTGCGAGTGAGAAGTCTTGAGTCGACTCAAAACAAAATCTTGAGTCGACTCAAAACACACTCTTGAGTCGACTCAAAACACAGCAGGTGCGAGTGAGAAGTCTCCAATGTGTTGAGCCTTCGCGCTTTCCTCTCTTCACCTTTCAACTCTTCACTCGCCTCCCTCCTCCCTCCCTCCCTCTTCCGCATACCCCCCGTCCGTTCCAGCAAGTGACGGCAGTGCGGTTTGAAGCCACGGAGGGCATGCACCTGGTCTTCGCTGCTAGATCTCCACCATTTCCTCCACTCACCTTTGAACGCTCCGTTCCTCTCTCTACTCCCGCCTCTCCGCTCCCTCCCTCTTTCTCGTACCCCCCTCTTCTCCAGCAAGTGACAGCAGTGCGATTTGAAGACACGGAGGGCATGCATTTGGCTGTCGGCACAAGCACAGGGCAGGTAGGATGGGGGTGCGGGGGTGAGGGTTGGGGTGCAGTAGTGGATTTTGGGGTCGAATAAACAGGTGCAGTAGTGGCTGTCTTCAGCCTTCTGGGTCTGAAGACACTGAGGGCATGCACCTGGCTGTCGGCACGAGCACAGGGCAGGTAGGAAGGGGGTGTGGGTTGGCGAGGGTTGGCAAGGGTTGGCTGGCAAGGGCAGATTTTTCTGCTCTCACATGTGGGAAATCCCCCGCTCATCCTTCCTAACCCCCCCTTCTTCCTCCTCGCCTCTCCCTCCTCTCCAACTCTTTCTCAAGTCCATCGTGAAAACGTTTATTTCAGTCGCTTTTTCAGGCGACTCCATCCAAACCCGTTTTTTTGCGTCGCCTCAAAAGTAGATTTGGCAGAATTTTTTAGAAAGACATACGCTTCTTTGTGGTTGCTCATGTGACCATCCCTGGCTCTTCCCTTCTCCCCCCCACCTTCGTCTCGTCCCACAGGTGTTGCTGTACGACCTTCGCTCCTCCAAGCCCTATCGGATCAAGGACCACATGTGAGTCACAGGGGAAGGTGCTTGTGGGGGAGGTGCTTCTGAGGAGGTTCTTATTGAGGGAGGTGCTTGTAAAGGTGGTGCGTGCAAAAGAAGGTGCTCCACATCCCTTCACTAGATGTCCCTACTCCCCCTTTCCTTTCCTTTCCATTCTCTCCCCGCCTTGCCCCAACAGGTACAGTACAGCAGCCCCATCCACAGCATCAAGTGGCATTGAGGCATAGCGAAATGTCTAACCCCCTCGTTCGTCCCCTCTTCCCCCTCTCCCTCCCCCGCGTTTTCCCCCTTTCCCCGGCCCCACCCTCTTCCCAACAGGTACAGCAGCCCCATCCACAGCATCAAGTGGCATTGAGGCATAGCAGGATCAACCTTTCACACCATTCCACTATAGTGCCCCTTGTCTCCCCGCCCTCTCGCCTCCTTCCCTCCAATCACAGGTACGGCAGTCCCATTCACAGCATCAAGTGGCACAGAGGCATAGCGGGGTCATCACAGCACATCATCTCAACAGACAAGCGCATCATTAAGATCTGGACCCCCACCACGGTATGTGTGCCATACCGTCCGTGGATATGTATGCATGCCATTAGATGGGTCGCACACCAACAAAGCTCGTCACAGCACATCATCTCAACAGACAAGCGCATCATCAAAGTCTGGAACCCCACCACGGTATGTGTGCGCCTGCCACGCCATGCCATGCCATCCCAAGCCGTGCCACACTATGTGTGCTTGCAATGGGTAAAAAAGTACGGTATGTGTGCGCCTGCCACGCCATGCCATGCCATCCCAAGCCGTGCCACACTATGTGTGCTTGCAATGGGTAAAAAAGTACGGTATGTGTGCGCCTGCCACGCCATGCCATGCCATCCCAAGCCGTGCCACACTATGTGTGCTTGCAATGGGTAAAAAAGTACGGTATGTGTGCGCCTGCCACGCCATGCCATGCCATCCCAAGCCGTGCCACACTATGTGTGCTTGCAATGGGTAAAAAAGTACGGTATGTGTGCGCCTGCCACGCCATGCCATGCCATCCCAAGCCGTGCCACACTATGTGTGCTTGCAATGGGTAAAAAAGTACGGTATGTGTGCGCCTGCCACGCCATGCCATGCCATCCCAAGCCGTGCCACACTATGTGTGCTTGCAATGGGTAAAAAAGTACATGCCATCCCAAGCCGTGCCACGCTATGTGTGGTTGCAATGGGTAAAAAAGTACATGCCATCCCAAGCCGTGCCACGCTATGTGTGGTTGCAATGGGTAAAAAAGTATTTGGAACCCCGCCGCCGTCGCACCACAGCACATCATCTCAACGGACAAGCGCATCATCAAGGTCTGGAACCCCACCACGGTATGCCATGCCATGCCATGCCATCACACTTGTTTAGGCACATCAAGAGTTGAAGTCTCAAAAGTGGTTCCTTCCTATTTGTGTCCCCTATTTTCCTTCCTACTTGATGGGAGGCAGTGGGCTTTGCAGGCAGGCCGACAGCTTGACACACTTCTTTCTTCCCAACTCCTAAGTGTAGAGAGGGTGTTTTTGAGACGTCTCAAAAACGCCGACAGCTTGACACACTTCGTTCTGTCCAAATCCTCAAGGGCCTCAACGTGAGGAGTGTGGTGGGGGAGCCCACGGAGCCGGCGGCATCACATCAACGACGTGTGTGTTGTGTCATGCACAGCAGGCAGCGGGCTCATCGTGTGAGCTCATAGCTTCTGTGGCACTCCTCATTTCTCCTGCCACCGTCCGATCTCTCAGGACTCCAACGTGACGAGTGTGGAGCCAACCGAACCGGGAGGAATCAACGACGTGTGTGTGATGCGCGGCAGTGGGCTGATCGTGGCAGCCATGGACTCGCCCCGCCTGCAGGCATACTTCATCCCCTCTCTCGGTCCAGCGCCACGTTGGTGCTCCTTCTTGGAAAATATCACTGTGAGTGATGGGGGCATGGTATTGAAAGAGGTGGTGGAGTGAATGTGTGGGCTGATCGTGGCAGCAATGGACTCGCCCCGCCTGCAGGCCTACTTCATCCCGTCGCTGGGCCCCGCCCCTCGGTGGTGCTCGTTCCTCGAAAATATTACGGTAAGTGATGGGGGTATGGCATCAAAAGAGGTGGTGGAGTAAGTGTTTCGGGTTGATCGTGGCAGCCATGGACTCGCCCTGCCTGCGGGCCTACTTCATCCCTTTCCTGGGCCCCGCACCGCGCTGGTGCTCGTTTTTTGAGAGCATCACGGTGAGCTATGGGGCCATCAGGTGATGGATAGAATGGGCTGATCATGGCAGCAGTGGCCTCGCCCCACCTGCACTCCACCGCACTGCGTATCTGTTTCCCTCTTGGTACTTTCCCGCGTTCCATTTTCCAACCTTGCTCCATCAATATAAGGAGTTGGAGCAAGGTGGGTCAGCGAAGTGCGATGATTACAAGTTTGTGACGTGGGACGAGCTGCAAGCGGAAACAGGGTGGAAGCTGCCTCTCTTTCTTTCTGTTTCCTGTTTCTGCTTACAACCAACAACTGGAAGAGCTGGAAGATGTGGGGGCAGTGCAGTGATGTATGATGATCACGGTGATCACATTCGACTGCTCACCTCGACGCCTCTGATCACAAGTTCGTGACACGGGAGGTGAGCAGAGGCGTGGAGGTGAGCAGAGGCGTGGAGGTGAGCAGAGGCGTGGAGGTGAGCAGAGGCGTGGAGGTGAGCAGAGGCGTGGAGGTGAGCAGAGGCGTGGAGGTGAGCAGAGGCGTCGAGGTGAGCAGAGGCGTGGAGGTGAGCAGAGGCGTCGAGGTGAGCAGAGGCGTGGAGGTGAGCAGAGGCGTCGAGGTGAGCAGAGGCGTCGAGGTGAGCAGAGGCGTCGAGGTGAGCAGAGGAAAAATTAGAGGAGTCAAGTTTCCAGAGGCGTCGAGTTTTGAGTCGACTCAAAAGTCAACAGAGGCGTCGAGGTGAGCGACACGCACTGAGACACACAAAGCTCCTTCTCTCTCCCCTCTCGCACACACTCACCTCCCCTTCCTCCCTCCCTCGTTCCCCTTACCAACCTTGTCTGAACAACAGGAGGAGTTGGAGGAGGGTGGAGCGGCAATGTACGATGATTACAAGTTTGTGACACGGGAGGAACTGAACGCACTGAGGCTCACAGAGCTTCTAGGGACTAACCTGCTGCGGCCCTTCATGCATGGGTTCTTCCTGCACTCGCGGCTCTACCACAAGGTACTGTGAGGTGTGGTGTGGTGTGGTGTGGTGTTGTTGTAGCACGGTGCTGCGGTTGTAGCATGAGGTAGAAGAGGCTTGACCTCTGTCTTCTCTCCTCAGATCCCCTTTTTCTCCCTTCCTTTTTTCCCTTCCTTCTCTCCCTTCCTTCTCTCCCTTCCTTCTCTCCCTTCCTTCTCTCCCTTCCTTCTCTCCCTTCCTTCTCTCCCTTCCTTCTCTCCTTTTCCTTCTCTCCCTTCCTTCTCTCCTTTTCCTTCTCTCCCTTCCTTCTCTCCTTTTCCTTCTCTCCTTTTCCTTCTCTCCCTTCCTTCTCTCCTTTTCCTTCTCTCCCTTCCTTCTCTCCTTTTCCTTCTCTCCCTTCCTTCTCTCCTTTTCCTTCTCTCCTTTTCCTTCTCTCCCTTCCTTCACTCCTTTTCCTTCTCTCCCTTCCTTCGCTCCGTCCTTCCTCTCCTTCCCTCCTCTCCCTCCTTCTCCCTTCCTTCTCTCACTCCACTCTCCCCGTCCCTTCCTCCCTCCCATTTCTTGCTGCATTCCCTCTCTTGCTTCATTAACTACTCTCCCTTTCCCTTCCCCCATCCCCAGGCCCCCATCCCCAGGCCCCCATCCCCAGGCCCCCATCCCCAGGCCCCCATCCCCAGGCCCCCATCCCCAGGCCAAGTCCACAGTGGACCCATTCGCGTGGGACGCGTATCAGCAGCAGAAGGTGAAGGGTTTTTGAGGTGCCTCAAAAGTATCAGCAGCAGAAGGTGAAGGGTTTTTGAGGTGCCTCAAAAGTATCAGCAGCAGAAGGTGAAGGGGAAACCAAAGGCTTTTTTCTTCCGTTCCCACTCATCGTCCCTTCCCCTCACCCAGCACTCTCTCACCACCACTTCGTTTCCTCCCTACCCCTCCACTCCCACAGGCGAAGTCCATAGCAGACCCGTTCGCGTGGGACGCGTATCGGCAGCAGAAGGTGAAGGAGAAGATTGAAGCACAGAGGGCCAGTCGCATTTCGGTGAGTTGCCTGTATGTGGGGTGCTTGTATGTGACAAAGCATACGGTTTACATGGGTGTCATGTGCGTGAGTGTCTGCACCTGAGGCACCTGAACAAAGAAGGTGAAGGAGAAGATCGAAGCACAGAGGGCCAGCAGCATATCAATGAGTTGCCCGACTGTGGCGTAAGTGAGTGAGTGTGATGTGTTCCGCATGTTTTTGAGTCGCGTCAACAACAGACCAGCCGCATATTAAAGATTTGCCTGCAAGTGACATGCGCGTAACTCTTATTTATGCCTGCCCGCTGAGAACCCCCTTCACTCCTAGTTCGTCTGCTCCTTCTTCTCTGTCCCCTCCGCCTCCCTCCCTCAACCCTGCAGGTGCAAAAGAAGCTTCCCAAGGTGAATTTTAAGCTGGCCGCGCAGCTGATGCAACAGAGTGGGGTGAGCCATGTATTGTTTCAGAACCCCTTCCTTTCCCTTTTCGCTTGCCCCTTCCTCTCTGTTCTTCCCCCCCCACTCCCTCAACCCTGCAGGTGCAAAAGAAGCTCCCCAAGGTGAACGCCAAGCTGGCCGCGCAGCTGATGCAACAGAGTGGGGCAGAGGCGGCAAGGGAGGAGGGAGGGGAGGACGAGGAGGACGAGGAGGAGGAAGGGGCGGGTGGGAAGGCGCGGAAGCAGCGCAAGGCTGCTGCCAGCGCTCTAGCCGACCCTCGCTTCGCCTCGCTGTTCACTGATCAGGTGAGGAAAACGAATGGGCCTGAGATGGGGCGGTAGGATTAGCGGAAGTAGTATGGGTGGGTATGGGTGGGAATGGGTGGGAATGGGTGGGAATGCGTGGAAGCAGCGCAAGGCGGGGTAAGAGTGGATGAGGAGTAGCAGCAGGAGGAGGGGGAGGGGGAGGGGATGGGTGTAGACATGAGCAAAAATCCGAACGCCTGTTCGGTTCGTCCGAACATGGTCGTTACTAAACCGAACAGAACATGTTTTTTTTTGGCAAGAAATGTTCGGCCGAACATGTTCGATGTTCGGAAAGAGGGGGGGGAGAGGCGGCGGGGGAGGAGCTGGCCCACTTTTGAGGCGCCTCAAAAGAGGGGGGGGGGGGGAGGCGGCGGGGGAGGAGCTGGCCCACTTTTGAGGCGCCTCAAAAGAGGGGGGGGGGGGAGGCGGCGGGGGAGGAGCTGGCCCACTGAAAGCACACTCTCCAACCTCGAACATGTTCGGGTTCGCCCCGAACATGCAGTGTTCGCCCCCCCTTCACGAACCTCGAACAACCCTAATCCCCAAGAAGTGTTCGGGCGAACCGAACATGTTCGGTTCGGTTCGACCAATTCACATGTTCGTGCAGGACGACGAACCGAACATGTTTGATGTTCGCCCGTTGCTCATGTCTAGATGGGTGGGAAGGTGCAGAAACAGCGGAGGGCTGCGGCCAGTGCCCTGGCTTTTGAGTCGACTCAATAGGAGGGCTGCAGCCAGTGCCCTGGCTGATCCTCGCTTGGAGGTCTGACAAACGACTGCTTGTTCTATGTGCCTCTTGCTTGGTGCAATTTCTCCCCTGCAGGCGTTCCAAGTGGATGAGGACTCTCAAGAGTACATGGCTGTGCATGGAGGCATGGGGTGGAGGAACATAGGAGAGAAAGTTTTGAGACGTCTCAAAACTACACTTTTATCACGTGTGCATGGAGGCATGGGGTGGAGGAACATAGGAGAGAAAGAGGTAGAAGGTACTACCCTGTTTCATGGTCATTGTGTGCCTTTAGTTTTTCCTCCATTCCTCCTCTACAGGCTTTCCAAGTGGATGAGGATTCTCAAGAGTACATGGCTGTGCATGGAGGCATGGGGTGGAGGAACATAGGAGAGAAAGAGGTTGAAGGTACTACCCTGTTTCATGGTCATTGTGTGCCTTTTGGTTTTCCTCCATTCCTCCTCTACAGGCTTTCCAAGTGGATGAGGACTCTCAAGAGTACATGGCTCTGCATGGGGGCATGCGGGGAGGAGCGGAGGAGAGGCGGCAGCAGCAAAAGCGGGATAAGGAGCTTCTAGAGGAGCATTTCGAAATGGTGGAAGGGGAAGAGGAGGAGGATGATGAGGATGAGGATGAGGGAGAGGAGGCGGGAGAGGAAGAGGATGAGGATGAGGGAGAGGAGGAGGGGGATGAGGAGGAGGAGAGGGGTGGAAGCGGGAAGAGGAGGTTGGTGCAGGGAGGAAAGGAGGAGGGTGTGTCACGGAAGAGAGGGGCCAAGGAGCCAAGGTAAAGCATTTGAGACGGTTGCAAGCTCCAAGCATTTGAGAGGAAATTACTGAGCTCCAAGCTCCACACTAGTTCAGAACTTGAGATGGTTTCCTTTCCTGGATGAAACACTTTGCTAGCACACAACTCGTTTCTCCACTCCTTCCGCTCTCACTCCCTCACCCCACCCCTCTCCAACCCCCCGCACCCCCTCAAATGCACACTCTCATCCGCCCTCTTCCCACTCTCAGGCTCTACGAAGCGAGAGACGACGTGCATGCAGCAGCCTTCAGAAACCGCCAAAGCCTCGCCGCCCAGAAGAACCTGCCCCTGGAGGAGAGAATCGCACAGCTCCCGCATTCGTCTGCTAGCGGCCAAGGCGCCGCTCATGGCGTTCCTGTAAGGAGGGCGGGCGGCGCGGTGGAGTTTACTGTTTCGATGCAGTCAAGGAGACGAGGGGGCGGGCGAGGGGAGGGAAGGGGAGGAGGGAGAGGAGGCAGAGGCGAGGGAGGGAGAGGAGGGAGAGGAGGGGGGAGGGATGGGGGGGGTGAGGGGAGGGAGGGTAGGGAGGGGAGGAGAGGAGTGCAGTCTTTGAGGCTACCATCTGAACGGCCTGCTTGGAGGGGAGGGAGAGGGGGCAGGGGGGGACGTGGGAGAGGGAGGGGCCGTGGTGGAAGGCGTTGACCTGAGTCGGGAGGGAGAGTGATGCGAGTCAAATAGGAAAACGCCTGGAACGAGACTGGGCGAAGTAGAGGAGTTGAGGTAGGTAGAGTTACCGGGCTGGGACGGCATAAAATATGGGTGATGTAGGGATAGTGGGGAGGAAAGGGGAGGAGAGGGGCACATGATGGGATGGATGCCACAAAATAGGTTGTTTCATACAGTTCGTTGTCACAAGGATACCACCATGCAAATCATTAGCAATACCAACCAAACCTGGAAATGGAATCATCTATTTCTGTGGCCAAGCAGGATAATCTTATCACCTCAGATCTGGACTGAGTGTATAAAATTGATTCAGAAGAGTGTCACACCACCGACATTTCTCCACGCCAGAGCCGAACTGGCAGGCAGTGCCTCTGGTATGTGTTTCGTGCGTCCGCGATTCGCTAGTGAGACGTGGTCTGGTCCCGCCGAAGCACATTTCGCGCAACGAAGACTGCTTCGTTCCAGGTCTGGTGATCGAAGTAGCGCGACGCGTTCAGGTACGTCACTGCCAAACGCAGTCCAGGCCAACCAGTTGCTTCTTCGCCTCCAGCAATAACCTGTGATTGAATGGGAGAACATCAGGAGGTTCGGTACAGACCAGGCCAGCTTCGTCCCTGCAACGCACCTCAATCAGCATGCATTTTTAGTCGGTGCGTTCAGGAACTGGTCAGGTGACAAGGTTTATTCGCTCCACAGGATTCGCGTCGCGTGTCAATTTTGCACTCCTATTTCCATTACCCCTGCTATGAGGAAGCCTAGCTGTGCATGATTTAGGAACAACTTCATCGTATCTCACTAGAACAATCAGTATTTCCTAGCCGTAATCACACGAGACCAGTTAGTGTACCTAAATCTGCGGCCGAAGGCACGCTGCCACTTCTGCGCCAGCCAACCTAGCTGCCTTGACGGTTCCGCAACCGATTGGTGATTATTTCGAAGCCCGCCAATCCATGACTCAATAGCCATTAGAGCCTGCGCCCTCATTAGCCGCCTGAATTTTTCCTCACCAGTGTAAGTTGTTTAAAGCATTCGCAGTCTAGGAGCACTTAATAGGTGCTGGCAGAGCTTGACGGTCTTGAAGAGGCGAACCTGTAGCCAATCTATTGCGCTTAGAACCATTCGGCATCAACACATCATTGTCTATAATCATTAGAGCTGCTATGGCCAGAGAACCGGTATTCAGGCGACGAGGTGTATGTTCACATGTAGCGGAATCTTACGTCCTTTTGTTGGTTACCACCGTCGCCGTTTCGCCCTTTGTTCGCGTCCTCGCTCAAAATCCGCCGCCGTTGGAAAACAACACCGGTTTCCCCATCTGCCCGAATGGTAACCCGCCCGCGACACCCGCGGTCGCGCCGCTGCGATGCCCCGCGTATATCGGGATGACGTGCTGCGACAACTGCGAAGACGTGAACAGCGCGCTCTCATTGGCCAGCGCGAATCTGTACGACATCGTTCAGGCGCTGGACCCGAGCGTGATGTCGCAGATCCCCGTGGCGATTCTGGGTGACATCTCGCGCGACACGATGGTGAGTGTTGGCTTGGTTAACTCCGTTGAACTGCATTCGCGGATCCCCGTGGCGATTCTGGGCGACATCCCGCGCGACACGATGGTGAGTGTTGACTGGGTTATTCAACGCGTTGACTTGGTCTAGACGCGTTGACTGAGTTGAATTGCGTTGAACCGAGGTTTGGGGTTTCGTGACCACTTCTTCCCTCCCTTGGCCTCTCTTCCATCGCGCGTACCTCCTGCTTCTCCCTACATCCCTCCTTGTATGAATTTTGAGAATTCTCTAAAAACAAACACGTCTTCCCTCCCTTGGCCTCTCTTCCATCGCGTACCGCGTGCTCCTCCCCACATCTCTTTTGAGTCAACTCCAAAGTCAGCTCTTCCATCGCGTTACTCGTGCTCCTCCCCACATCCCTCCTTCCCCTCCTCTAGGTGTGCGACTCGATGGCGGTGCAGCAGCAGTGCGGCCAGTTGCTTGAAGATCTCGTGTGCGACTTCACTTACTCTTCTATTACCACTTACAACCGTACCACACCGCTCCTCATCCCCACCGAATCAGGTGTGCGACTCGATGGCGGTGCAGCAGCAGTGCGGCCAGCTGCTCGACGACCTCGTATGCGCCGCAACGTGCGACCCCTACGCGGGCAATTACGTAACGGTCAACGAGTTCGTGGGATCCACAGAGGTGGCTGTGTGCCTCCGAGAGGCGGAGGCCGTCTTTGAAGCGTGCAAGGACATTCTCTGTAGGTGGGACTGTGAGCGTGGGTGAGTAAAAGGCGGGGTGGGCATGGTTGTGCGTGCAAGAGGTGGGGTGGGCGGGTCTGGGTCTGAGTGTATCCAGCCACGTGCGACCCCTACGCGGGCAGCTACGTGACGGTCAACGAGTTCGTGGGGTCAACCGAGGTGGCTGTGTGCTTGCGAGAGGCGGAGGCCGTCTTCGAGGCTTGCAAGGACATTCTCTGTAAGTGACTCGTAGTGTCAGAGCCCCAAGAGTTGATGTGAATACACGCTTCTAGAGCAACGTGGCGGTGAATCAGTTCGTGGGGTCGACGGAGGTGGCTGTGTGCCTCCGAGAGGCGGAGGCCGTCTTTGAAGCGTGCAAGGACATCCTGTGTGAGTGTGTGGGTGTGAGCGTGTGGGTCTTAGTGTGTGGGTGTGAGTGTGTGGGTGTGCGGGTGTGAGTGAGTGCGTGAGTGCGAGTGTGTGGGTGTGAGTGTGTGGGTGTGAGCGTGTGGCTCTTAGTGTGCGGGTGTGAGTGTGTGGGTGTGAGTGAGTGTGTGAGTGCGAGTGTGTGGGTGTGAGTGTGGGTGTGAGCGTGTGGGCCTTAGTGTGCGGGTGTGAGTGTGTGGGTGTGAGTGAGTGTGCGGGTGTGAGTGTGTGGTTGTGAGTGAGTGTGTGGGTGCGAGTGTGTGGGTGTGAGGGTGCGGGTGTGAGTGCGTGGGTGTGAGTGTGTGGGTGTGAGGGTGTGGGTGTGAGTGTGTGGGTGTGAGTGTGTGGGTGTGAATGTGTGGGTGTGAGTGTGTGGGTCTGATACAAAGCATGCAAGGATATCCTGTGTGAGTGTGTGAGAGCGCGTGGGTGAGAGTGCGGGTGTGCGCCTTCGTGTCTGTGTGTTGACAAGATCAACACATGGCAACTTTTGAGGCGCCTAGAAAATGTCTGTGTTGACAAGGTCAACGCATGGCAAGCGCTTGTAAGGGGCACACGCCGTCTGTGAGAACATGCAAGGACATGCCGTGTGACGGGGAACATGCAAGGACATGCCGTGTGACGGGGAACATGCAAGGACATGCCGTGTGACGGGGAACATGCAAGGACATGCCGTGTGACGGGGGAGCCTGAGTATGTGCAAGGACCAAGTCTGAGTCCAAGTCCAGGGTCTATAAATTCTGAAAAAGGGCACACAGACAAGGCAAGGATATTCTGTGTGAGTGTGTGTCGGTTTGCTCTTGTCTGCGCACTCCCCTTGCATGAATCTGTCTGAAGTGCACCTTTTTCCCCCCTAAACCCTAAACCCTTTTCTCCCCTCCCATTCCAGTCATTTCCACGTCTAAAGGCGCAACCCTTGATCTCACGCCATACTTCCCTGACGCGCGCACCTTCATGACTCAAATCGTGGGGGGCATTCTGCGGGTTGTCATGGGCAACGACAAGGTCCAAATCGTGCTCACCAGTGTAAGTCTTGCTATAGGCATTATATATACGTAAACATGTACATAAAATGAGCGTATCAAAATCATAAAAGAAAACAAAACCTACGCATGAGTGGCGATGTGCAATTATACAGAACAAATAGTTGTGACCAGCACACATGTATTTCGTTTTTTTTTTTTTTTTTCCTACATCAATGAATTTATCATCTTCTATTGTGTTTAGAATTCTCGGTCGTGGCTGGTGACGGGAAAGACCCGAGTCAGGTTCACCTGCACAAGCATCATACATTCTTAGAGGCGGCCCGTTAAGTCCCAATACCGTTTCCTTATCACAATCCCTTTTTCCCATTTCAGGCCAACTGCATAGCAGGCAGCACCAACGTCTACCCCCATGCCTGCTATTCAGTTGGCCCGAATCCTGTTGCGACACCTTCTCTTCAGTCCCCGACTTGTCCCAGTCAACAACAAACTCAGCAGCCTGCTTCACCGCCCGCGCCCCACTATTCTCACTCCTCTTCTTTACCTTACCTGCATCCCACCCTCTGCGCCCTTTTCCCCATCCCCTCTTTCGGACCAACTGCATCGCAGGCAACACCAACGTCTACCCCGAGGCCACGTCCTGCTGTGACACCTTCTCTTCAGTCCCCGACACATGCACAGTCCCCAACGCGTTCAGCAGCCTACTGAATCGTCCCATTCCCCTTTCCTTGCGCCCCCATTTCTCCCCCATTTCAGACCAACTGCATTGCAGGCAACACCAACGTCTACCCAGAGGCCACATCCTGCTGTGACATCTTCTCTTCGGTCCCCGACACTTGCACAGTCCCCAACGAATTTACCGACCTCCTCAACCGCCCCACTCCCCCCGCCTGCCTCGCTGCCACCACCACCCCTCCCGTCAACACTCCCGTTCCTGCCCCCACCCCTGCTGTTAACCCTGTCCCTTCCACTTCCCCTGTTCCTGTTGAGCCTGCTTTGCCCAGCACTGCTGCTCCTCAGGCTTCCCCCAGAATCTCACCCACTCCCTCAGTGCCCAAAACACCATCTCTACCCTCTTCTCCCTCTCCCCCTGCCTCCACTACTCCCTCTCCTTCATTGAACTCCCTTCCACCTTCCTCGCCCTCCCCACCTCCCCCTCCCTCCCCTCCCAAAGCTGCTTCCCCTCCTGCTGCTGCTGCTTTTGTATCCATTATAAGCTGCCTCGTTTGTGGGGTGATGGCACTGCTCGCGCCTGCACTCCTCTGATGAAGATATGCACACTGCAACTACCACATGGAATGTGATTGATTCAACAATAGGCGCTTATCTTGTGCTTTTGGACGTAGTGTAACCGTATGAGTTGTTTGGGTCATTTCAATATTCTTGAAAGAATGCTGCGTTGAATTCATTAAAAATAGTTCATTGCTGTCCGAGTTGGAAAAATTACCGCAATCATATCGAACCAAGGCCAACCCAAAAGCCCGTCTAGAGTAATTATGTAGCCTTATGGATTATATTCAGTTGTACAACTCAATAGAAGCTGCTTTCTGTGCGTTTTTGCACAATGGAAAGGCCCATGCCATAATTGGGACAGTATTCAACGAGGGAAGAGACAGCTGCAAGTGAGGTAACTGGAGGGCTGCTGGGACACTGCAGAAACAAGGGAGGCAGGGGAGGGGGGGAGCAAAGGAAGGCGGGAAAGGGAGACAGTAGAAGGAATGAGGGGAAGAAAGGAAGACTGTCTGCAGGTGTGGTGACTGGAGGGCTACTGGGACACTGCGGAAGTAGGGGGGCAGTGGGGAGGGGAAGGGGGGCGAAGCAGAGGAAGGGGGGTGAGGAAAGGAATGAGGGGAGGAAGGGGGGGGGAAGGGAGGGGAGGGGGAGTAAGCCTGTGAGCCAGTGTGGTGACAGGAGGGATACTGAGACACTGCGGAAGCAAGGGGGCAGTGGGGAGGGGAAGGGGGGCTAAGCATAGGACAGGGGGAAAGGAGACAGTAGAAGGAATGAGGGGGGGAAAGTACGCCTATCAGCCAGTGTGGTGACTGGAGGGCTGCTGTGATACTGTGGAAGCAGGGGGGCAGGAGGGGGGGTAGGGGGGCGAAACATAGGATCGGGGGAAAGGGAGATAGAAGGAATGAGGGGAAGGAAGAAAGCAGGTAGAAGTTAATTTTTATGGAACCTCAGAACCAGCCTCAGCAAGTCGGAAAAAACGTGTTTTCACAGACAGATTTGGAGGTAGGAAGAGGCTCACCTGAATATGTCTCGACTTGGCATCAAATATCGACAGGTAGCAAGGCTCGGTGGAGGTCCGGGAGCAGGAGGCTCGGTTGTTCTTGCGCCAGTTGCTGTGGTAGCGGGTAACGATGTTGAGAGAGTAGGGGCGAACGCCCGCCAGGCCTGCTGCTATGTAGCCGAATGTGGATGTGTCCGTTATTAGTAGTGTGTCACTGAGAAGAGGGAGGAGAGGGAGGAGAGGGAGGAGAGGGAGGAGAGGGAGGAGAGGGAGGAGAGGGAGGAGAGGGAGGAGAGGGAGGAGAGGGAGGAGAGGGAGGAGAGGGAGGAGAGGGAGGAGAGGGAGGAGAGGGAGGAGAGGGAGGAGAGGGAGGAGAGGGAGGAGAGGGAGGAGAGGGAGGAGAGGGAGGAGAGGGAGGAGAGGGAGGAGAGGGAGGAGAGGGAGGAGAGGGAGGAGAGGGAGGAGAGGGAGGAGAGGGAGGAGAGGGAGGAGAGGGAGGAGAGGGAGGAGAGGCAGGAGAGGGAGGAGAGGGAGGAGAGGGAGCAGGGGCAGGGGAGCACAGGAGAGGCAGGAGGGGACGAAGGGGCTGGGTAAGGGCAGTGGTGGTGAGTCCCCGTGTTGACTTGACTGAGTGTGGTGCGGGTGATAAAATTCCCCACCCGCCTACCACCCGCCTGCCACAAGCTACCACCACAAGCTACCACTACAAGCTACCACCACAGGCTACCACCACAAGCTACCACCCGCCTACCCCGCACATACCAAATGGAGAGCAGCGACACACACACATACCACATGGGGAGCACATACCACATGGAGAGCGCATACCACATGGAGAGCACATACCACATGGAGAGCACATACCACATGGAGAGCACATACCACATGGAGAGCACATACCACATGGAGAGCAGCCACATCTCCCTCAGCGCCCTCTCCGCCTGCTTCCTCTCCCTCAGCTGCTGTGCTCCATCGTGGCTCAGCCGAGCAAAGAGGGAGCGAAGCAAGAAAAGGGGTTCCGCAGTTGAACGTTCCACGTCCTCTAGCGCCCTCTCTGCCTGCTTCCTCTCCCCTCAGCTGCTGTGCTCCCTCGTGGCTCAGCCTGGAGATGGTTGCAGGAGAGGAGCGAGAAGGGGGTACCGTGGGGTGGGGATGGGGGTGGAGCGGTGACAGATGCGGGATGAGTTGATTCTAATGGCCTGCTTCTTCCCCCTCAGCTGCTGTGCAAACAAGTGCATACACAAGTGCACACAAAGGCACACACGCGCATACACAGACTGGGAGTGGGGGTGGGAAGGACTTTTGAGACGTCTCAAAAGGAAGGAGGTGATAACTCACATGCTGAGGGATCTCCTGCCCGCCCTCTACCTGCCCTTCTATGCCCATCTCCCTCAGCAACTCCCTCTGCATCTCCCCATACACAGGCACTTGTTCACACACAACACAACGAGCGTCTTTAGAACTCTAAAAAAACCACCACACTCACATGCTGACAGCGATCTCCTGCCCGCCTGCTAGCCGCCCTTCTATGCTCATCTCCCTCAGCATCTCCCTCAGCATCTCCCTCAACATCTCCCTCAGCATCTCCCTCAGCATCTCCCTCAGCATCTCCCTCAACATCTCCCCATACGCTGCCCGCAGTGACGCCACAATCACTCCCATGCTCCCCTCCTTCCTCCTCCCCTCCTTCCTCCTCCCCACTGCACCAGTTAGTCTCCTCGCCTCCGCCCTTCCACCACCACCACCACCACTGCTCTCGTTTCCCTGATCCTGTATCCCAGGGGTCACCCTGACTCATGTTTCAAAGGGAAGCTAAGGGCGTTTCCCTGATCCTGTGCCTCCTCATCATATCTCGTCACATCTCCCTTCTCATAGCCCTCCACTGCTTTCGCATACTCCCCATTCTCCTGCTCCTCCTCCTCCCCGTGCCTCAGCCCCTGCTAATGCCCCTGCCCCAGCCGCAGCGCCTGAAGCAGATTCAACTCTCCGAGCACACGGCTCAGCAACGAGGGGTTGCTAGGAGGCGGCTGAATGCAGGGAGGGAGGTGGGAAGGGACAGGGGGAGATATAGAGAGAGGGAAGGACATGTGGAAATGTGGATGGGTCCTGAAGCAAATCCCACTCTCCCAAAATTCGGCTCAGCAGCGAGGGGCTGCTGGGAGGCGGCTGTATGCAGGGAGGGGGGAAGGGAGGGGGGGAGATACGGAGGAAAGATGGACATGGGGGGACGTGGATAGAGCTCAGCTGACCCCTTTCCTTTCCTACCCCGCTGGCTCCGCTCATATCGGATCAGCCTGCCACCAACCTTGCACTGCCGCATGACTGACTGACTGGCTGACTGACTGGCCGGCCGACCGACCGACCGACCGACCCGACCGACCGACCGACCGACCGACCGACCGACCGACCGACCGACCGACCGACCGACCGACCGACCGACCGACCGACCGACCGACCGACCGACCGACCGACCGACCGACCGACCGACCGACCGACCGACCGACCGACCGACCGACCGACCGACCGACCGACCGACCGACCGACCGACCGACCGACCGACCGACCGACCGACCCGACCGACCGACCGACCGACCGACTGACTGACTGAATGACCGGCCTGCTTCGTCAGCTTCTCCCAGTCCTCGTGTGGCACAATGGGGGGCACCACTTGAGTCACGTTCACCAGGCAATCCACCACCTTGTCGAGCACGTCGTCTGCTGGTACGTACTTCTGAAACTCACGGATCTGAGACAAGAGTGAAGGCGAAGGGAAATCACAGGAAAAGACTCAGACATCCCACTCTGAAGGCAACCCACCACCACCCTGTCGAGCACGTCGGCAGCTGGTACGTACTTCTGAAACTCACGGATTTGTAGCTTGTGTGAAGGAGGGGAGGGAGAAGAGAGAGAGGCGGAGCTTAGAATCACATCAACGAGACACCGCTTTTGTCACATCCAAAATAAGTGGGGTGGGGTGCGGTATAAAGAGGAGTGAGTGACGTTGTGCAGGCGCTGCGTTCGTCCTAAACACTAAGCCAAGTCGGCGGAGATGACCTTTGAGTCGACTCGAAAGTCGTTGCGTTCCTGCTAAACACAAAGCCTGAGCCTGCGTGCTTCTAAACCTCAATCTGTTTTTTCTTTTGTAACTCAAACAACAGGTTGCGTTCCTCCTAAACACCGAGCCTGGGCCCGCATGCTTCTAAGCCTCATCACCAAACCTGACGTCTCCCGCGGATGCCCGAATCTGCATCGGTACGGACCTGAATCCCAACCCTGTGTTGGTGCGGGGCAAGGTAGGCTCGGAAGGCGCGGGTGATTTCCTCCCAGAGGTAGTTGGCGGGGTGCAGCAGGTAGCGCCCCACATGCATCAAAGGCAGGCGGTCGGGGAATAAAAGCTCCAACTCAGCCTGCAATGGCAGAGGGGAAGAGAGGATTCGGAAGACAGAGTGAGGGGGGGGTTGAGAGCAAACAGCACTAATGCAGCAGGTAGCGCCCCACCCAACGTGCATCAAAGGCAGGCGGTCGGGCACCAGCTGCTCCAACTCAGCCTGAAAGGGCAGGGGAACAGAGATGATAGCAGGACAATAGTCGTGCAGCAGGTAGCGCCCCACCCAACGTGCATCAGCGGCAGGCGGTCGGGCACCGGCTGCTCCAACTCAGCCTGGGGAAAGACGAAGCACAGAGAGAACGACAAAGTAGTGACAAGTGAATCTGACTAGAGCGGTGCAGCAGGTAGCGCCCCACATGCATCGGTGGCAGATGGTCGGGGAACAGGCGCTCCAGTTTAGATTGGGGAAAAGGGGGCACAGGGACAAAGATGGAAACTAGGTTGTTCAGCTTTCAGCATGGCGGATGGTATACACACAGAAAGGACAGCATAAAGCAAGGACTTCGTAGGCTTCATTTTGTGGGGCGCCTACAAGACTTTGAGTGGTAGAAGAAGGGAGACCAGGTGGTGACTTTTGAGTCGACTAACAAGTCACCTCGAAGGCTGAGTGGCAGAAGACGGGAGACCAGGCGAGTTTACTCACCTGTAAGAGAGGTCACTTACTTGAAAATGTGGTGTGTGGTAGAGAGCGGGGAGAAGGTATGCGTCGGTTAGCAGACCGAGGACTCGAACCGAGGAGAGGGAGCCGTGTTGGTGCTGCTTCTGGTGGTGCGGACAGAAGACAGCTAGGTCTGCCTCTGATGCACTAGGGAGACACACATGCTTATCCACACATACAAATGGACACACACAGATAAACACACACACACACACACACATACACAGACACACACACAATCCCACGCACACGCACACACATGCGCACGCACACACGCACACACACACACACACACAGGCATATAACCATACTCACATGCACACACATAGACACAAACATGGACACACACAGGCATGCACATGCGCTCCCATACGCAGGCACAGCATAGCACCAACACACACACATCCACCATGAAAGAAACAGCGGGGCACAAGGGACATAAGGGGCATAAGGGAAATAAGGGACGAGAATCGTGGGGGAGAATTGTCGGGCCTGTTTTTGAGTCGACTCAAATTACGCAGGCACAGCATAGCACTGACACACACACATCCGCCACGAAAGAAACAGCGGGGCACAAGGGACATAAGGGGCATAAGGGAAATAAGGGACGAGAATCGTGGGGGAGAATTGTCGGGCCTGTTTTTGAGTCGACTCAAATTACGCAGGCACAGCATAGCACCAACACACATCCACCATGCGAGAAATAGCGGGCCACAAGGGAAAGAAGAGGCATAAGGGAAATAAGGGACGAGAATCGTGGGAAAAAGGCGTCGGGCCTGTTTTTGAGTCGACTCAAATTATGTAGGCACAGCATAGCACCAACACACATCCACCATGTGAGAACCAGCAGGGCATAAGGGACAAGAATCATGGGGCAGGAGTTTCGGGCAGGAGGGGGCATGGGGAGGGGCCATGAGGAGGGAGGGGGGATGGGGAGGGTGGAGGAACGAGAACGTGAACGTCTCAGGAAATGGGATGAGGTGAGTGAAACAATGACGAGGGACGGTTCTAGGTAATGGGAAGCGGCGAGAAGCCGAGCAGAGGGTAGCAGAAGCATACGAGAATTTGAGCTCCGCGTATATCATGTCGATCCTTTCAGCGCTGCTGCTGCTGCTGTTGATTATAGTGGCAGCAGCTGCAGAAGCTGCAGCAGCACAAGGGAGTTCTGGCGTTGCACTGAGTTCGCCCTCCTCAGTGGGGTTAGCGCTTGTGTTATTCATGGTTCTGCTGCTGGTAGTGCTGCTGCTGCTGCTGCTGCACAGAGTGTCCACGGCTGCAGCGTATGGTGGCGTGCCACACCTCGGAGACTGCTTCGTGATTACATCGCGCTGCGCTCTGCAGCGATGGAGAGGCAAATGAGAAAACAGGAGGAAAGAGGGAGGGGAAAGTCATGGTGGCGTGGCGTGCCACACCTTGGAGACTGCTTCGTGATTACAATGAGCTGCGCTCTGCAGCGATGGAGAGGCAAATGGGACAACCAGAGGAAAGAGGGAGGGGAAAGTAATGGTGGCGTGCCACACCTCGGAGACTGCTGCTTTGTGATCACATCGTGCAGCGCCCTGGAGCGATTGAGAAGGGGGATAGGAGGGGAGAGTGAAGAAGTGAGGAGAAGGGAGAGAGCAGTAGAGTGGAAGAGTAGAAGGGAGGGAGCTGCTGTCCTGCCGTCTCTTCCCCCGCCATCTCTTGCCCATCCGTCTCTTGCCCAGGGAGAGAGAAGGGGGAAAGGATGGAAGAGTAAGGGAGGGAGTAGAAGAGAGAGAGTGGAGGAGACTGCTTTGTGATCACATCGCGCTGAGCCCTGGAGCGACGGCGAGATTAGAGAGGAGGGATGGGAGGACAGGAGAAGGGAGAGAAAACAGGAGAAGGGAGAGAAAACAGGAGAAGGGAGAGAAAACAGGAGAAGGGAGAGAAAACAAGAGAAGGGGTCGCAGAGGAATCAGTTCGAGACGCAAGGGGGCAGCACTCAGCACCCAACACTCACGCGAAGGTGGGTGAGTCCATGGGCATCCAGGTGGATGGGGTGGGGGTGAATGCGAAGGGGTCGCAGAGGAATCAGTTCGAGACGCAAGGAGGCAGCACTCAGCACCCAACACTCACGCGAAGGTGGGTGAGTCCATGGGCATCCAGGTGGATGGGGTGGGGGTGAATGCGAAGGGGTCGCAGAGGAATCAGTTCGAGACGCAAGGAGGCAGCACTCAGCACCCAACACTCACGCGAAGGTGGGTGAGTCCATGGGCATCCAGGTGGATGGGGTGGGGGTGAATGCGAAGGGGTCGCAGAGGAATCAGTTCGAGACGCAAGGAGGCAGCACTCAGCACCCAACACTCACGCGAAGGTGGGTGAGTCCATGGGCATCCAGGTGGATGGGGTGGGGGTGAATGCGAAGGGGTCGCAGAGGAATCAGTTCGAGACGCAAGGGGGCAGCACTCAGCACCCAACACTCACGCGAAGGTGGGTGAGTCCATGGGCATCCAGGTGGATGGGGTGGGGGTGAATGCGAAGGGGTCGCAGAGGAATCAGTTCGAGACGCAAGGGGGCAGCACTCAGCACCCAACACTCACGCGAAGGTGGGTGAGTTCATGGGCATCCAGGTGGATGGGGTGGGGGTGAATGCGAAGGGGTCGCAGAGGAATCAGTTCGAGACGCAAGGAGGCAGCACTCAGCACCCAACACTCACGCGAAGGTGGGTGAGTCCATGGGCATCCAGGTGGATGGGGTGGGGGTGAATGCGAAGGGGTCGCAGAGGAATCAGTTCGAGACGCAAGGGGGCAGCACTCAGCACCCAACACTCACGCGAAGGTGGGTGAGTTCATGGGCATCCAGGTGGATGGGGTGGGGGTGAATGCGAAGGGATCGCAGAGGAAGCAGTTCGAGACGCAAGGGGGCAGCCCTCAGCACCCAACACTCACGCGAAGGTGGGTGAGTCCATGGGCATCCAGGTGGATGGGGTGGGGGTGAATGCGAAGGGGTCGCAGAGGAATCAGTTCGAGACGCAAGGAGGCAGCACTCAGCACCCAACACTCACGCGAAGGTGGGTGAGTCCATGGGCATCCAGGTGGATGGGGTGGGGGTGAATGCGAAGGGGTCGCAGAGGAATCAGTTCGAGACGCAAGGGGGCAGCACTCAGCACCCAACACTCACGCGAAGGTGGGTGAGTTCATGGGCATCCAGGTGGATGGGGTGGGGGTGAATGCAAAGGGGTCGCAGAGGAATCAGTTCGAGACACAAGGAGACAGCACTCAGCACCCAACACTCACGCGAAGGTGGGTGAGTCCATGGGCATCCAGGTGGATGGGGTGGGGGTGAATGCGAAGGGGTCGCAGAGGAATCAGTTCGAGACGCAAGGAGGCAGCACTCAGCACCCAACACTCACGCGAAGGTGGGTGAGTCCATGGGCATCCAGGTGGATGGGGTGGGGGTGAATGCGAAGGGGTCGCAGAGGAATCAGTTCGAGACGCAAGGGGGCAGCACTCAGCACCCAACACTCACGCGAAGGTGGGTGAGTTCATGGGCATCCAGGTGGATGGGGTGGGGGTGAATGCGAAGGGGTCGCAGAGGAATCAGTTCGAGACGCAAGGAGACAGCACTCAGCACCCAACACTCACGCGAAGGTGGGTGAGTCCATGGGCATCCAGGTGGATGGGGTGGGGGTGAATGCGAAGGGGTCGCAGAGGAATCAGTTCGAGACGCAAGGAGGCAGCACTCAGCACCCAACACTCACGCGAAGGTGGGTGAGTCCATGGGCATCCAGATGGATGGGGTGGGGGTGAATGCGAAGGGGTCGCAGAGGAATCAGTTCGAGACGCAAGGGGGCAGCACTCAGCACCCAACACTCACGCGAAGGTGGGTGAGTCCATGGGCATCCAGGTGGATGGGGTGGGGGTGAATGCGAAGGGGTCGCAGAGGAATCAGTTCGAGACGCAAGGGGGCAGCACTCAGCACCCAACACTCACGCGAAGGTGGGTGAGTTCATGGGCATCCAGGTGGATGGGGTGGGGGTGAATGCGAAGGGATCGCAGAGGAAGCAGTTCGAGACGCAAGGGGGCAGCCCTCAGCACCCAACACTCACGCGAAGGTGGGTGAGTCCATGGGCATCCAGGTGGATGGGGTGGGGGTGAATGCGAAGGGGTCGCAGAGGAATCAGTTCGAGACGCAAGGAGGCAGCACTCAGCACCCAACACTCACGCGAAGGTGGGTGAGTCCATGGGCATCCAGGTGGATGGGGTGGGGGTGAATGCGAAGGGGTCGCAGAGGAATCAGTTCGAGACGCAAGGGGGCAGCACTCAGCACCCAACACTCACGCGAAGGTGGGTGAGTCCATGGGCATCCAGGTGGATGGGGTGGGGGTGAATGCGAAGGGGTCGCAGAGGAATCAGTTCGAGACGCAAGGGGGCAGCACTCAGCACCCAACACTCACGCGAAGGTGGGTGAGTTCATGGGCATCCAGGTGGATGGGGTGGGGGTGAATGCGAAGGGATCGCAGAGGAAGCAGTTCGAGACGCAAGGGGGCAGCCCTCAGCACCCAACACTCACGCGAAGGTGGGTGAGTTCATGGGCATCCAGGTGGATGGGGTGGGGGTGAATGCGAAGGGGTCGCAGAGGAATCAGTTCGAGACGCAAGGGGGCAGCCCTCAGCACCCAACACTCACGCGAAGGTGGGTGAGTCCATGGGCATCCAGGTGGATGGGGTGGGGGTGAATGCGAAGGGATCGCAGAGGAAGCAGTTCGAGACGCAAGGGGGCAGCACTCAGCACCCAACACTCACGCGAAGGTGGGTGAGTTCATGGGCATCCAGGTGGATGGGGTGGGGGTGAATGCGAAGGGGTCGCAGAGGAAGAGGGCTGCCTGCGCGTGTGGGTTGATGATGAGCGTGCGGTTGGCGAGAAGGGCGTAGGTGAAGGAGGAGACGAGGGCGAGCAGCTGGTTGCCCAGACCTGGACAAGGGATGAGGGACAGTGGAAAGAGGGGAAAGTGGGGAAAGTGGGGAAAGAGTGGGCGTGCGGGCAAGGTGGTGAGAGAAGTGTGTTGATGATGAGCGTGCGATGGGTGAGCAGGGCGTAGGTGAAGGCAGAGACTAGGGCGAGCAGCTGGTTGCCCAGACCTGCACAAGGCATGAGAGGGAGGCATGAGAGGAGTGAACAGAGTGGATGGGAGGAAGCAAGACAGCAGTGGGTCGAATGAGGACACAAGGACACGACGGAGAGCAGCTGGTTGTGCAGACCTGGAGGAAGGGAAATGGAGGAGAGAGAGGAGTGGGCTGAAAATGAGCGCAGTGGGTCGAATAAGGACACGAGGACACGACGGAGAGCAGCTGGGTGGAACGGCGGAACAGAAAGTGCGGGCGGTGAGGACGGCTTAAGTGAAAGGGGAAATGTGTAGGTGCGGGGGAGGTGAGCGTGCGACTGGTGAGGAGCGAGCGTGTAGGTGAAGGAAGAGACGAGGGAGAGAACGAGAAGGAATAAGGGGATAGTGAAGGGGAGAACAGCGAGAGCGGTTGAGTTGGTTGGTGGATGCAACAGTAGCAGTCCTTTGATTTATACCAAGGACGTGGGAACTGAGCTGAAAAACGTAACTGCAACCATCTCATCCCAGATAAAGGCTTACCGCTGTATGCAGGGTCGAGATGAAAGAGATAGGAGCATTCCTGCAGGGAGGATGCATCCACTCCGTCTTCAAGTCCTTTTGTGCTGCACGATGGGAGTTTCGAGGGAGAATCGAACAGAGCAAGTTCAGGAGCGGTAATTTGTGGCTATGTGTGATGAGAGTGTGCTGATAGCGCACCCCCCCATGAGTGTGCTGATAGCGCACCCCCCCATGAGTGTGCAGAGAATGTGGTCAGGGTGTGCAAGTGCAAGTGTAATACAGAGCACATGATGAAGCCTTATTCACACTATTTAAGCATGGGTATGAGAGCCAGCCACGTGGCACGCACGGATTGGAGAGGAAAACCGGCCAGTTCTTCACTCCATTGATGCACCGCGCCTGCCTCTCTGCATACACCTTCAGCCGCTCTGCCAGCTCCTCTGCCATTGGTGTCTTGGAAGATGACGCCTGGATGAGTGCCGGAACGGGGATGGAAGGGGACAGTGGGATAAAAAGGTTGACTGACTGCATACGCCTTCAGCCGCTCCGCCAGCTCCTCTGTCATTGGCGTGCCTGCAGTCGATGCCTGGACGACGGGGTTGCAGCGAGGATGGAAAACTACAGTCGATTCAACGCTTGCGTATCTAAACGAAAATCTAGGGAGTCAGCAAAGCACGGGTTGGAAGTAGTAGTAGCGCCTTTGAATGAATCTACCGTGATTCTTTAGTGAACTTCAAGCGATGCTGAAGCAAACTCAAACACTGTGAATAAGTACGACTCACGGATTGGTAATAGTGCCGCTCATGCACACTCCAGCACGAGTTGAACAGCCGGTGGTGCCGCGACCTCAAGGCACCATCATGATCATACAGCAAGCGCCGACCACTGCTCCCTGCATGCCTCCCTGCATGCCTCCCTGCATGCCTCCCTGCATGGCTCCCTGCATGCCTCCCTGCATGCCTCCCTGCATGCCTCCCTCCATACCTCCCTGCATGCCTCCCTGCATGCCTCCCTGCATGCCTCCCTGCATACCTCCCGACATGCCTCCATGCACGGCCCCCTGTGGCCATTTTCAACATATGCTGCATTCTTCCTCTCTTGACAGCAGTAACAAGGGTGGGATTCACCTAGAACGGACAAGCAGCGATGGAAATCACACGCAGCAAAGGCAAAACGAAGGATATTGTCGGTTTGAGGCCTCGAGGCCTTCAGTAATGTCACTGCTACCGTCACAAGAACCCATCTCGGCAGCAAACATCTGCGAGCGATGTACGAAGGCGGCAGATTCGGCAGCAACAGAAGCAGCAGAAGCGAAAGAGCGGGATATCGACACAGGAAGGCGCAGCGATCACGAGCGACGGCCTACAGGAAGGAGGAGGCTAACACACAGCAGCGCGGCGGCAAGGACTCCGTGTCGCGACAACATCATGGTCCCACGAGTCGTCGTCATCAATCTGAGATTTGGACCGGAAACTATCGCAATCCCTAAAAACCTCTGAGATTTCTAATAGCTTATGACAGGGATGAATGCGAGATTTCTAGTAGCTTATGACAGGGATGAATGCGAGATTTCTAATAGCTTATGACAGGGATGAATGCGAGAATTCTAATAGCTTACGACAGGGATGAATGCGGGAATCCTAATACCTTATGACAGGGATTTCGAAACTCCATTTTAACGTGTCACAACAGCCGCAGACAGCACGGATCATACGAACCAGAGCGAACCTGTGAGAGTAGTACGAGTAGGCTGATCAACGGTGATGACGTTTCGTTTGAAGCTGCCTAGCACGGCTCATGCCTTCGGAAGGCAGGATTCCCTGAAGGCCCATAGCAGGTGATCTGCAGCGGCATCGGCGGCGTGAACCCGAGAGGAGATTTCCGCGCCGCCGGCAAAACTCCTCTCACCCACCTGGGAACATATCAAAATGGGGTGCATTGTCGAGCCAGTAGCGTCGCGACCACGCTACCATGGTGCGTCGGAACTCGGTTGTGCTACCGTGCTCTCCTCTCACCCACCTGGGAAAGGACCAAAATGGGGTACGGGGGTAATTGAGCGCAAGCGACGGGAGCGTTTTGGGGGGCGGAGGATCCACGCGGGTGGACGGTAGCACTACCGAGTTCGGACGCCGCATGGTAGCGTGGTCGCAACGCTACCGCGGTCGACAATACACCTGATGCCATGGCGTTCAGGTACTCTCTGCCATAGACTCTCAGACAGCATTCCTGCTGCTTTTGTCTCCGTTATGAGCTGCCTCAATTTTGGGGAGATGGCACTGCTTGCGCCTGCACTCTTTGTCTGATTAGAAGATTCATACAACTCTTACCAAGTAGCACGTCAAGTCCTTTTACGCATCACTAGGCGCAAATCTTGAGTTGTTGGAATCTAGATCCTTTGAATGTTATCGCATCGACTTAAAATGTTGTTTTCTCCAGGAATTTATTTCATATTTATGGTATAATGTGTTGGAATTTGTTCCTTTCACCACTAGCCAAGTTGGAAAAACAACTGTGGATAGGGCAGTTCAAAGGCATGCTCTTTGGAAAAAATCATTTACACAACTAAAAAAGGACTGTCGTCTCGTCTGTGCCTTTTTGCACAATTGAAAGGCCCATGCCGTAATTGGGACAAGATTCGACGAGAGGGGAAACAGCTGCTGGTGTGGTGACTGGAGGGCTGCTGGGGCACTGCAAGGAAGTCAGAAAGGGAGGAAAGGATTTGCGTGGGTGGAGGGAAAAAGCTTTTGAATCGACTCAAAACAGGGCTGCTGGGGCACTCCAGGGTACTAGTCAGCCAGGGAGAAAAATGGGGTGGGTGGGTGGCAGGACTAAGGTAGGAAGAACTGGGTCACCGTCTTCATTTCTTGGGCCATTGGGCAGCACGGGGAAGGGCAATCCGTAAGGATGAGAGGGAAACCTTATGTCCTGCTGTGGTGAACAATATGCTTTTGAAATATTGATAATCACACCCCTCAGGGTGCATTCCTGAGAAGACGCGTCGTCAGAATTTCACGTCACAAGCGCTATTCGTGACTAATTGCGATCAGCCACATTAGCTGGATTGGTCTAATCACAATCAGTCACGAATAGCGCTTGTGACGCGAAGTTATGAAGACGCGTCTTGGGAGGAATGTACCCTCAGTCGCTCGAAGTGATCTTCTCTCACAAAAGGACACATACCAGGACTAATATATTTCTGAGGCGCATAAAAAACTGTCTCAGCAGCTCAATTCAGCCTTCTTCACATACAGAGTAGCTAGATCCTCACCTGAATATGCCTCGACTTGACGTCGAATATTGACAAGTAGCAAGGCTCGGGGGAGGTTCGGGAGCAGGAGGTTCGGTTGTTCTTGCGCCAGTCGCTGTGGTAGCGAGCGACGATGTTGAGAGAGTAGGGGCGAACGCCCGCCAGGCCTGCTGCTATGTAGCCGAATGTGGATGTGTCCGTGATCAGAAGTGTGTCACTGGGAAGTGTGAGGAGAGAAAGGGGGAATGGGGTGAGTGCACTTAGCGAGCCACAATGCTGAATTGACTGAACGATTCCACACTCGGCCACTCGGCCGAGTGGAGAGAAAGGGCAAGAGTGATTCCCCTTTCGGCCTGCTGCTATCTGACTGAATGTGGACGTGGCTGTTATGAGTAGCGTGTCACTGAGGTGAGTGAGGAGAGGGAGGAGGGGCAAGGGAGCACAGAGGCGTCTCAAAGCTGAAGGGTGTGTGCTTGATTGAAGCAATATGTGTACCATAATCACCATCGCAACCTGATTCGAACAAGCTTATGACATGCCTACCACATAGACGCATCGCACGTGGAGAGCATAACGCCATGAATACAAAGGAGACACACACACACACACACACACACACACACACACACACACACACACACACACACACACACACACACACACACACACACACATACCACATGGAGAGCAGCCACATCTCCCTCAGCGCCCTCTCCGCCTGTTTCTTCTCCCTCAGCTGCTGTGCTCCCTCGTGGCTCAGCCTGGGCATAAGGAGGAGGGGAAATAGGAGAGGGGTTATGCGGAGCAAGGTGGGGGGAAAGAAGAGGCGACAGTTGAGGATTGAGTCGATTATAACGCTCTCGCTGCCTGATTCTTTACCCTCAGCTGCTGTGATCCATCGTGGCTCAGCCTTTTGAGTCGACTCAAAAGTCATCTCCATCGTGGCTCAGCCTTTCCAGTCAACTCAAAAGTCATCTCCATGGTGGCTCAGCCTTTTGAGTCGACTCAAAAGTCATCTCCATGGTGGCTCAGCCTTTTGAGTCGACTCAAAAGTCATCTCCATCGTGGCTCAGCCTTTTCAGTCGACTCAAAAGTCATCTCCATGGTGGCTCAGCCTTTTGAGTCGACTCAAAAGTCATCTCCATGGTGGCTCAGCCTTTTGAGTCGACTCAAAAGTCATTTCCATGGTGGCTCAGCCTTTTGAGTCGACTCAAAAGTCATCTCCATCGAGGGTCAGCCTGGGATGAGAGTAGAGTAAGGGGGCAAAGAAACGAGGGGATGGGAAGGGGGGTGGGGCAGGTGAAAAAGACGAACAAATCCTCAACCCTGCCCAAGCGCACACAAGCGTATACACAAGAGCACAGAAAAAAACGTGCAGAGGGGCCAACTCACATGCTGACAGCGATCTCCTGGCCTCCCTCTGGCCGCCCCTCAGTGCTCATCTCCCTCAGCATCTCCCCATACGCAATCTCAGTTCACACACAAGGCTTCACCCATTCACTCACATGCTAACAGCAATCTCCTGCCCGCCCTCTGGCCGCCCCTCAGTGCTCATCTCCCTCAGCATCTCCCCATACGCAATCTCAGTTCACACACAAGGCTTCACCCATTCACTCACATGCTAACAGCAATCTCCTGCCCGCCCTCTGGCCGCCCCTCTGTGCTCATCTCCCTCAGCATCTCCCCATACGCTGCCCGCAGCGACGCCACAAACACCCCCACACTCCCCCCCTTCCTCCTCACCTCCCCACCACCTAATCTCTCCACCTCCGCCCCTCCACCACCCCCATCCCCTCTTCCCAACATCTGCATCCCCTCTTCAACTTTATTCTCGCCTCCCTTCTCGCCTTCCTTCTTGTCGCCATCCTCTGATTTCACATGCTCCCCGTTTTCCTTCTCGTCCTTCTCCCCTTGCGGCTGCCCTTGCCCCTGAACCAGCTCCTGCTCTCCCAGTACTTGGCTCAGGAGGGAGGCGTTGCTGGGAGGTGCCTGCATGCAGGGAGGGTGACAGACGGAAGGAGGGACAAGGAGAGACGAAGATAATCAGAATATGTACGATGCCCTGATCCACTCCTCATAATCTTCTCCTCCCTTCCACACTTCCTAATATACCCGCTCGCTTAGCTTCGCCTCTCACCAACCCAGTACTGATAGCCTGACTGACTAACTAACTGACTGACTGACCGACCGACCGACCGACTGACCGCCAACTGCTGATTACGTAACTGACTGGCTGAATTGCATGTCTGGATGGTGTAGTCGGTTATCACGCCAGTCTCACACACTGGAGGTCTCCGGTTCGATTCCGGGTTCAGACATGTGAGTTTTTCTTTTCATTCCATATCTTCGTCGCATCCATCCATGACGTGAAGCCATTACAAGCTACCACGTGGACTTAAAGCCCGCGTCCCAAATTGCGGGCCGCGAGGGTCAAGTTTTTAAAACTTGACGAAGTTGAGTGTCCAAGCTTTTGAAAGTCACGCACTTGCAATTTGGGACTTACGAAGACAGATTCACTCACCAGGGGGAAAACCGAGGGTTGGCTGGCTCTCGCGAAAAAAACGAACCTAGACGAAATCGGCAACTCTCGCCAAAGCCCACACCAGAAAAACTCCCTCTGGTCAACTTTTAAAAGCATGAACAATTTGGGCCGCCGGCTTTAATTCTCAGTCACTTCCACCGCAGCTTCTTTCTGAAGACTCCAGGGTTTCGCCCTCGATCAACCAACGTGCCTCGACATTCGGTTCCCTTCCCCTGTTGAGCATTTCTTGTCCGCGCAAGAATGCTGTACGGCTTTGAGGGGTGTGTGCTTCAGTGTGCGGGGCAACGGCGGCATGGCACGTGGATTAAAGACAAGCTGCGGCCAGGGAACTTGAGCATACTAGGTCCACGACAGTTGAAGGAGGGCGGGATTGAGTGCGTAGTACGGACCAACAAACCGACCAACTGACTGACCTGCTTCGTCAGCTTCTCCCAGTCCTCGTGTGACAATATGGGGCCCACCACTTTAGTCACGTTCACCATGCAATCCACCACTCTCTGCAGCACATCATCAGCTGGCACGTACTTCTGAAACTCACGAATCTGCAGCATATGTAAAATGTGGGAAGGGAAATTTGGGGGTTGCGAGGGAAAATCTAGCACCCCATTCACCCGAACGGCACTGCACTCCACCACCCGCTGCAGCACGTCATCAGCTGGTATGTACTTCTGGAACTCACGAATCTGAGGTGATAGGAGCAGAAGAGGGTGAGAGGTGGATACTTTAGAATCACATCTACCAGCCACCGCTTTAGTCCCATTCACCAGTGACAGAAGCACAATCTCAGCTGGAACGTACTTCTGGAACACACGGATGTGAGGTATGTGTGAAGGAGAAAAGGCAAAGAGCCGAGGGAGGGGAGAATGCATTGAAGGAGGTGTTTTTTAACCACTGACCTGAACGCCGAATCTTTGCTGTATGACGAACCTGTGATTGAATGGATACCGAACCTAATACGGACCTGGATCCCGACCCTGTGTTGGTGCGGGGCGAGGTAGGCTCGGAAGGCGCGGGTGATTTCCTCCCAGAGGTAGTTGGCGGGGTGCAGCAGGTAGCGCCCCACGTGCATCAAAGGCAGGCGGTCGGGGAATAAAAGCTCCAACTCAGCCTGTTGAATGTTGGGGGCGCAGAGGGAATATGGCAGGAAGAGAAGGCTTGCATTGTTGGGGATGGGGAGCAGGCGCCACGTGCATCAGCGCCAGGCGATTGGGGTTGGGGACCAGGCAGGCGCTCCAACTTGTGTTTTTTGAGACTTCTCAGAAAACATAGTTGAGCCACGTGCATCAGCTCCAGGCGATTGGGGTTGGGGACCAGGCAGGCGCTCCAACTCAGCCTGGTGAAAGTGGGGCGCAGGGTCCAAAAGGGAGATACGGTTGCTCACCAGTCAGGGTGGTGGATGGTACATAGCAGGAGTAGGTAAGTTTTAATTCGTGAGGCGCCTCAAGAAGGGAGTTCAGAGTTGTTCACTTGCTTGTATTGTAAGTATGGTGCGTGGTAGAGAGCAGGGAGGGGGGTTTTGAGAATTCTCAAAATCAACCTCAACAAAAATGGAGAGGAGTACATCAGAGGGTTTGAACTCGAGTGGAACGAAAGGGAGACCAGGCTTTTCCACTCACTTGCAAGTGTGGCGCGTGGTAGAGAGCAGGGAGTAAGTAGGCGTCTGTTAGCAGACCGAGGATGCGAACCGAGGAGAGGGAGCCGTGTTGGTGGTGCTGGTGATGATGCTGCGGACAGAAGAACGCTAGGTCTGCCTCTGATGCACTAGGCACACACACATGCATATCCACACATACGGATGCACACATACAGATACTCACACACACACACACACACACACACACACACACACACACACACACACACACACACACATAGGGACATGGGCGTGCACGCGCAGAACCACACACACACACTCTTACATACCCACACACCCTCACTCACGCACACAAGCATGCACACACACACTCACACACACACACACACTATCATGCACCCACATGCACACACATGCACACACACTCACATGCACACGCATGCATATACAAGCATGCACATGCGTGCCTCACATACGCGGGCACAGCATAGCACCGACACACATCCACCATGCGAGAAACAGCGGGGCGTGAGAGAGAGAAGTATGGAGCAGTCGGAGTCGGAGTGTGGGGCAGGCGGAGTGTGGGGCAGGGGGAGTGTGGGGCAGGGGGGGTGTGGGGCAGGGGGAGTGTGGGGCAGGGGGAGTCTGGGGCAGGGGGGGTGTGGGGCAGGGGGACGCGAACGCTTGGGGTGAGTAGTAGAAGAGTACGGGACTGGGCAATGGGAGCAAGCAAGAAGGACAGCAGCGGGCAGCAGAAGCATACGTGAATTTGAGCTCCACATAGACCATGTTCACCCTCCCCACGCTGCTGCTGCTGCTGCTGCTGCTGCTGTTGCTGCTGCTGCTGCTGCTGTTCACTGGAGAGGCAGCTGCAGCAGCATCAGCAGCAGCAGCACCAGCTGCGGCAGAAGAAGAGGGCCCTCGGATTGCACTGCTTTCTCCCCCCCCAGCCGTGTTAACGTCTGTGTTGTTCATGGCGCTGCTGTTGGTAGTGCTGCTATTGGTGCTGATGCTGGTGGTAGTGCTGTTGCAACTTATAGCGCCCATGGCTGCAGCATAGGCTGCCGTGCCGAACCTTGGAGACTGCTTCGTGATTACATTGCGCTGAGCTCTGGAGATGGGAGAACAGGAAATGAAGGGAGCAGGAGCGATTGGGAAAGGAGGGTAGATTAAGGGAGGGGTTAGAACAGAGAGAAGAGAAGAGATGAGAATGGGGAAAGAGGAAGCAGACCATCGGGTACTTCTGGTTTCAATTCTAAACAAAGAGAGGTGAACGGGGAAAGAGGAAGTGGACATATGAGAGAGTAAGAAGTGAGTGGAAATGGTACTACAGGAAATGGAAGAGAAAGGAGCAGTGGGAGAAGAGGACATAAGGGGGTCAAACCCTTTTGACACAGAAGAGGGTCAGCACTCAGCTCAGCGCTCATGTGAAGGTGGTCGAGTCCATGGGCATCCAAGTAGACGGGGTGGCGGTGAATGCGAGTGGATTGCAGAGGAAACAGTTTGAGACAAAATGGTCAGCATTCAGCATTCAGCACTCAACTCATGCGAAGGTGGGCGAATCCATGAGCATTCACGTGGATGGGGTGGGGGTGAAAGCGAAGGGGTCGCAGAGGAAGAGGGCTGCCTGTGCGTGTGGGTTGATGATTAGCGTGCGGCTGGTGAGGAGGTGAAAACACAGGGGGGTCAGCACTCACGCGCTCAGCACTCAGAAGTCAGAACTCACGCAAAGGTGGGTGAGTCCATGGGCATCCAAGTAGACGGGGTGGGGGTGAATGCAAAGGGGTCGCAGAGGAAGAGGGCTGCCTGCGCGTGTGGGTTGATGATTAGCGTGCGGTTGGTGAGAAGGGCGTAGGTGAAGGAGGAGACGAGGGCGAGCAGCTGGTTGCCCAGACCTGGACAAGGGATGAGGGGAAAGACAGTGGAAAGAGGGGAAAGTGGGGAAAGTGGGGAAAGAGTGGGCGTGCGGGCATGGTGGTGAGAAAAGTGTGTTGATGATGAGCGTGCGATGGGTGAGCAGGGCGTAGGTGAAGGAAGAGACGAGGGAGAGCAGCTGGTTGCCCAGGCCTGGACGGGAGATGAGAAGGCATAAGGGGATGGAGAAGTGGAAAACAGAGAGTGCGGTTGGTAAGAAGGCTATGTAAGCAGCATGCATCTGCATGGGTCGACTCAAGGCTCACCACTGTAGGCAGGGTCGAGATGATAGAGGTAAGTGCATTCTTGTATGGAGGATGCATCCACTCCGTCTTTAAGTCCTTTTGTGCTGCACGGTGGGATTTCAGAGGAGGCGTTGAGCAGAGCGGGTTCTTTTTGAGACGTCTCAAAAACAACCTCGCTTCACGTGAAGTCCTTTTGCACTGCACGGTGGGAGTTCAGAGGAGGCGTTGAGCAGAGCGGGTTCAGAAGCGGTCGTTTCAAAGGCTATGTGTGGTGAGAGTGTGCTGAAAGCACACCAGCATGAGTGTGAAGAGAGAGTGTGTGGTAAGTGTGTGCAAGGCACATGATGAAGCATGATTCCCTTTACACAAGCATGGGTATGAGAGCCTGCCACGTGGCACGCACGGATTGGAGAGGAAAGCAGGCCAGTCCTTCACGCCGTTGATGCACCGCGCCTGCCTCTCTGCATACACCTTCAGCCGCTCAGCCAGCTCTTCAGTCATTGGCGTGCTGGCGGATGCCGCCTGGATGGGTGTCGGAACGAGGATAGGATCGAAAGGATCAATATGGGCAGTCCTTTAGTGATCTGGTAAATGCTGCCTCTCTGCATGCGGCCTCACACGCTCCACCATGGGCGTGCTGGCGGATAATGCCTGCACGCAAAGGGGTTGCAACGAGGATGGACTATTAGAGTAGATTCAACACCTGCCTCTGAACATCTTAGCGAGAACCCGATTTTTTTTTTATCGCAAAGACTCAGGGGTTGGAAATAGCGCCTGTGATAATTTCTTTAGTAACTTTTGAGTGCCTTTCAAGTGAGGTTTACATGGATTCTAAAGTCACTTCAAACGGATAAGACTCACAGGCTGATAGTAGCGCCTTTCATGCACGCTCCAGCACGAGTTGAACAGCCGGTGGTGCCGTGACCTCAAGGCCCCGTCAGGCTCATACAGCGAGCGCCGAGCATGGCTCTCTGCATGCCTCCCCACATGGCTCTCTGCATGGCTCTCTGCATGGCCTCCTGCATCCATTCTCAGCATATGCTGCAGTCCGTCTCTCCTCCTTCCTCGTCTCCGCCCTTCCTTCTGCCCTCCTCCGGCTCCTGTCTCCCCTCTCCTACTTTCGACCTCTCCTCTTTCTCCTCCTCCTGTCCCTCCTCTCCTCTGCAGCCTCTTGTCCTCTGAAAAAACTTCCACCTGCCTATTTTCTCCCCAGTCTAACCCTCGCTCTCCCCATCCCTCTTTCCACACCGCCTCGTGACCTACCTCTCTCTCTGAACTTTGCGTTAATAGGCCACCCCGTGTAGTAGCCTGCACTACTCCAATATTTGAGACATGCTCTAGCTCTGGTAATTCCGGAATTGCTCCTGTCCCTGTTCGTCCTCTTTCCCTGCCACGGTCTTCCGCTTGTCCGTATGAAGGCGCGAGGCTGTCAGTGATGTCCCTGTTTGAGTTACCGTCACAAGCAACAAGGGTCGGATTCACCTGCAACGGACAAGCGACGGATTGGACACGCAGCAGAGGCGAAAAGAAGGGAACTTTGGAACAGGGAGACTTGACGGCCAGTCTGGGAAGCTCGGCGGCCGGTCTGGGAGGCTCGGCGGCCGGTCTGGGAGGCTAGGGGTCGGTCCGGGAGCAAGGGACAACGGTTGGAGAATGCTTGGAAAGTGGGAAATATAGATCATGGCTCTAGTATCAATATACTGGGGCAAGCACAAAGCTAAAGCTTCTTACGCCATCTCGCAGTCGTTGGTACTCGTTCGTACTCGTTACGACGTCTAGCGGTTATAAGTTATGACTGCTATGCCGACTATTATGGCTCGTATACATAATTGAGGCGTCTAAATTTGTTTGTTGAACTAAAGCAGTTGAATCACACCGCGCTCTAGTCACCGTCACACCGCCACCCGACAGTCATCTCAGGGAATGTCACCGCGGCAACAACCTTATTACGACGCTGCAGCAAGGCAACAGTCGGGATCATGAAAAGCAATTAAGTCAACGTAAACAGGCAACGGCAACGATCACGAGCCTCGGCGTACCAGGGAGAGGTGGCCTGTGCACAACAACGCGGCGACGAGAGCGAGTCGCGACAATCTCATGGTTGCCGTGCAATGCGCTAGGATCCCCGAATGTTGAAGTCCAGTAACTAAGACTCAGCCCATGCGCGCAGGCGATAAACCTAATGCCGGGTGATAGCAAGAATCATCGTGTCAAGCATCCATTACTAACAAACTAGTCCTATGCCGCGAGATAGGACTGACTGACAAAATGAGGAATGCTGCCAATGCAAATGATTCTACGATTTTTTTACGCTGAATGGAAGGCTGGGCTGTCTGACACAGAGAATACCGAGCGGCAAAATGTCGTTGAAACTGGCGCGAACCCGCTACAAGTCCACTCGAGAAGTGGCGACCGTGAGCATTCCGAGCGACTCTGTTCAACACATCTATACCTCGTACAAACATACTGTTCCGAGACAAATGAGCATGGATACCCCAGCATTCTTAGTTTATGTTGGGCTGAACGCCCTAGGATCTTTAGTAGAGTTAAAGTCTGAGAAAATGATGTAGTAGCGGAAGCGTTTGAATAAAGTCCTTGAACCACCTTGCGCTAGTATGTGAGGGCAAAGTAAGTTAATTAAAGCAAATAGATACAGGAATATATATATATGAGTACAGAGAATATGAAGAGACATAATTGTAACTGTTTTACTGCTGCGGTTCGATACAGTGCGACTCGGGCAACTGCTCAATGTCGAGTCAGTTGTGTGTCCTTGCTGTCGCGCTGCGTCAGGTCAAAGGTAGCTGACCTTTGACTTTCTCGTAACCTCCAGCGGTTACGTTAACCTCCGAGGGTTGACTCGCGGTGCTTCGATTTGAGCTGCTTCGCTTGTATCTTGAGTTTCGACACGACAGAGGCGCTTAAGACTATTTGTTCCCAACAGTTTATACATTGATGAAAAGCACAGCATTAGCCCATACTTTCAAACCACTGTCCTGCATATCACCCATTATAGTCCCCTGAACGTTGCATCACAGGGGGCTCTAGAAACACTCCTAAAGCATGCCAACAGACGACCCAACTCCTCCGTCCACATTGACATTCTGTGTCTCTCCACCTGCCCCCAAGTCCTTATTTCTCCCCCCCACCAGCCTGCCTGCCAGCCTCTGAACAATCCCTGTCTTACTCACCACCTTCACCAGGAAAAACGCCAGCCTAAACGGCGCACCGACAAGCGGCGAATCAATAAGCGACACCTCATTCCGCTCCACACCCCCTGCTCCCCTAACCGCAATTTCACCAGCACCAACCAAGCCCACACCACCAGCCCCACTGCCAGCAGCCACAACAGACCCAGCTTCATCCACCATCCCTCGTGCCCTCACGTCTCCTACAGTCCCATTTCCTACAGTCAGAGCTACTGCTCCACCCCCTCCTTCCACCCCTCCTTCTCCTCCTCCCCCTCCTGCTCCTTCCAATTCCCTCTCACTGTAAGTCACGGGCCAGATGGCAGGATACCGGCTGGATGATTCAGACAGAGTAGGGGTAGGCTGCTGCGCACACAGAGCCGCAGAGGGAGGAGGAGCACTGCGCACTACAGGCAGGAGTAAGGAGGCATCTGCAGCAAGGGACGAGGAGGACGAGTGTGCGGATTGCAGGAAAGCAGAGGGGCCATTTGCTGTGAGAAAGGTACCGTGACTGTCCCTAGAATCCTCCCTGGCAGCACCGGATGCTGTACCAGTGGCAGTTTGGAAACCACCATCTCTGGCAACCGGGAATGCTTGCTCTGTGGCAGTGTAAGAACCACCATTCGTTGCAGCCGGAAACGGTGCAGAAGGGTGCAGAGCGGTTGGGCGCGGGGATGGAGACCTGGAGGACTCGTCCTGAACATTCTGGCTCATTTGAGCAACTGGGACCCTTCCCTGGGTACCACCCACACCCCCTGCCAATGCTGCTTGATCCACTGAACCCAACCCTGCCACGTCAGCTGTGAGGGTGTACTCAGATGCTGACGTGGCACGAACTGGCAGTGCTGCCAATGCAGCTGCTGCTGATCTTCCTGTGAAAGGAAGCTCATGAGAAGAAGCAGGGGGGGTGGAGAGAGAGGAGGTGGGGAAGGACAGCTGGGAGTGTGCAGAGGAGGAAGAGGGGGAGTTATCCTCCACTACTGCTGCTGCTGCTGCCGATGTTCTTCCTGCTGCTGACGTGGCATGAGCTGGCAGAGGCTGAGTAAGCACAGGAGAGAGGCCAGCATGCATGCCCTGAGAGCTGGCTGGGACCCCAGCAGGGGTTCCTGGGATGGTGGTGGTCCGCATGGTGGTAACCAGATTCGCTATCAGCAGCTTCTGCTCGTTCATCTGCACACGCACCAGAGGGGTTACGCATATTGATATACAGAAATTTAAACCAACGAACGACAAAAGGGTCACTCACTAGGCCTCCGAGCCAGCTTTGAGGTGTTCGTAAAATCCTTTTGAATGGGGTAGAGAGATACACAATCGATCGTATAAAAGAGGCAACTCTAAGGGCCAAGCCAATACACAGGCTATGACCCACCTGTTGCACCAGGCGAGCGTTTTCCTCCACGAGTTTCTCCACAGTGGCAGCAGCAGCCGCCCTCTCCACCCTGGCGTCCTCTGCTGTTTCTAACACTCGCTCCATGGCACTGGGATCCCCACTGAACCACCGGTTCCACCCCTGTTAAGGTGGGAGGAGACAAGACAAGACAAGACAAGACAACCGCAGAAAGGATCTGTTTTGCTGCCCGCCCTCTCCACCCTGGCGTCCTCTGCTGTCTCTGGCACTCGCTCCATGGCACTGGGATCACCGCTGAACCGCTGGTTCCATCCCTGCAATGCAAACACGATGGGCGGACAGCGGGCTTATGTAGATTCAGAAGCAGCAGGTGATTCTACCCTCTCCACCCTCGCGCCCTCTGCTGTCTCCAGCACCCCATATTACCCCACAGCACCGCATCATAACTTGTGCTACATGCCTACAGCAGTGCCCTCTGCCCTCATTCGGCTCCAAATAACTGCCTCCCTCTCCAGCTGCTACGTTGCCGAGTGGCGAGCTCAACACAGCACCACGTGGAACCACACGGCACCACACGGCACCACACGGCACCACACAGCACCCAACAACAACACATAGATCCACACACCTTCTGCTGAACTCCCATGGTGGCCTCTGCCCGCGTCCGGTTCCGAATAGCCTCCTCCCTCTCCAGCTGCTGCATCGCCGTGTGAACAAGACACCTCGGGTTTCGCCCTAACACCACCCCACCCAGCATCCCCACAGCACCTCACAGCGCCACACAGTGCCACACAGCACCGCATAGTACCTTCTGCTGGGCTCCCATAGTGGCCTCTGCCCGCGTCCGGCTCCGAATAGCAGCTTCCCTCTCCAGCTGCTGCATTGCCGTGTGAACCGCCGCCAGCCGCGCTGACAGCCGCCGCCTCTCCCCCTCCAGACGGTCCGACTTGTCTCGAAGGCGAGACACCTGAGGGCAGGGCGCGGGGGGAGGGCGGAGGAGGGGGGGAGGGGGAGGGACACGAAGCGAAAGACAGGAAAACGTGTGAGACGCCTCCGAAACACACATTCCTGGGCGCTGATAGGAGCCGCCTCTCTCCTTCCAGGCGCCGTTGGAAAAAACCTACTCGAGTGGAACGCGCGCATCTCCCTTAGTCGCACTCCTAGCTAACCTGCTAGCTACCACGCGCCATGGACGCCTCTCCCCGACTAACCCCCACTCACTTAACCGGCTAACCACCACTCTAGCCATATCAAACGCACGAACCTCCGTTTCAAGTCGAAAGTTAGCCTGATAGTTATCTGCGAGTTAATTCATGAGACAGACGAGTCAAATGCACGCACCTCCGCTTCAAGTCGCACGTTGGCTTCCCTCAGCCGAACCAGCTCCACCTGCAGATGAAGGTAAGAAACAAGCACACAAACCGGAAAAACTTCACGCATTCCTGAAAGAGAAGGGGAGGATGGAGAGAGAAAGAGAGAGAAAGCACTACGCAATACTAAACGAGTCGGAGGAGAGCGTGTGGAGAAAGGGTGAGGTGGAAGGCAGCCACTGACAAGGTTAGCGAAGTCGTCTGTAACGCGTCGCTCCTTCCGTCTGCTGCGAACCGCCGCCGTCAGATCATCCCTGGTTTCCAGTAACGGACTGTCCTTCCCATACCGGCCCGTCCGGTACTTCGTTCCCTGACCCCTCCCTTGGACTGCTTCAAGACCCTCTCCCCGATCCTTTCCTCTGGGACTCCCATCTAGGCTCTCCCCTTGTCTCTCGCCGTGGCTTCTTCTTTGCGTTTCCGCTGCTGCTTGCACGTGCGCTAGCAAATCTGCGGATCCTGCCCGAGATTGGTAGAATTTTGTCGGGCTGCCAGCAGTTGCCGAGCCCGGCCGTCGTATCTGCAGGTTTTTCTTTGGGCTGCCCGCGGTTGAGTGGGAAAGAGATCCCGCAGACGTGGAGGGAGAGAGGTACACGTCACTCCGCTGCGAAATAAGTGGCGTGATTCGCAGACGAGAATGCACAGCGTACGTCCCCGATATAAGCATGTCGTGTCCAGACGGATCTCCGCGAGATTCTAACGCGGCTGCTCCAAGGCTTAGCCTCTTTGCTCTTGCTAAAAGTTCCAAGTCAGTATTGAGTGACGATTCATTTCGTCCTCCCCAACTTAAGATCCCGCCGGCCGCACCGCCTCCGTCTAGACCAGTCGTTGCAGCTACTGGAATCTGACATGTTCCGTCAGAGCTCCGGCAAGTCCGGGGACCCGGACTGCTGCATACAGATCCGTCACCGTCACCGTCAACGTCAACAAGCAGGGCGGTCTGACCTTCATGGCTGTCGTTACTTGTTTGGCTCGCGGCCTTATTATTCGGATGTATTACATTTGAAGGAAATTCAAACTCCCGTTGTCTATCCGCCGCGATTTCAGCAAGCGATGAGGTAGGCTGCTCAAGTTGCTTGCTCGTCGCGGGAGCCATGGCCAGCTTTATGCCTAGTGCTATATTCTACTCAACTTAGCAGCCGTCGGAGCCATGATCAAATGGATGCTTGGATGACTAATCGTCCAAAAAACAGTCATCACACATACTCCAGACGACTAATATGCTCGGTTGGACGCCTCGAGGAGCGTTTGTATGGATTAGGGAAGGTCGTGCTACAAGTTCAATGATTTCCTGCACTTCCTATAAAGTCTGCTGCTAGGAGACAGCAATTCTCGTAGTTGTGGAGGTCTCGTGCACGACCTGGTTGCTACTGGCTGGGCCATGGATAGTTCGAAAAAAATCGAAAAGTAAGATCACAGTCGGCGGGATACGGCATCAGAAATCGAGATGATAAAAGCATGGACAAGCAGTGTCAACGACGAGGAGAAGCTGCTTCCTAGACCAGTTTGGTAATGGCGGTTACCATAGTTCCACCTTCGCTCTAGCTAGGTAATCCGGAAAGCTTGCGGGTGTGTAGTAACACACTCTTATGCCGTTTCATAAGATGCTGTGCGTGTCGGAGCGGTTTGTATGCATTCTAGAATGGTTGGTTGAGGGTTTGAGCGAAGATTACAGTATGTGATGCTGTGGGTTCGAGTCACTATGGTTAGGTTGAGGCAGCCTCGAGGTTTACGGTGGACGACGTTTTGTGATGATATGTGGTCCGTCGATCCGACGCCAATGAGCCTCTAAGTCAGCACCTACCCAACCACCAGCGGACGGGGACATGATTGAAGGGGCGAAGGCCGCGTTCTGTATCCGGCTTCACTGAACGACTCGGCTCATCTTTGTTAAAAACGACTCATTTCAGACGGAGATCACAAGTCAAGCAACACTTAGCAGCTCAATTTGACTGGGCGTTTTCGTCTTAGGACAAGCCCCCACCATGACAGGACATGCGTACCCGTGTGACCCGTTGATCATATGTGCTTGATCCGCAGATTCAGGAGCCTGAACAAGCCTCTGACAGGTTGTCACCTCACCTCGATTCTGGTGGGGACAGGGAGCAGCGATTCGTCGGTCTTCGTTTAAGGAAGTCTCGATAAAAATGATTGAAACAAAAATAAATTCAACTTCTCTTGCTGACATCATCTCAAGCCGATCTGACATTGAATGCCACTCATTCCAGCATCAAATGGCGGTAATGACGGCCACGGCATGCTCTCATCCAATAGTACTTGGCAGTTTGAAGGGAACCAAGTCGAAGCCATTCATTTACAAGCCTGGAAGGTACAAACAACCATGTGAGGTGAGAAAAAAATCAGGTGATGTACAAGCAACTGGAAGCAAGAACACAATATTGAGAAAAATCTCACCAGCGAGTGAGACATCGTTGAAACGCAACCGATGTTGGTCGGACATACATGGGATCCCGTTGCTGGTACAACAACCCAACCTGATCAGAACACACAGGGGAGAGTCTGATTAGATTTAGAGTGCATGTCCTCACATACAAGGCAATGGTACATGTGCATGAGCTGTGATGCCAACATGGTGACTGTGGCAGTAACAGCAGTAAGTGAATTCATCATGAGCTGCTTTGAAAGAGGGGTAAAAGGGTAAATACGTATATTCATCCCTTTACTATGTGAAAACATTTTATAGTGATTGATTTGCAAATGGCACTCCTCACCTTGAGAAGCGCAGCAGCTGCTGGATCCTCCATAAATTCTTCCCCTGAGTCTTTGCCATAATTCACCTGCATCGTGGAAAAACACATGGAGACCAACTGTAATTTTCACCTCCAAATGAACAGCCTTAGGAATTTCCACCAATTCCTGATCGCATGGCGTGGGAGCGACAAAAACATCCCATCTTGCTCTCAGCTTGTAAGAGGCACATCAAACCTAGCAGCAAATCCCAAACAATGCAGCAACAGCAGCAGAAGCAGCAGCAGCAGCAGCAGCAGCAGCAGCAGCAGCACAGCTCACCCCGAACTCGGCAGTTGCCAGTGCATAAACGAAATCCATCATCTGAAACCGCGCCCACTCCCTCAGCTGCCGTCGATACTCCCCTTTCTCCTCCTCCTCCATCCATCCCTCCTCCTCTTCCTCCTCCTCTTTCCCACTCCTCGCAGAAACCTCTTCTGGCACTTCACCCTCCTTGGTAAACCTTGATTCCTTCTCTCCCTGCGTGTCTCTTTGTAATGCTTCCTGCCTCCCATGCACATCCCCTTTATTGATCCCATAACCAAACTCTGGTATCCATTTCACTCTATCTCTTCCTCTTCTCCCCTCCCTCCATTCCACCCACCGCCTGCCCCACGTTCCTGGCGCATTGCCCCAGGGGCTGCCAAACCTAGCCGCCCACCGAGGCTGTTCTCCCGAAGCTAGCTGCTCTCCGAACCTCTCGAGGTGTGTGAGTGCTGCTTGCATGGCTGGTTCAACCTCCGTCGCCTGTGCAGCCGAGAAAGTAGGACACAAAGGAGAAAGGACGAGCAGAGAGATGAGAGAAAGCAACACACTCAATCAAACTCAATACCAGCACATTGTCGCATACCCTCCAACATAACACCCAACACACCCTCCAACATACCCCCCCACCTCTCTCTCCCACCCCTCATCACACATACATGTGGGTATGCCAGGTAATGTTCCACACAGCGATCCATGCGCTCAAAATCAGCCCTCCCCTCCCAACGGCTCTACATCATCCCTCCACCACTCTAGCCCACTCCTGTCAACCCATACATGCAGGTAAACCAGGTAGTGGTTCACGCAGCTATCCACTCGCTCAAACATACTGGCAGTAAAATCACAGACCTCACCCCGTTCAACTCCTCTTCATCACCCCCACACCACTCTGAACCACTCCCTTCAACCCATACATGCAAATAGGCCAGGTAGTGGTCCACGCAGCTATCCACTCGCTCGAACCCGTCCTCCTCTTCCCGTCAGACAGCCCACAGCGAATGAAACTCACAACAGACCTCACCCCCTTCGAACCACCCCCCATCACCTTAAACCACCTCTTCACCACTCTAAACCATTCATGTGAAAACGTACATGCAGGTAGGCCAGGTAATGGTCAATGCAGCTATCCACGCGCTCAAACTCGTCCTCCTCTTCCCGCCAGCCAGCCCACAGCGAATGAAACTCCGCCAGGTGGCGCGGGTTGGAGCCAATCGCAGCTTCCACCACCCTCCACTGCACTCAATGGGGCAGGCAGAGGAGAAGCGAAATGAATAGAACAGAAAATCAAAGACGAGATGAAAAAAAGGGCATTTCTGTTGTGAAGGGGAGTACTTTTGTGGAGGAAGGGGGTACTTACTGTGGGGGAAGAAGCGCAAACATGAAATGACAGTCGCACAGTGGACCTGTGGGGTACCCCCCCCTCCAGGTAGGCTTTTGAGTCGACTCAAAAGCAGACCTGTGGGGTACCCCCCCCTCCAGGTAGGTGACGAAGAGGGCCCAAGGCAGATGAAGGGGGGGCAAGCCTATTGCTTGTTCACATGAAGGGTCTACTTTTGAGAATTCTCAAAAGATTTGAGTGTTCCGAGTTGGAAGGGGAGTGCCGTGCAGTGCCGACCACCTACCTGAAGGGGATTTTCGAGTCAGCTCAAAATGGCAGCAACAACCACCTACCTGAAGTGGGGTGAAGGTGGACGGAACCAGGTGTATGAAGAAGTGTTTTGAGACGTCCCAAAACACTTCTTCATACGAGTTGGAAGGGGAGTGCCGTGCCGTGCCGACCACCTACCTGAAGTGGGGTGAAGGTGGACGGAACCAGGTGCACGGAAGCTTCCTCCGGAAGCCAACCAAAGAGCTGTGTCCATCAAGGCATGGGAGGTTTGGGGGAAGAGGGTGGGAAGAGTATGTAGAAACGTCAAAATGCATGGAGAGTTGGGGACGATGGGGCTTTGGGGGTGGAAAAATCTGGATCAACGGTTTAGATAAAGCAGAGCTGCAGGGCGGAAAGCAGCAGCGGGAGCAGGAAGGGTGAGCGGCAGGAGGGGCGGGAAGAGGAGCAGCAGCAAGAGCAGGGAAAGAAGGGAGAGTAGGGAGTGTGGGGAAGCGAGCGGCAATGCCAGAAAAACACGCACGCAAGCACACTCACCTCGTGTGGGTGGAAAAGAGCCTGCGTGCCAAAATCAGCAGACAGCTGATCAGAGTAATAGCTGTGCCGCACACACAAGGGCAGCGGGGGAACAGACAGCAGAGGGTCAGACAGCAAGGTTAAGGTTGGGAAGGAAAATACACAGTTAGTCACTGTACTGATGTTATAGGTGTTGAAAAGAATGAAAAACGGAAACAGCGCTAAGACCAAGATGAAGCCTGTACCCTTTTCAAGCATGCTCTTATGCACCAGTAAGATCTCCTGTGCTGGAAGAACGAAGAGGCCTTAAACGATCAAAATCTCCACAGAACAGAGAAATTAGCGCACTGGGGTTCTTTCACTTTGAGATCTTTCAAGTGCCAACAATCAGTGCATTGGAGTCCATCTGGGATTCATTTAAAATTCTCAAAAAATCCCTGCATTGGAGTCGATCTGAGTGCATAAGAGCGCATCCCTCCTCTGCGTTCTTGAACGCACCTGTCGGAGGAGCAGAGAAGCACCCTGGGAGCCGCGTCTCTCCCTCTGGCTGTGGCCTCAAGGAGACGCAGCAGCAAGGCATGGTCAGAGAATCCACCCATCTGTGCATACATACCCTCTATCTACCTCTCGTGCACTGCACCATGCCAAGTCCCTTCCAACGCACCTGTCGGAGGAGCAGAGCAGCACCCTGGGAGCCGCGTCTCTCCCTCTCGCCGTGGCCTCCAGCAGGCGCAGCAGCAACGCATCGTGGAAATCCGCCCCCTCACACAGGCTTGCTGCTGCTGCTGCTGCTGGTGCGGCTGATGGTGATGGTGGTGGTGGTGATGGTGATGCTGGTGATGGTGGTGGTGGTGCTGATGATGTTGTGGATATTGTATGGCTCGATGGCGCATGGCGCAGCACTTGGAATCCGTTGATTGCCAGAAATGGCTGTGAGGGGAGAAAGTTGGGTAGAGCACATCAGCTCAGCACAGCAGCACACCATGCACATCAGCACACCAGAAAATCATGCACACTGTGCACATCAGTAGTACATGGCACATGCATAACTCATGGCACGGCCAACTCACAACAAGTGCAACTCGAGGCACAATAGTGAACGATGGATGAATAGGCTTAACAAGCAACTGAGGCACCCTCGCAACTGAGGCACCTCAAACATGAGAATGGGGGTTCCTCTCACCTGAAAGGGTTCCTCTCACCTGAAAGGGTTCCTCTCACCTGAAAGGGTTCCTCTCACCTGAAAGGGTTCCTCTCACCTGAAAGGGTTCCTCTCACCTGAAAGGGTTCCTCTCACCTGAAAGGGTTCCTCTCACCTGAAAGGGTTCCTCTCACCTGAAAGGGTTCCTCTCACCTGAAAGGGTTTATGCCGCCATCGAAGTTTGCTGCTCTTTCTCGTGCCTCCCGCCACAACAAGCAAGTCAATGAGCAGCCCACTCCAGGCGACAGCCGCCTCGGCATCCCCTCTCCTGCGCCCGAACCTGCCTTCCAGGCCCGGCCCGGACATCCCCTGCCCGAGGCTGCCACCCAGGTTCGGCCCCGACCTCCACCGCCGAACCTCCTGTATCCGGAGCAGCTGCTTGGCGAGGCACATGCTGACAATCGTTGATGCGGCAGGTTCGGAAAGAGAAGCTCTGTCTTCACTCTGTTGATTTGACTCTCCTCTTGATTCTCTTTGTGTATTTTCAACCAATTCCTGTGCCCACGCCTTTAGTAACAGGTGATCTTCGTTATAGCCCTGTCCCGCAATATCACACGCTCCAGACACAGATTGTAAATGCGCCTGCTGCTGCTTCTCCTGCGCCAGCTGCTGTTCCTCCTGCGCCTGTTGCCCCTGCAACCTCCCCTGCACCAATTGCAACGACTCCTCCCAAAGCTCCTCCACCTGCCTTCCCTCACACCTCCCCCTTTCCTCCCCATTCCTCCCCCCAGATCCCCCAATCCCCCCTGAAAGAAGCGTCTCTAGTGCGGTTACCACATGCACACGCCGCTGCAAAGCCTGCAGCAGGTCGTGTGACTGTAGGCGCCTCTCTCTAATAGCACACAGCACGAGGGTTTCTAGAGCTGACTCGATGTCCAGGCGAAGAGAAGATAGCTGCGGTTGAGGAGGGGGTGTGACTGTATCGAGGGGTGGGGCTGTACTGAGGTTTGGGGCTGTATTGAGAGGTGTGATAGAAGAGGGATGTGTGGGTGTGGGTAAGGTGGCAGGAGGAAGCATCCAGGAAGGAAGCCACGAAATTTCCCGAACTTGAGCACTAGGAGGCGATGAGGCTTCGTGTGAGGTTTGGTGGGAGGTTTGGTGGGAGGGTGGTTGAGGCGTTTGGCTTAAGGCGAGGAGGTTCGGTGACGTGTGGTGCAGTGGTGTGGAGTGCAGTGAGGAGGGAGGTTGCGAGGGAGGGATGAGATGCCTTTCTAGGTCAACGTATGCTACTGGAGCACCGCTCTTGACCCATTCGTTCACCAAATCTGCATGGAGCAAGCAAAACGTGAAGGGATTAACTGGCTGGAATGGTTACAATAACCGAATGAGATATTAATTGTACAGATTAATTAGAACGGTAGAGGATGACGAATAATAGACTGGTAGCAGAAATGGTAGCTGAACTTTCCGAATCAGGTGAATCGTTGGATGGAATCATATAATGACCTGTTTCTATGCCAACCCACCTTCCAGCCAGCAGGCTTCTATTCCCCACGCCACGCCTCTCGGCCCGTGAACCACCACGATGCTCTGATCCATCTGAATCCAAACGATCTGAATCAGCTGATACCGCTGACTTGCGAGAGCAATGACTTCCCGCAAACCCACCTTCCAGCAGGCTTCTATTCCCCACGCCACGCCTCTCGGACCGTGCACCACCACGATCGCCTGAAACACCTACTGACTGCCTGATACACCTAAACCTTCAGAATCGTCTCAATCAACTGGATCATTTGAATCATACAATCGCTGTTTCTATGCCAACCCACCTTCCAGCAGGCAAATCTTCCCCACGCCTCTCGGCCCGTGCACCACCACTACGATCCTCTGATCACTGGACTTTATAATGATCTGAATTAGCTGATACCGCTGACTTGTGAGAGCAATGACTTCCCGCAAACCCACCTTCCAGCAGGCTTCGCTTCCCCACGCCTCTCGGCCCGTGCACCACCACGATCCTTCGCGGAAGCCCCTTTCCGGATACCCGCACGCCCACCTCCAGCGCGGGCCCCCCCAGCAGCTTCCCCCACCCGATCTCCCCCTCCGCCACTCCCCCGCCCCCCGCCACTGCTCTCCGCACCACCTCCCGCGCGGCTGGCCGCGATATCCAGTTCCATGCTGCGCCTTCCGCGCACGGTGATCCTTCCGCGCGAGCTGGTGATTCCGCCTGCGGTGATCCTTCCGCGCGGGGTGATCCTTCCGCAAGTGCCGATCCTTCCGCGCAGGTGGATTCGTTCACAGGTGTTGCGGAAGCGGAACTAGCGGAAGCAGAAAGAGCTCGGACTAAAAGATTCCTAAGAAATGGCGATGATTGGTTTTCGAATGACAGCTGCGAGTGGATACGCAGTATTGACTGACTCTTTAACACCAATGGTCGCCTCATGGTCGCTGCTTGCGAGCATTCTATGCTGGTCTCAGGCCCAACGTTTCTGGTCTCAGATTACCTGGATTGTGGGAATGCTATGTACGGGATCATGGATTGAGACATCCCTCGATAACATCACGGAACCCACTTGTATCCCTCTGAAACCAACCTCGGAATGTAAAGAACACGAAGAGCCTTGTGCGTCTGCTCAGGGGCAGTGAGGAAGAGCTACTGAAAATACAACTAGTGAGTCCAATTCATAGTTATGGAATGGTATATAGAAATTACCCGTTTGGTTATACCGAATGTATCCCAACTCGAGAATCCATTTTCAATGGCGGTGTTCGCCAGCACTTTTGAAAACGAAAACGATGGGATCAGGAAGGTCAGTCACGCCTTCCTGATCCCGTCAGTTAGGGTTCGTTAAGCTCCGTCAGCCTGGTCAGCCCGTAAAATTCGTGCCGAAGCTAGGATGTCGTCCGAGCCTAAAGCAATCTGCGGTGCCTGGCGAACGCTCTCATTTTTCTCAATTTTCGGAAGGAAACATGGCATTCGGAAATGGGGACGCGACTTCCTCCCCAGGCAAACGTCCCGTCTCATGCCATCCCGTGGCAATCCACCATTTCACGTGGACCGCCGTGGTTTGGCGATGTAATTGGCTGTCGGAGGAAGGTGGGGTGTGGGGTTCCATATGCGGTTGTGAAGTTTCTCATGTCGGGGCTGGAAAGTTCGCAGGTGGCATTTCGCCCAAACCTTTTCGGAGGGTTCCGACCCCGCTTCCTGATGCCGTTGCCAGTCCAATGCCTTCCATTTTCTTCCAATCTCAAGGGTGCTGGCGAACACCGCCAATCAGACCACACCGATATTTGCTGACTTCCACGAAGGCATTCGTCAGTGCAGCATTTTTTCGTCCCATTTCCGTGGGTCCAATTGACTAATCACTGTTCACTCGCCAGCGTCCACGCAGCACACCAGCCAGGCAACGCCATTGTTGCAACCGGGGTTCCTCCGCATCGCTTCGTCTGTCGTGAAAAAAAAAAAGGTCCATGTCACTCCCACACGCCAATCGGTTGCTTCCGCTTTCCACCAAGTGTATTTACTGCGGTCCAATTTCAGAAACATTGCTGGCAACCCGGGCTTGTTTCGCGGGTTTTTGTTTTCTAAGTCTCACTTTCTCCACAGAGCTGTACAAGTCCCACGTCTGGAAAACCTGCCAGCTACGGAACCCTCTAAGTTCCGTCCAGGCACCGCCAAGGTCCAATCCCCTTTTGGCCTTCAAATCAAACCCTCCATGATCTCCGATGTGAGTATTGTTTTCAGGGCATCTCCTAACTGGGCAGGTGTTAATTAAATCGCTTTGCTGTCGGCTGACAGACTCCACTTTTCGGACGTGATCGCATTGCGTGGAAAGGAAAATCTCGCGCGGCCCTTCCCTTCCCTTCCTCCTGTTCGCTCGGTCGAGCGTCACCCCCCTGCGTCGTCCCAGGCAAAACGGGTGCGTCACCCCGAATTCCGATGAGCGATTCAGTTGGAACTTGGAAGTGGCAACCGACTGTTACGGGGAGGGGAATGGTTTGGGTGGAAGAGAAATGGGAATCCGAATGGAGAAAACACATCGCCACGCCATGCGTTGGCTTGTCATGCCAACGCAACACATCCCGTCACGTTCTCACTTCCACTCTACAACATGACGCATCATGCTTTTCAGAGTTTTCCAAGAGCGCTAGATTGAGGAAGTTTTCTACTGCACTAATGCCATTTTCTCGTGACCGTCACTAACGCCATTTTCTCGTGACCGTCGCCTGCCATGACCGTAGCTTCAGCAGCACGCGCGCCCACGCCAACTGCACTCACGCGCATGCAATAGCACGATCCAAGCCACACGCCATGGCGCATTACAAAACCCAGTTTAAAGCTCTCAAGGTCCAGCCTCTCTCACTCCCCGCCGCGACCCTTACCCCTTCCGCCGGCTCTTCCCCTTGTGACGTGCCTCTTCCTCCTAACGCCGCTTCCGCCGTAAAAACCGCCGCGGAACCCGTGCTGATCGTGGACAAATGGCGGGCTGTGATTCGCTGCTTCAGCCAGGGCACTGGCGACGCGCTCGGGTGCTCCGCGGAGATGCTGTCGGACGGCGCAAGCGTTTACGAGCTGGCGGAAGGAATGGAAGCAGCTGATTGGACGAAAGCTGTGGGGTCTCTGTCGCTCGGCGCGCTGTGGTCCGCTATCGAGTGAGTCGCCCTCTCCGCATCCTTTGCAATCTCGTCGCAGCGCCTATTTCTTGCGAACCTCTGATCCGAAACACCATTCGTTTCTATGACGGAACGGTCTAACATCTCATGTCGCCTTTCTATCACCTCCCCCCTCGGTGCGACCAGATTTTGGCTTCGTCGGCCCGAATGCTCTGGCCCGCTCAGTCGCCATCGCGTTCGCCTCACTCTCCAGCGACTCCGTGCGACGTCGAGCGAACGTTTCCTGCTTGCGACGCTGTCGCCCGCCGTCGGCGTGTGCTCCTCCGTCGAGGTCTTTGCCGGCGACACTGAATCCGCAGCGAACGGCCATCTCGCTCCGCCGCATCTCCGCCAACTTCTCGCTTCGGCGCAACTTTCCGCCCCGCCAACCCCAACCCCAACCGGCCCCGCAGACGCGAAGAAGGGTACGTCGAGCAAAAATTCGACGCGCAGCCCACGGCCTCTGCAGGCGACGCGGAACAATAGCGCGGTGCGAACCAGTGCAAGCCGGGGCGAAATCCTCGATCCACCTCAATCCCCTCCGACTTCCAAAAGCGGGGAACTTTCATGCGCATCCCCCAGCACGGTCGCCGAGAATACCTGTGTTCTCTCATGTACCCGCTCTTACGAGTGTGACTATAGCGAGGAGCAGACGAGCCCCTTTAAGGGAAACCGTCTCATGCGCTCCATCTCCTCTCTTCTCTCGTCGCTTAATCCCAAGTCTAAGGTCCGCTCTCGGCCAGAACCATCTCAGGACTTCGCTGAACAGCTCGATCCTTCGTTACCTGGTAACCAGCCCGCTACGTCGCCGGGTCCCTCGCCTAAGGCCACCAAGCCGTCGAGAAGCCCGAAGAACCCGAAATCGGTTCCCCAGAAGAGCCCTACTGCGGCCTGTGGCCGCCACGCGCCAGACCCCCCACCGCTCGCTGCGACGTCACGCGGGCGGTCCACCGCTGCCTGCGCGCCTGCTCCTACGGCATACGGCCCGATTCCGAAGAGCTACACGAGCCCGGCGATTGTGTTCAAGAACAAAGCAAGCTTTCCTAAGAGCCCCTCCGCAATCGGCGCCGCCGAAAGCGGAGAACGCCGTTTGAAAAGCTCCAGCGGGAATGGCGGAACCAGTGGGACCCGGGTATGCAACGATCGTTCGCCTGTACGCGTCGGCGTCAGCGTTCGTCACAACACGACAATGACGCCGGCAGCGGCGGCGGCAGTTGCGCGAGTTGACGCTGGTGGCGGGAGTGGCGGGGGCCGGGGATCGAGGCCCAGCAGTAGCTGCAGCCAGGGTGGTAGAACTGCGGGTGTAATTAAGTCGCCTCGAAATAAGGGGAGAGCCAGGGTGAGTACGCCGCCGCAGCTGGGAGCGTCGAAGAGCTTTGGCGGAGCTGTTAACACTGGCGGAATGGTTTCGCCAGTCGCGCAGGCGGCGGCTTGCGGGCGAGGAGGCAATTTGTTCTCAGCCCGGCCGAGTGTAACAAACGGCGGCGTAGTTTCCGTTAGAGTGAACGACGACCGGCTCGTAACGCGCTCAAGCAATCAGAGTAAATCAGTAAGGCGCAGCGCTAGTTCAAATGACAGGGTGGGTTCGCGGAACACTGTAGCTGCTCTGGCTGTGTCAGCAGCTGGCGGAACTGGCGGGACGGCGGGGGGGAGGGTTCTCCGCGCATCTGCTTCCGCAGGTCATGCGGAAACAGATTTTCAAGTGAAACGTTCCGCCAAAGCAACAGCATCAACGGCGAAGCTTCTGGTTGCGGATCTAACAAAAAAATCACCACCAGGTTCGGGCCGTGCCAACATATCCATTGGTTCGGGCAATGACCTAAACCGAGATCTGAAGCACGTGGTTCGGCAGAGGCGCGGGCTGCATCCGCTATTGGTCGAAATTCCAGATTGCGCGGGGGAAAAAGAAATAAGGGTTGCGCAGACCTGCAGGGCAAGGCTGGGAGGGCTTGCGGTTGTGCGGGAGAAAGGCGAAGGGGAAGAGGGGGAAGCGGCGGAAGGGGGGGCGCGTGGGGAGCGTGGCTGCAGGTTACGCGGTGGGTTTTCTCCTACGGGGGATTTTGGTCCGCTTACCCCTGGTAGGCTGATGATGCTCGAGAGATTCGGGTTGGTTGCGGGGGGGTTCGGGGAGAGACCAGCGGAGAGACAGGCGGAAAGAATACTCGAGAGGGATGGGGGAAGTAGGTTGAAGGGGGAGGGCGAGAGGGGCGCGGGGAACGGGGGTAGGAAGTCGGAAGCGCGGAGGAAGGGTGGGCCTGACGAAGAGATTTGGGCGAATGAGAGGAAGGGAGGGAGGCGTGGCAGGGTGAGAGACGAGTCAGATTTTGTCAGATATGATAAATCAGGAGAGCAGGGGAAAAGGGTAATTGGAGAGCACGAGTGTGAAGGGAAGGGCAGGGAGTGGAGAAAGTACTGTGGAGAAAGGCACAGGGGACATGGCGAGTGGAGGAGGAGCGAGGAGTGGGAGGGAGGGGAGGAAAGGAGAGGGGTGCGGGATAATGAAAGGAGGGAATTCTCTGATGATGAGAGTTTAGGGGAAAGACATAGGAGGAGGCATGAATTTTCAAATGATAAAGGTTATGAGCGTTCTGGTAAAGAGGAGTTTTCCAGCAGGAGTGGAAACATGAGGAGGAGAGAGGGGAATTACAACAATGAAAAGGATAGGGAGGCAAGGTATGAAAGGCATGGGAGGAGGGAGTATGACCGGGCCCGAGAGACCATGCGAGAAGGTGACAGAGATGGCCGGTGGAGGCGGAGTGGAGAGAGGGAGTGTGAGTATGAAGGACGAGGGAGGGATTTGTTCTGCAATGCGAGCGACACAGGGAGGAGGGGTGAGGGCAGGAAGATTTGGCAGCGTGAGGAGTGGAGTGGAGAGGATATGGTCGACAGAAGTGATGAGTACGACCATGATGCATATCGGAGCTACAGTATCGGTCGTAGGTATTTGGCGCACAGAGATTCACGTGGTATGAGGTCAGACTATAACGAGTCTTCTGATGGTGAGAGCAGTGGGGAGGAGGAGAGAAGGAAGAGGGGGAGCAGGGGTGGAGCAGCAGGAGGAGAGAAGGACCAAGAATGGAGTGTGCATGGGAGTGAGAGTGAAAGCGAGTCGGGGCATGCGGAGGAGTGGAGAGAGAGGAATCGTGACACCAGGAGGGGCATAGAGAGTGATGATGATGGCTCTGATGACTCAGCTGGCTCTCACAGGTTTGATGAGTCAGACGGGTTAAACGTGGCAGACGAAGCTTTCAAGGCTCACAAGGCAGACCATGCAGTGGAGGGAGAAGAGACAGACGAGATGGATGAGGCCGAAGGGGCTGAAGAGGCAGACGAGGCGAATGATCTTACTGCGTGTTGTGAACATCCGGGTGAGGTTGAGGAGTCGGAGGAGATGGAGGCGGGAAGTGAGGATGGAGAATGGGAGTGGAAGAATGTAGATGGTGGTGAAGACGGCTCCAGCAGAAGACAGGGATGGGATGCACAACCGAGGGTCGCATTGACCAACGCGTAAGGGCCAAATCTATTTCCATTTTGCTGATGGTACAGCCTGATGTGCTAGTACGTTTTGTATACTTGCAGATAACGTGGTTTATGCTACATAAGCTGTACAAATGAGGCACTATAATTTTATCAGAGTACATGTCAATATACTCTGATAATGGTCTGAAACGAGATGATGTTCTTAGCGAGCGTGATCGTGCGGTGCGGTGGGTCTGGGTTTGGTCGCCCCGTCTCACTCACCTTGGGAATGTCATTCCCCCAAACCCACACCTCCTGCTACCTCCAGCCTTTGTTCTTGGGTGGGTGGCTTTCTGCCAGAGGCCCGAGTGCTTCACCTTACGGCTTTCTCCGCGTAGTCTTGATTTCTTCATTAGTTTTGTACCTGGGATCTTGTGCTGTTCACGCGTCGCATACGTCGTACCCGTCGCACGGCGTCGTACAGCGTCGCACGGTGTCGCGATGAGGGAGGTCTGTGACGGTGTGTTCATCGGCAACCTCGCCGATGCCACGTCAGCACGGATGCTCGAACGAGCGCATGTCACGCGCCTTCTCTCTCTTTGCCCAATGGCTCGCTCTTCTTTCGTTACTGTCGCACCTCCTCCTTCCGATCCTAAATCTACCGCGAATTCCGCCGAAATTCCCCCTGACACAAGCGCAACCGCTGGTGGGTTAGAATGTGACAGTGTGACGCGTGGCTGTGACGCACGCGGCAGGCAACGGCTGACCGTAGATCTTCTCGACATGGACGACGCAGATCTGCTGGCGGTGCTGCCGAGCTGCCTGGCGTTCGTGGAGGAGAGCGTGAATTGCGGGGAGAAGGTGCTCGTGCACTGCCACGCTGGCGTGTCGCGAAGGTGCGTGGCGCACACTCTTCCCAGTACTTAATTACACACCGTCTTGGAGTTGCTCCTGGTTGACTGGTCGTTTGTCGGCTACATCCGAGCACGTCTTTTCGAAGCCTGATTGCTGCATCCCCTCCTCAACCTTTCCCCCTCAACCCCCACCCCCCCACACCCACTCCCTCTCCGCCCTCCCCCATCTCCCCCTCCTTCAGCGCAGCAGTGGTTACTGCATATCTTATGAAACTGCACAGATCGACGGCTGAGGGTAAGCTATGGATCTACACTCGCGGCTATAGTTATTCATAGATGTTTCAGGTGGTTCAACAACATGTGGTGTGGTACCATTACCGGATTTCAGACGGATTCACGTCCCCTTCCTGATAGCTCCGTTCTCGCACGCCTAATTTATCCATCCATTCCATATGCCCATCCCATATACCCATCCCTCATATAACCATGTGATATACCCATCCCATATACCCATCCCCCATATACCCATTCCATCTACCCATCCCCTATATACCCATGCCATATACCCATCCCCCGCATACCCATCCACCCATCCCAATCGCCCATCCCATCACACCCATCCGATCCCACCCACCCATCCCATCCACCCATCGCACCCCACCCACCCATCCCATCCCATCACACCCCTTCTCAGACGCTCTCCGTCTGCTGCAGTCCAAGCACCCACTTGCATGCCCCAACGACGGCTTCCTGCATCAGGTAAAACTATTCTGGAGACGACTCTAGCACCCTGATAAGAGTGAAGTTTTGAGACGTTTCAAAACTTCACTCTTATCACGTGCATCAGATGAAGCTATTTCTGAGACGACTCTAGCACCCAGAACAACGCTGTCCTTGCATCAAATGTTTTGAGTGGCAAATAATGAGCGGCAGCGGGAAACAACGATCTCCAGTTCTTTGACTGCCTGCCTGCCTGCCTGCCACTCTTGAGAATTCCAAAAGTAACACCAATATGAGAGTTGGCTTCTGAGTCGACGAAAATATTACCTTGTTTTACTCGTAATCTGCTTCCTCCCTTCTCGCCTCAGCTATGTGTATTCCACAGCATGGGATGGACTGTGGTCCCCCACCACTCTGACTACTCGCGCTTCAAGCTCTGTGTTACCCTTTCCTTGCTTCTCTGAACAGACGCCCTGTTGCCTCAGCTACGCATATTCCACAGCATGGGATGGGTTGTGGACCCCCACCACCCGGACTATTCGCGCTTCAAGCTGCGCCTCATGGCTCGCCGAATCACCGGCTCCCTGCACCATGGCGAGCCCATTGGGCCATGTCCGTAGGACTGTCATCGCGCCCCTTCTCTGACTGCTTCCTCATGTTCCTTGATGTGCCCCTTCTCACTCTTTCATATTCTCTCCGTCTCCCACTGCCCCCCTTCTCGCCTCAGTTACGGATTTTCCACAGCATGGGGTGGGCTGTCAACCCCCATCACTCCGACTACTCTCGCTTCAAGCTGCGCCTCATGGCTCGTCGAATCACTGGCTCGCTGCACCAGGGCGTGCCGTTCGAGGCTGGCAACGGAGCTGCTAGTAACGGGGATGCTATTAGCGGGGATGCTCAGTTACGGGCTGGAGTGGGGCAAGAGGGGGAGGTAGGAACAGCAGGAGCAGGAGCAGCAGGGGGCGCAGCAGCAGCAGGGGCAGAAGGAGGAGCAGGGGCAGCAGGAGGAGCGGGAGCAGCAGGGGCAGCAGGAGGAGCGGGAGCAGCAGGGGCAGCAGGAGCAGCCGGGGCAGCAGGAGCAGCAGGGGCATCGAAGGAAGCAACAAGGGCTCCAGAGGTGTATCGCTGCCGAAAGTGCCGGCAGGTGGTGGCAGCAGCAGCCAATGTGCTCCCTCATGCCCCCAAACCACCTGCCAGCGCCACTGACCCTGCTGCTGGCGGTGCTGCTGCTGGGGGTGGTGACGGTGCTGCTGCTGCTGGGACTGGTGGGGAAGGGGGCGGAGGTGTCAGGTTTCGTGGGAAGGGCAAGGATTGGAGGAGTGGGGCGGAGAGGGGATGCACGTCTGTGTTTGTGGAGCCACTCAAATGGATGGGCGACGGTGAGCATGGGTGGGAAGTGGTGAGGTGGGTTGAGCACCAGTGGGTATAGGTGAACGAGACTGATGCACCAGCATTAGCTCTTCCACTTTCCTTTCACACCTTTTTCAATCTCTGTTTTGAGGGCACATGTATAGAGGGTATTTTTGAGACGTCTCAAAAATACCCTCTATACAATTGATGCACCAGTTTTAGCTCTTCTGCTTTCCTTTCACACCTTTTTCAATCTCTGATTTGAAGGCACGTGTATAGAGGGTATTTTTGAGGCGTCTCAAAAATACCCTCTATACAATTGATGCACCAGTTTTAGCTCTTCTACTTTCCTTTCACACCTTTTTCAATCTCTGTTTTCCGCGCAGTCTTGGCTGCTGTAAGTGGTCGGGTCTTGAGCTCAGCGCAACTGGGGGAACTGGGTCATTTTGGGAGGTTGATGCATTGTCAACTCAGCTGTTCCCTCCTTCCATGTAGTGCAAAGCGGGCAGATCGAAGGCAAGCTGTCATGCGCCCAGTGCTCTACTCCGCTTGGCTACTTTCAACTGGTCGGGAATGCAGTGCAGCCGTGGGGAGTGGGGAGAGGGTCTCATACCGTACCACCACCACACCAGCAGCTAATCCCTCACTCCCTTCCTCTGTGTGGCGTGTCCCTGAACACATGCAGTGCAAAGCGGGCAGGTAGAAGGCAAGCTGTCATGCGCCCAGTGCTCTACTCGCCTTGGCTATTTCAACTGGTCGGGAGCACAGTGCAGCTGTGGGGAGTGGGTCACCCCAGCATTCCAGCTGCATAAGAAATGTGTGGATGAATCATGGCAGTGATTATAACGAAAGTGCTTTGTAGTCAGCTTCCAGGCATGTTTCTGAGCAGCTGCGCAGTGCGGCTGTAAACCATGCAATGACCCTTTCAGCAGCATAGGAAACCTATGGACGAATCCTGGAAGTGAAAAAAACGAAACTGCCCGCTTCATCAGTGGTGCAGTGCAGCTGACAGCTTCTAACATGTGTGCACCAGCTCAAGAGAGTGCAATGCAATGCAGTGCAGACTTTTGAGTCGACTCAAAAGTGTAAGTGGTGCAGTGCACTGAGTGCAGCTCTCAGCTTCTAACATGTGTGCACCAGCTCAAGGGAGTGCAATGCAATGCAGTGCAGACTTTTGAGTTGACTCAAAAGTGTAAGTGGTGCAGTGCACTGAGTGCAGCTGTCAGCTTCAAACATGTGTGCACCAGCTCAAGGGAGTGCAATGCAATGCAGTGCAGACTTTTGAGTCGATTCAAAAGTGTAAGTGGTGCAGTGCACTGAGTGCAGCTGTCAGCTTCTAACATGTGTGCACCAGCTCAAGGGAGTGCAATGCAATGCAGCTGCTGTGGGGAACTCAAGCATCTTTGCAATACCAAGCTGCAAACTTACTGGGCCTTGTTTTGAGGCGCCTCAAACATCAATACTACCGTAAGCTGCAAACTTACTGAGTTTTGAACACGGCCCACACTTGAGTTGACTAGGGTGAGTTTCGAGTGGCTCAAAAACACGCTGGAAACCCAAAAGCACACACCAGCAGACGCATCTACGGTACGGTCGGTACACGGGAGAATGGATTATGGATGGAAGCACGACGGACGGGTGTGAGCTGTTATAATCAATGGAGTGGATGGAGGGACAAACGTGATATGGTACGGTACTACAATAGAAATGCACAAACAAGATACAGCACAGATTGCCGAATGATGGACTGAGCTTACGGTAGATTGGGACCAAACATGGTAACTGTTGGAAACAATCGATCCTAAAGACGCTTCTATCGTGTCGAAACACCAAGGCACAAGCGAAGCAGATCATATCGAGGCACCAGCGAGTCAACTCTCGGAGGTTGAAGTAACCGCTGGAGGTTACGTGAAAGTCAAAGGTCAGCGACCTTTGACCTGACAAAGGCAGCGCGACAGCAAGGACACACAACTGACTCGATATTGAGCAGTTGCCCGAGTCGCACTGTATCGAACCGCAACAGCCAACAGTAAGACAGTTATCATTCATATCCCTTCGTATTCCTTGTACTCTTATAAAAGCCTTTGTACTTGTTTGCTTCAATTAACTTACTTTGCCCTCATATACCAGCGCAAGGTGGTTCAGAATCTTCTCCTTAAAACGCTTCCGCTACTACATCACTTTACACAGAGTTTTCATCCTACTAAAGATCCTAAGGGGCATTCAGCCCAACAGTAACCAATCAATTGAGAAAGCTTGTTTTCTTTCTTATCAATTGGCATCGTTCTCATTACAAATGGGTTGTAACGCTGACGGGTTGCTGCTGTAGAAGGGACAGCAGCGCGTTGACCTGGTCCGGGGTCAACGCCTGCGTCAGCGCAGGGGCGGCGGTCGCGTCAGACGAGGAGACTGCAGTCCGCCTCCTCTGACGCTGACGCGACGGTCCAGCAGCGGGTGCTGGCGTGTGCTCGGCGTCAGTCGCGTGTGCCGCGCCAGTCCCCGTCGCCACTTGCGCCACAGATGCCACTGGCGCCACAGGCGCCACTGGCGCCACAGGGACCGAAGGGTGCTGCTGGGTTTCGGCGTTTTTGTGGACCTCGAGCCCGCCCAGCAGCACGTCCACTGCAGTCGGGGCGGAAGGTCCGTCTTCTGCCCGACGCTTGTTACGGCGTTCGCCCGCAGAATCGCGGGCGTTACGGTCGGAGTCGGAAGCGGGGGTTGACGAGTTCCCGTTGTTAAGTGTCGGCGTAGGTGCCATCGTCGAGCGATTGAAGTTGAAAATGTCGCTGAGTAAAGTAGAGGGTGACTCGCCTCTAGGAAGCGATTTAATCCTAGCCAGCTTGGAGGGAAAAACTACTCGAGCGGAAAATGTTGAGTGAGCCGTTTGAAAATTGAGAAACGTGGGTGGAGGGAAATGAGCCCCAACCCACGGTTTTTGTAGTTGGAGAAGGGCGTTTAGCGCGCTTCGACGATGCCAATTGTGCAGTACAAGCAGCTTCGCTTTCACAATACACAATTTTAAAAAACACTACATGTGTGTTTAAAAATTATAAATTTTCCACCTCTCATCGTCAATCTTAATTCTCCATGTTACATAAAACCCATCACATACTGGCATGTCGTAATGTCATCCATCCATTCCGCCATCATTGCCTTTCCTTGCACACAAATAGAACCAAACAGACTACAACATGCATCCCATCTCATGCCCCCCTTCACTGAAACCCGCCGGCACCGCACCCAACCCATCTGCGCCTGCAGCTGTTTGGCCAGCTTGAGAGCAGCCAAGGCCCCCACCGTGTCTCCAACTCTCTTCAGTTCAACCGCCCTCCTCTTCTGCTCCATCACCTGCTGCTACACCAGCTGCAACTCCCTGAACCAACCGGCACCGCACTCAACCCATCTGTGCCTGCAGCTGTTTGGCGAGCTTGAGAGCAGCCAAGGCCCCCGCCGTGTCTCCAGCTCTCTTCAGCTCAACGGCCCGCCTCTTCTGCTCCATCACCTGCTGCTCCAGCGACTGTAATTCTCCCCCACTCACAACCCCACCCACACTCCCACTCCCACTCCCGCTCCCACTCACCCCACCACCTGACTTGGCAGCAGGCGCAGGTTTGGCTGGAGCGGGTTTGACCGGAGCAGGTTTGGCCGAAGCAGGCTGGCTGGTCTGGCGGCCGCCTGGAGCAGGTCCGGCGAGTCCGAGGCTACGGAGGTTCGCCATGAGAGCATCGTCGAATATACCCATATCATCATCATCATCATCCTCTAGACCAAAGGACATGAAGGAGGGAGGAGGAAGAGGGGCGGGTCGTCTCTGGGGTGCTGTAGGTTTCAAGGGCTTGGGAGCAGCAGCAGCAGCAGCAGCAGCAGCTGCAGGAGGAGGAGGAGCAGCAGGAGAAGCAGCAGCAGGAGCACTGGCAGCGGTGCTACGGCCAGTGTTACAGCTGAACCCACTGTTACTGCTGTTGTTATCACTGTTACCACCGCTGCCACCACCTGTCTCTGCCAGCTGTTTCTCTAGTGCCTTTGCCTTCTTGAGCTCAGATAATGCCTCCCCCAGCTTACCCTCCCTCTTGAAACCCACCGCCCTTCTCCTGCACGCCTGCAATTCAGCCTCCATCTCTTCCCTGCTGCTCTCCCCTCCCTCGCTTCCTTCTCCATCCTTTTGTGCAGTTCCCGTGGCTGCTGTTGCTGCTGTGGCTGCTGTTGCTGCTGTTGCTGCTGTTGCTGCTGCTGTTGCGGCTGTTGCTGCTGTTGCGGCTGTTGCGGCTGTTGCGGCTGTTTCTCTTGCTGATTCCGTAGCTGCTGCTGCTGTGCTGCGCATTGATCCTGCTGCTGCAGAGGGCTTGAATGCATCAGGTGCAAGAACTTCATTAACTGCATCAGCTGTGTCAACTGCACTCTGTGATACTTCCCTGCTTCTTGATGTTCCTATCAACAGCTCCTGTTCTCCCTGCTGCTGCTGCTGCTGCTGCTGCTGCTGCTGCTGCTGCTGCTGCTGCTGCTGCTGCTGCTGTTGCTGTTGCATGGCAGCAAGCAATGCAGCAACAGCAGGCGCCATGCTAGTAGCAATCACTGCAGCTCCCAATTGGCTCGTATCTGCACCACCAAACGTACCACCAATAGCACCATCAAAACTGGGCTTTCCATTATCCACTCCTGCACCCAACTGACTCGTGTCACCACCACCACCACCGCCGCTGCCACCAGCATCATCAGCAGCAGCAGAAGCACCACCACCACCACTAACGCCGCTGGCACTACCAACGACCTCTCTAGTCCTCTCACAGTTTCCGATATTTTCTTCCTCAGACTTTCCATTCCGAGCCTGTTCCACCCGAGCCTGGTCTGCCCGAGCCTGCAGTTCTTTGGCTCGTTTCAGCTGATCCAAGGCCTCCCCGAGCCTCCCTTCCCGCTTCAGCCCCACAGCAGCCAGCTTGCACTCCCGCGCCGCCGCCTCAAGTTCCTCGGCAGTTTCCGGCTCCTGGGCGGCAGGGCTTGTCTCCACTTTCTCCTCCCCTTGTTCATTTTGCAAACCTTCTCCTTTTACATCTGTCCTATCTCCTCCTCTCCTTCCATCTCCCCTGCCTTCTCCCCCCTCCTTCTCTTCATGTAATGACTCTGCTGCTTCCTCCTCTGCAGCCTCCTCCTTTTCCTTCCCTGCTTCCCGCGCCTCTTCTCCCACCCACCCAGCAGCAGCGAGAGCAGCAAGCATGTCCGGATCATCCTCGTCCTCATCCCCATCACCATCCCCACCAACATCCACTTCCTCATCATCATCATCACCACCCATGAGAATTGCTCGTATTCCCTCATCCATATCTGCTAATGCTGCCGGCACTGCTGCTGCTGCTGCTGCTGCTGGTGGTGCTCTTGTTGTTGCTGGTGCTCCTGCTGCTACCACTTTTTGTTCCTCAGGCTTTTCATTCCAAGCCTGTTCCACCCCAGCCGGTTCCACCCGAGCCTGTTCCTCCCGAGCCTGGTCTGCCCGAGCCTGCAGCGCTTTGGATCGTTTCAGCTGATCCAAGGCCTCTCCGAGCCTCCCGTCCCGCTTCAGCCCCACAGCAGCTAGCTTGCACTCCCGCGCCGCCGCCTCAAGTTCCTCGGCAGTTTCTGGCTCCTGGGCGGCAGGACTTGCTTCCACCTCTGCCGCCTCTTTCCCTTCTTCCTCCTCTGCTTTGCTTGACTCTTCTCTCACCCACCCAGCAGCAGCGAGAGCAGCAAGCATGTCCGGATCATCCTCCTCCTCATCCCCATCAACATCATCATCATCACCGCTCATCAGGATCGCTCTTATTCTCTCATCCATATCTGCCAATGCTGCCGGCACGGCTGCTGGTGGTGGCCGTGGTGCTGTTGCTCCTGCTCCTCCTGCTGCTGCTGATGCTGGTGCTGCTGGTGCTCCTGCTGGCACTGCCACAGGCGTTGGCTGCGCTGCTGCCACTGAAGCCGCACCTCCTGCCACCCCTGCTGTTGCTCTTACCGTTGCTGCAGCAGAAGCAGCACCACCACGCCCCATAGAAGAATCACGGCCCATGGAATCCCCTCCCGCGCCCAGCATGATAGCCGCCTCTATCCGCGCCTCTAGGCCCTTGGCGCGCCTTAAAGCCTCCATCGCCTCTCCCATCCGCCCCTCTCTCTTAAAGCCCACCGCTTTCCTCTTCCAATCCAACGCCTCTGCGTGCATTGCTGCTACATCCACCTCCTCTTCTTCCTCCTCCCCTCCCTTCTCTCCTTCTCCTCCTCCCTCTCCCTCATCCCCTTCCTCATCTGATTCCCACCCAAGTGCCTTCAGTTCATCCATACACTCCCCATCATCATAAGCACCTCCCATATAGTCACCCCCTCCCCGCCCTCCCCTCCTCCCCCCTCCACCCCCTCCAGAAACACCATCTATCCCCGTTCCTCCCCACTCCTCCTCCTCCTCGTCTCCTATATTAGCGATTAAAGACATAATCTGCGCCAGGTCTAGATCCGCTCCTCCGCCTCTTCCGCCCATACCTCCGCCACCTCTCCCCATCCCCCCCATCCTTAAATCCGTCTCCTCCACTAGTGCCACGTCATCGACACTTGTCAGCCCGAGACTGGCGAGCAGCCGTTTCTCCTCGTCATCATGCCCTCCCTCCGCGCCGTCCGCTAGGTTTAATAAGAACGAACCGTCTTCTATTTCTTTCTCAAGCTTCTTAGCCTTTCTTAGTTCCGCCAGCGCCTCTTGAACCTGCCCCTGCCCCTTAAGTTGCCTCGCCTTGCGCTTTAGGTCCAATACCTGCGCTTCTGCTGCTTCGCGCGCCGCGCTCACCTCGTCCTGCTCCGCCGCCGCCCCGTCCACGTCATCAAGTCCGGCCAAAAGGCCCCCGCCGCCAGCTCCCCCCGCTGGTTCCGCCCAACCCAGATCGCGCAGTTGCGCCATAATCTCCCCGTCGTCGTCCCCACCAGCGTTCAACCGCGCTAGCCCCTTCCGCTCCGCCTTCACGCCTTCCGCTGCCGCGACCTTGCGCTCCCCTGCTCTTGCGCTTGCAGCTCCGGACTTACCCGCCCCGCCCGCTTTCCCCGCACCCGCGGATCGAGCCTCCGCTTCCGCCTCGCGAGATCTCGCTGCCGCTACGCGTTTCCCTCCCGCCCCGCGCGCGCCAGCCGCTGCGCCAAGCGCGTTTCCGCGCGCCATGGCTTCCTGCGCTATCTCTTCCGCCTCCCGGGACGCGCCCGCAAGCGCGGCAGCGGTTGCGGCGGCGGTTGCGGTGGCGGTTGCGGCGGCGACTGCGGCGGAGTCGTCCTTGTCCTTGGCGCGCTTCTCAAGCTCGCGAGCGGCTTTCAGCGCCTTCTGCGCGCCCGCGTACAGCCCCGCCTCGCGCATCGCGGAAGCTTTGGCGCGCTGATCCTTCGCCTGCGCGCGCAGAGTCTCCGCGGTGACTCCGTCATCAACCGCAATACCTAACTCGCCTAAGACGCTCCCGACATCGGTTCCATCCGAAGCGCCTTCTGCTCCCGGTGCCACGTCAGCACCCGCGGTTCGCGGTTTCTTGGTGGCCGCTGCTGGTCGATTGTTTGCGTTCTTTTTGGGCGGCGTCTTGTCCTCATTCCGCGGCCGCCCGAAGAAACCGAACATGGCTGCCTTGAAACCAAAGACTTTCTAAAAGAGCTGGAACAAACACGCGCGTTTCTAGGAGGCTCTTCGGAGGTTCTCAGACCTGGAATGCCGCTCTAGCTTTCTGACAGTTATTAAATTTCGTATCACTTTCAGGAAACTCTGAATTCCAGGTTCTGTAGGTCCTTGACCTTGAATCTAGATTCTAGGTGCGGTGGAAAAAGGTGGGGCTTTTTATAGCGAGGTTTTCGATAAATGCAGCTTTGGGACCTGAAAACATTGAAATTCTAGCCCACAAACTTTCCATCAATTGGGCGGGCTATACGCAGTATCGAGCCATTGTTTCTAGGGTTTATGAAGGTTCTGGGTGCGTGGCCTTGAAGAAATCGGAGCAGGGTTCTACATGGGCTTTTGCTTGGCTTTGCTTTGAGAAATGCTTTACGATGGAATCTAGGTTCCTGAATTTCGAAGGGAAACCATAACTTGTCCTTCGAAATTAGTCCAGTCCAATCCGGTGATGCTGTTATGCTCTCATCCCTAGGGATTGCGCAGCATGTATAGCGTTGCTTAGGCTTCAACCTGAACATACGCGTCCGTTAGTATCGAGAACATACACGCGCTTCAATCAGCACATTAGCGTCGGTGCGATTCGCGAGTTATTCATATCCCGGCCATAGGTCACGAATCCTGGTTAAGATCTCGCGATTCTTCTACTATTTTTGGGTATCGTTGCACGTAGCTGCTGCGAGGAAACGCCTATTTCGTCAGCCATTCTACTGAAGCTCTCCAAGCTCTGCCATTCCTTTAGAGGAATTCGTAACCTAGCGAACTTAGCGGGCATTCTCTTCGGCGCGTAACAACAGAGCCATTATTTTGAAACACGTTATAAGTCAGTCGTTTTCCCGAGCCGCTTTAGCCACTACCTATTCTGCAAGGCTGTTAACTCAGCCATGTCGCAGCTGTATCCGCGGCTCCAGGTCTTACCCGAGGAGCTCGCGGCGCTCCAGTACCATCCGAAGTGCATCCGGAACATCTGCGTCCTCGCGCACGTGGATCACGGAAAGACCACGCTGTCAGACCACTTAATCGCCAGCAACGGTCTAATCCACCCGCGGCTCGTCGGAAAGCTTAGATTCTTGGACTGGCGGGAAGATGAGCAGCGGCGCGGGGTTACTATGAAAAGCTCGTCGATTGCGCTGCTGTTTAAACGGCACGCCGCGTCGCCGGGTGGGACGGCGGGGGGAAAGGCGCAGCAAGCGGAGGGCGGAGTGGAAGGGGGGAAGGGGGGAGGCGTGGGGGAAGGCGGAAAGACAGGGCCGCAGAATGGTTTGGATGATAAATATCTGATCAACCTCATTGACTCCCCGGGACACATTGACTTCTGCAGGTAACGATTTTGCTTCCCAAGCTTGGCCGTTGTTGCAGTGAGGTGTCAACAGCAGCGTGTGTGTCGGATGGAGCAGTGGTGCTGGCTGATGCATTGAAGGGGGTGCACATTTAAACACACGCAATGAGGCTCTTTTGAAGTCTGCACATACAGACGCACGCCGTGAGACATACGACGCCGTGCTCCCACTCCTCTCTCTCCTATCTCCCATCTCCCATCCCCCTCCCCACATTCTGCTGCCCTGTGCAAGCACAGTGAGGTGTCAACAGCAGCGCGGGTGTCGGATGGAGCAGTGGTGTTGGTGGATGCAGTCGAGGGGGTCCACATACAGACGCATGCAGTGCTCTCACTCTCTCCCTATCATTGACCATTCCCCTCCCACTTCTGCTGAACAGTGAGGTGTCAACAGCAGCGCGGGTGTCGGACGGAGCAGTGGTGTTGGTGGATGCAGTCGAGGGGGTCCACATACAGACGCATGCAGTGCTCTCACTCTCTCCCTATCATTGACCATTCCCCTCCCACTTCTGCTGAACAGTGAGGTGTCAACAGCAGCGCGGGTGTCGGACGGAGCAGTGGTGTTGGTGGATGCAGTCGAGGGGGTCCACATACAGACGCACGCTGTGCTGAGACAGGCCTGTCTGGAGCGCCTGCAGCCTGTACTCGTTATTAACAAGATGGACAGGCTTATAACGGAGCTGATGCTCACTCCTGCGGAGGCCTACGAACGGCTCAAGGTGGGTTAGAGGCACAGGTGTGAGTTTGTAGTTATACCTGAATTGACAAGATTTCTTAAAACCCTTGTGGTGACGTGTGTTGTCTCTTTTCTCATTCATCTCTTCACACTGGCTGGCTTCTGCCAACCCCCGATCTTTTCAGCACCCCCATGTTTCTTTAAACATTAAACCCAAAACTCCGAACGGCAAACCACGAAGTTTTCAATCTTGTGACGTGAGTCCCACATCCCCCCTCCCCCCCACCTTAACCCCAACCCCCCAACCCCTCCCGCCCCACCCCTCTTGACAGGGCATAATCACGGAGGTCAACAACATCATCCACGCATTCCGCTCCGAGAAATACATGTCCCACGTGGACTCCCTCTCCCTGCCAGCTGGCGCCACGTCAGCAGGCCATCCAGCTGACGCCGACGGGGAAGCAAGCGGGGGAGGAGCAGGAGAAGGGCAAGGGAGGGGGGGTGGGGGAGGGGGAGGAGGAGGAGGATGAGGAGGATGTGTTTTCCCCAGACAAGGGGAATGTGGCATTGGCAAGTGCGGTGGATGGGTGGGCTTTAAGAGTGAATGACTTTGCAGCCATGTATGCAAGAAAGCTTGGGGCGTCTGAAAATGCCCTCATGAAGGCTTTGTGGGGGGACTGGTGAGTCGCTTATATACTTGTTATATCTCTGTGTGTATGCACACGCAAGTGAGGGGTGGATGATTTTTTTCTGGCCATGCATGCTAGAATTCGGGGGGCATTAAGAAAGTTCCTTCTGCATGTTTGTTTGATGGGAGATGGTAAGGTTTTGAGGGGCAGTTGAGAGCCTCTTTGTATGCTTTGAAGGATAATCGTGAAAACCTTTGAAGGCTTGCTTCTCTCTGCATTCGAGCCACACTAATCGTGCTTTTATCCTCCTCTTGCCCCTCCTCCTCAGGTACTATATTCCCAAGACCAAGAAAATTCTGAAAAAGAAAGCAGCGCAGGCGGCAGTGGGCGGCGCATCTTCGTCTGCCGCCGCCCGGCTGCGGCCGATGTTTGTCCAGTTTGTGCTGGAGCCCGTGTGGCAGATCTATGAAGCTGCCGCCCAGGGAAGCAACAGTAACAACAGCGGCAACAGCGGCAGTAACAGTAGCAATGCAGACAAATCCAATCCGATTCTCGAGAAAATCATATCTTCGCTGGGTCTGTCTGTGCCGCCCAAAGATCTCCAGCACAAGGATCCTCGCACCGTCGCCCAATCAGTGATCGCCAGGTGGCTGCCTCTCGCGCCCTGCATTCTATCCATGGTGGTGGATTGCCTTCCCGACCCTGTTGCCGCCCAGAAAGACAGGCTCGGGTGCTACCTGCCGAATCGGCCCGCCGTACCAGCTTCGTTAGACAGGTCTGGGGAAGCGGGAGCGGGAGAGGAGGAGGGAGGGGAGGAGTCGGTGTTGCGCCAGGTGGCGGCGGTTGATAGGGCGGTGGAGACGTGTGATTCGAGCGAAGAGGCCCCGTGTGTGGTGTTTGTGTCTAAGATGTTTGCTGTGCCATATGAAATGCTTCCAAGGGAGGAGCAGAGAGCAGAAGAGGAAGCAGCTGCTGCAGCAGCAGCAGCAGGAGGAGGAGGAGGAGGAGCAGGAGGAGGGGGAGGAGCAGTGGGGGGAGGAGTGGGGTCGGGAGGAGATTTAGCTTCAGTGGACGATTTAGGAGTGTCAGTGCGTGATCGCGACTTCTTTTTCGCGTTTTCCCGTGTCTTCTGCGGGCGGCTGCGGGCGGGGCAGCGCGTCTTTGTCCTTTCCCCGCTCTACGACCCGTGCCGCCCGGCGACGTGGGCACGGCACAGACAAGAGGCGCAAGTGGGCGCACTGTTCATGATGATGGGGCAGGGGCTGCAGCCAATCAGCAGCGTGCCAGCTGGCAGCTGCGTGGCGATCAAGGGATTAGAGGCGTGCATTCTGAAGAGTGCGACTGTGTCTTCAACTCCCTACTGCCAGCCATTCGCTTCCATGGTGTTCCAGGTGAGGCATTGACAAGGGCAATGGGCGAGAAGGGAGCGAGGGGAAAGAGGGAAACTGCGTGGCGATCAAGGGGTTAGAGACGTGCATTCTCAAGAGTGCTACTGTGTCTTCCACGCCCTACTGCCAGCCATTCGCCTCCATGGTGTTCCAGGTGAGGCGTCGTAAGGTTAACGTGCGAAATGAAGGGGCGAAGTGTAAGGCTATCAAGATCTGCTGCTTGTATGGCGATCAAGGGATTAGAGGCGTGAATTTTGACGAGTGCTACTGTGTCTTCGACTCCCTACTGCCAGCCATTTGCGTCCATGGTTTTCCAGGTGAGGCATTGTAAGCTCAGAGGGCGAGGGGCAAAGGGCGAGAGTGGAAAGGGGGAAAAGAGACTCTGTGTGGCGAACAAGGGATTGGAGGCATGGCTTTTAGAAGAGTGCCACTGTGGCCTCAACTCCCTACTGCCAGCCGCTTGCCTCCATAGTGTTCTAGGTGAGGATGCCTGTGAGGAAGGTGGGTGCGGCAGGGCAGGTAAGGTGCTTGTCGAGCGACGCATCAAGGACCTGCAGGAGAGCTCTTCACCCTCTCTTCTCAACAATCACACTCCATTCTTCCCTCCCTCTCCCACGCCTTCCACAGCCAGAGGACCCTCGCCATCTGCCCCTCCTCGCCCAGAGACTGCGCCTTCTCAACCGCGCAGAAACTTTGTGGAAGTGGAGCTGGCTCGCTCCGGAGAGCATGTGGTGGGGGCGGCGGGGGAGGTGCATCTGGAGCGGTGCATCAAGGACCTGCAGAGCCCACCTCACTCACTCGTCTCAACAAGCACTCTCCACCCTTTCCTGCCTCCATCCCTCTCCCACCCGTACCCCAGGCTGCCCCTATTGTCCGTGTCGCCATCGAGCCAGAAGACCCTCGCCACCTCCCCCTCCTCGCACGCGGCCTCCGTCTATTAAACCGTGCCGACCCCTTCGTAGAAGTCGTACTGGCTCGCTCAGGGGAGCACGTGGTGGGAGCAGCAGGGGAGGTGCATCTGGAGCGGTGCATCAAGGACCTGCAGGAGCGCTTCGCCCGCATCAAGCTCGTCGTGTCCAAGCCCATCGTTTCCTTTCGAGAAACCATCGCCCCCTCGGGATATGCGACTGGCTCTGCGAGTGCGAGTGCATCCGGGTCTGAGAGTGCGTTGGTGTTTCCTACCACGGTGCTTACGGTTACCACCACTCCGGGACCCCCTCCTAGCCTCTCATCACTGCCTGGTGCTGGTGGTGCTGGGGTTGATGGGATGAACAGCAGTGGGAACTCAGCATCCCCCTTAGCAGCAGCTTCGTTATCTCACCTAGCAGCGCTGGCAGCAAATTCTGCTGCGTCTGCTGCCTCTGGAGCGGCCATACCACTAGGCTTCGGCCTTGGTTACGCGCTTGCGGTTACCACCACAAGCACTGGTTTTGCTGCCGGTGGCAGTGCTGGTAATAGCATTAGTGGCAGCGGTGCTGGTTCCATGGGTAACCCTGCTCATCCCTCATCAGCAGGAGCGGGAGGGGGAGGGGCAGCAGCAGGGGCAGGTTTACCCGGGGGAGGTGCTTTCTGGACGGAGCTCTGGGCGGCAAACGGGCGGTGCCGGGTGAGGGTGCTCGTTGAGAAGCTTCCTGGAAAGCTGGCAGCGGTTTTGGAGAGAGAAGGGGAGACTCTGAGGGATGCGCTTGTTGAAGAGGGAGGAGGTGTGGGGGGCGGAGGCAAGGGAGGAGGAGGAGGAGGAGGAGGGGCAGAAGGAGCAGGAGGGGAAGGAGAAGGAGAAACGTCAGCACCATCAGAAAATTCAACTCAGTCAATGCAGTCAATGCAGCAGTCAAGGCAGTCAGCCACTCTAGCATCCCTAAGGCAACGCCTCCTAGAAGCCATAGGCGAGGCAGACATAGACGAGGGCTTGGACGCATCTGGGGGAGGATCATCTGCCGCCTCTGCTTCTGCCGCTGCCTCTTCGTCTTCATCTGCAGGGAACCAGCCAATGGGAGCGGAGGCGAGGCGGGCGGCAGTGGCGGATTTCCAGGCGGCATGGAGGAGCAAACTGGAGAGAATCTGGTCGCTAGGGCCGAGACACGTCGGCCCAAACTTGCTCCTTGCTCCCATTCCTGTGAATCCCAGTGGGAATAGTACAGATAATTCTAGTGGGAACAGTACTGGTCATTCTAGGTCAGGCGTTTCTGGGAGCTTGCCAGCTGGTGGTGTGGTTGTTCCCGGGCTGCCGGAAGCTTCCTGGAAACTCGGGCTGGCAAGCGCAGGTGCTGTGCAAGGTGGTGCGGAAGGAATGGGGAAAGGGGTGGGAGGGTCGAATGGTGCGGTTAGTGCAGCAGATGGGGAGGAGCGGGAGGAGAAGGAGGAGAGGGAGAGTGGTGCTGTTGTTGGTGATGCTCCTGTTAGCCCCTCTAGTGCGCCAGAGCATGAAGTGGTGCTGCGGAACGAAGCCGCTGGTGAGACGTCTCAAAAGGAACATGATGACGTGGCACTGCAGCACGAAGCGGAGGGATTGGCCGGGTCGGTGGTGAGTGGCTTCCAGCTCGCCACGTCAGCAGGCCCTCTGTGCGAGGAGCCCCTGTGGGGGCTGGCGTTCACTGTAGAGGTTGTGATTGTAAAGGGCGCTGGCCGCCCAGGAGCAGCCTTCAGTAGTATCACTAGCAGCAGCAGCGGCACCAGCAGCAGCGAGCAGCAGGCTAGTGACGACACAGCACCAGCACAGAACGTGCCTGCATCGAGTGTGCCTATATCAGGGCAGGTGATGAGTGCAGTGAAGGACGCGTGCAGAGCAGCAGTAGCAGCCAACTCCCCTCGGCTGGTAGAAGCCATGTTTCTGTGCGAGGTCACCACCACCACTGAGGCATTAGGGGCTGTGTATGCGGTGCTGGGGAGGAGGAGAGCAGCCGTGGTGAGGGAGGAGATGAATGAGGGATCGGGGATGTTCACTGTGCATGCGCATTTGCCCATGGCAGAGTCGTTTGGGTTTGCAGAGGAGTTGAGAGGCAGGACGTCCGGTGCTGCCAGCCCGCAGGTAAGCCGCAGTAGCCCTTGCCCCTTTTTCCCTTCCCGGTTCTCCCATTCCCCTTTCCTGGTCCCCCTTACTCCTTTGACGATCTGGGTATTCTGTGGTGAGACGACTTGAAAGAGCTCTTTCAGGTGCCACGACCTTGCGGGGCAGCGACTGTTGTTTAGATCAGACGTTTTGGCCAGCTGTGTCTGACTTTCGTGTCGACTCAAAAGTCAGTCAGCTACTTGCTGGGCAGCGACTGTTGTTCAGATCAGAAGTTTTTTTTAGCTGTGTTTGCTGTGTGCTTGAGTTGGGCGGCAGTGAGTCATCAGCAGAAAAGAAGTCATTAGATGTGGGTGGCCAGGAAGTTGAACGAGGGGAGGCATGAGCCATGCTCATTACTGCCCACAATCAAAGTGTTAACTTGTATCTTCTCTCATAACTTAGGCTTAGAAGCGATACATTAGTAATGAGCTTGAAACTCTTTAAGTACATCCAAGAAGGGGAGGGAATGGATGGGGAAGGGAATCGGGGGCGATCCATAGGGATTGGGGGTAATCCCAAGGCAATCTCCAATTGGTGGGTTGGAGATTGCTTGGAGATTGGGTTTGGTTGGGATGTAGGTGTACACCCAACCAAACACAATGTGCAAACTACACTACTCTAGGATATAGAAAATACAAAGTACAAAGTGTGAGATTGAAGGCTAACACTAACACCCCCCCATAGGCGTCAATCGAACTCATGGTAGAGAGGGTGGTGCACAGAGCCCCATGGCGCCTAGGAGACGGTGGTGTGGAACTTTCCCAAGGGGCTTGATGAACAGATCAGCCAGGTTGCAGTCAGATGCAACGTATTCCACTTTCAGCTGCTCCTGTTGGACAAGGTCACGGATGATGAAGTGCCGAAGTTCAATATGCTTGGTGCGGGTGTGATACACAGGGTCTTGAGAGATGTGGATGGTACTCTGGTTGTCACACCAGAGGGTGGGGGCGGATTGTGGGAAACCAAGCTCCTGGAGTAGGAAGGTGAGCCAACGAGCCTCCTGAGCAGCCATGGTGCCTGCGTAGAGCTCTGCCTCACAGGAGGAGAGGAAGACCGCAGACGACCTGGTGGAGCGCCAACTGACAATTCCGCTCCCAAGGGTGAAGCAGTACCCCTGAGAGGAGCGTCGGTCTGTCTGGTCATCAGCCCAGGAGGAGTCGGTGTAACCTTCCAGGCGAGGAGGGGATAGCCCACCGAGTGTGAGAACGTGAGACTTGGTGCCCTGAAGATAGCGCAGCACCCGCTTCGCCGCCTTCCAGTGAAGATCAGTGAAGCGTCCAGGGGCCACGTAGCGAGAGAGGACACTGACAGGATAGGCCAAGTCCGGTCGGGTGCACATCATGGTGTACATGAGGGACCCAACAAGCTCCGGGTATGGCTCGGAGCAGGCCTCTGGTGTGGGTACAGCTGGAGCAGTGAAGAGGTGTTGCAACGGCAGCGGGGTGGCAACACGTGTGCACATCTCCATCTCAAACCGCTTGAGCACATTGTCGATGTAGAACTCCAGGGAGAGTGAAATGGTGCGAGCCTGGCGATCACGAGTGATCTCCATCCCCAGGTAGTGCTTGAGGTCACCGAGGTCTTTCATCTGGAGAGCCTTGTTCAGGGCTGCCTGGACAGAGGTCATCTGGGCCGAGTCCTTGGCAATGAGGATGAAATCATCCACGTAGACCAGGATGTAGAATGGCTCAGAATGACGGCGGATGAAGAGAGTCGGGTCAGCAGTTGAAGGGTGGAAGTCCAGGGAGAGGAGGACTTCTTTCACCTTGTTGTGCCATTCGCAAGGGGCTTGCTTAAGGCCATAGACAGGGTGATTCAACTTCCAGACAGTGTTGGGAGGGAATTCTCCTGGGAAGCCTTCTGGTCTGTCCATGAACACCGTCTCCTTGAGACGTCCTTGTAGGAAGGCGGATGAGGCATCCATGGATTTGATCTCAAAGTCTTCTCGAGCTGCGACATCCATGAGCGTACGAATGGTGGGAGGTTTGAATGTGGGGGAGAAGGTTAGGAAGAAGTCGCGGTACTGCTGCTGGGTGAAGCCCTTGGCTACGTAACTCGCTTTGAACACCGGGGCCTCGTCTGGGAGTTGTTTTACACGGAACAACCACTTGCCCCCGACGATGTTGACTTCTGGAGGTGGTGTCTCGTTGTCGAAGGAGTGGTTGCGGGTGAATGCTGCAATCTCCGCTTCCATGGTAGCACGCCATTCGGCAGCATGAGGGCCTGAGAGAGCCTCTTGGACGGTGAGAGGGATAGGGATGGTCGGGTTCTCCGCGAAGTTGAGGGAGGGTGAGACAGTGATGTCGGGGAAGATGTGCGAGAGCTGAGGAATGACTGCATGAAGATCACATAGCTCCTCATGCCTGTCTTCCAGAAAGGTAGAGGGCACATCCCCCCCATCAGGAGGAGGCGGTGTGATCGCCGTGTATCGAAGAACCAGCGCTAGTGGAAGAGCCGCGCCATGCGAACGAGTGCCATGAGCCACCGGAGAAGAGGGTGGGGCAGGCGGTGTCGGAGGGGTTGACTTAGGAGGCTTGGGCGGGGGAATGGGCCGCCGGTGGTACGTGATCAGCTCGGGCGATTGTGGGAGAGCGGGTTCCTCTGTGGTGGGGGGAACCGGGGGAGGAGGTGGGGCCGGAGGGTGGGACCGCCAATGGTAGGTGATAGGTGCGCTCGGAGGTGGCTGCATAGTCGGCGGAGTGGGAAGTGAGGGGGATGGAGGAGCAGCTGCCGAAGACACCGGTGAGGGCGGGTCAGAGACCGCAGAGGGGGACGGTGCGGTGGCAGGAGGGGTAGGGGGTGAAGGGGCCGGAGCAGGCGAGAGGTCAGGAGGCGCATCAAAGTCTGCCCGCACGAGGGAGGGTGGGTCAGGGAGAGGGTCCCGTCCCGAAGTGGAGTAGAATGGGCGGGTCTCATGAAAGACAACGTCGCGGCTCCGGACCAACTGCTGAGAGGAGGGATTGAGGAAGAGGTAGTCAGGCGAGTCAGCGTTGTGTCCGAGGTAGATGCATGTCTGGGTCTTGGGACCGAGCTTGCCGCCGTGCTGCCGTCGAGCCTGAGGGTTGAGGAGGACATAGGCGGTGCACCCCCAAATGCGAAGAGAGCGAGCAGTGGGCGTTTTCCCGAGCCAGAGTGTGGTTGGAGTGGTGTCGGGAAGATGTGGGTGGGGGTAAAGGTTGTAGAGGAGGGCGGCGTGGTAGAGAGCGTACCCCCAGAGAGAGTGTGGAGCGTTGGAGTGGCTGAGGAGGCACCGAGTGATCTGCACCAGGGTGTGGTTGCGGCTCTCAGCTATGCCGTTCTGCTGCGGGCTGTTAGGGAGGGTGAAGTTTTGCTGGATGCCTTCTGAAGAGCAGAAGGCTTTGAGCTTGTTGTTGCAAAACTCACCACCACCATCTGAGTGGAGGCGCTTGACTTTGCGGTCAAATGCGGTCTGTGCCTGTTTAACCCACGCCATGAAGACCTCTGGAACCGCAGCCTTAGTGTGGAGGAGGTGAACAGAGACGTAGCGAGAGTGGTCATCGACGATAACAAGGAAGTAGCGATAACCACCTCGTGCGGGAACAGGGGCAGGGCCCCAGACGTCCAGGTGTACCAGGTCCAGTGGTCCTACTGCGACAGAGGGTGAGGCCGGGTGGGGCTGTTGACGCAGTTTGCTCATGGTGCAGTCAAGGCACGTGGGAGCGGGGGAGTCTGGTGGTGGAGGAAGTGAGGTTGGTAGGCCGAGTAGAAGTTTATTGGAGGCCATGTCAGCAAGTGTGCGGAAGTTTGGGTGCCCGAGCCGATGGTGGTAGAGTATGGTCGGGTTGGAGAAACTGCGGCACGAGCATGGTAAGGTAGTCGCCGCTGTTTGGGTGGTTGACACCTGTGGGATGGGTACTTGCAGCGTGTAAAGACCGCTGCTGTTGAGGGTGAAACGAGTCAAGACCTTGTTGGTGAGTGGGTCGAGGATATCACCATAGTTCTCGTTTTCCCAGAAGATGGTGCGTAGTCTAGCTTCCTGAATTTCCGTTTGGACCACGAGATTGTGGCGGAGTGAAGGCACGCACATTCCAGTGACAGTGCCGGAAGGGAAGGCGGGGCACGGGACTGTGGATGAACCCTTGGCATGAGTGGTGAAGCTTGAGTCAGCTCCTAGGAGAGGGATGGGTGTTGCGTAGGGTTTGAAGGAGAGTGTCTCCTTGAGTATAGTGTGTGTGGCGCCGCTGTCGAGTGTGAACTCTATGTATTGTGGTGCTTGTGATGAGCCGAGGTACTGGGAGGAAGCTTCATTAATCATGGCAGTGTCAGGGAACAATAGGTTGATACGGGCATCAGCAGGAGCACTATCACTAGCACTAGCCGAAGCGGGGTCCTGGACCTCAACCAGGTTGGCCTTACGCGCACGCATCCAGTTCGGTGGCCTCTTGTCTATGCCGTGGATAGCGTGTCAGTAGATCTGCACTGTGGATGCCCGATTGATCGTGGAGAGGGTTACAGGCGCGTTCGCCTTGGGGGTTATGGGCGCACTGACCCGCTACTGAAACAAGCCCTTTTATCCCAATGGTTTAGTGGTTGGGATTCTTACATGGTGTCAGAGCGGTCTCGGGTTCGATTCCCGGTGTATGCACATGTAGGCCGGTGCCGCTGTGCTTAGTCCTGGGCCTCCCAGTGTGGGGGGGTGTCAGTAGATCTGCACTGTGGATGCCCGATTGATTCTGGAGAAGGTTACAGGCGCGTTCGCCTGAGGGGGTTATGGGCGCACTGACCCGCTACTGAAACAAGCCCTTTTATCCCAGTGGTCTAGTGGTTGGGATTCTGACATGGCGTACCATTCGTCGTTCTTCTTGAAGCACTTAGCAAGGGGGTGGTTAGTGCCACCACACTTGTCCCTTGCGGTTGCCATACTTGACGACGTAGGTGCACGGTGGGAAGCGGTTGCGCTGGAGGGGCGCCGAGACAAGGGCCGATGCGACACTGGCTTGAGGCATGGGAGCACGGATGGCGTAAGCCTTGGCCTGAGCCGTGGAGTCTTTCTCGGCAGAGAGGAGTGCGGTGGAGACCTTGGCAAAAGTGAGGTCTTCCGCAGTCAGCGTGAGGAGCATCTTCCTTGTGATTTCATAGGTTGTGGTGAGACCAACGGGAAGAGCTGCTGCAGGGGCCTGTTCGGTGAAGACTATACCCAGCTCCTTGAGTTCGCCATGAATGGTCTGAACCTTGGCAATGTAGTCGGCCATTCCTGAGCAATCCTCAAGGCGGACCTGGAACATGCTGGGGATGAGGATGGCAACTCCGACTGCAGTCTTGTTCTTAAACCGATCCTGGAGATACTTCCAGATGGCGTTGGAGGTAGGGCAGTTATGGAACGTGTTGACAAGTTCTGGAGGGGTGGAGGCGATGAAGATGCTGATAATTGCAGCATCGGCCTTCTCCCACTTCCGGTACTTCTCAACGGCTTCCTCATATGCCTATGTGTCAGCCTCACTAGTGGATTCGGTCGGCTCGCGAGGGAGAAGGGGCTGTTTTCCCTTGCCACGGTTGAGGAGGACATCGTTGAGGTCCAATCCCTGCACGTCACGGCTCAGCAGGTGCTTGTCAACCCCATAGCTCCATGCCTTGAAGTTGGAGCTAGAGCCATCGGCGTCAAGACGGAGTGGGGTGATGGGGTTGGCCATGGTGGACGAGGCGAATGCCATGATGGAGACCCCTTAGGATGTCGCGCGGAGCGCCGCTCCGGAGTCAACGATACGAACTTGAGGTTTGGGGTTTCCGAAGGAGATTTTGAAGAACCGGAGGTTTAGGGTTTACGAAAGAGAATTTTGAGGTTTAGGGTTTCTGAAGGAGAATTCGACTGAAACGCCAATTTAATGTCAACTACCTACTAATCCTATTCCCACACACCCCCCCACACACCACCCTCAGCTTCTCGGCTGCGCTGCTGCTCGGCTTCGCGGCTACACGGCTGCTCGGCTTCGCGGCTACGCTGCTGCTCGGCTGCGCTGCTGCACCTGTTCAGCTGCGGGAAAGGGAGGGGGATGGGGGTAGGAGTGCAGATGCGGAGCGTCGGGCGGCAGCCCGAAGGTGAAGCTGCAGGGCGACGGGCGGCGGCCCGACGAGAAGCTGCAGGGCGACGGGCGATAGCCCGACGAGGAGAAGGAATGACGCGATGATGTTCGACGAAAACGAGCGATAGGTTAAAGCGCCGACGATGCGCTTACCAGTGAGATAGTAGATGCCGTCGAGAGTGAAGGGAAAGTGGTGCGGAAGAATTTCCGCCCACGAATGTCGCGAATCAACGGCGACGAGATTGAAGGCGGTTACGCCGAGGTTTGCGGGACGAACATCCGCAGAGATCAGAGGATCACGATCCACGTGTGCGGTTTGAAGGGCTCTGATACCGTCTCATAACTTAGGCTTAGAAGCGATACATTAGTAATGAGCTTGAAGCTCTTTAAGTACATCCAAGAAGGGGAGGGAATGGATGGGGAAGGGAATCGAGGGCAATCCATAGGGATTGGGGGTAATCCCAAGGCAATCTCTAATTGGTGGGTTGGAGATTGCTTGGAGATCACATTTGGGTTTGGTTGGGATGTAGGTGTACACCCAACCAAACACAATGTGCAAACTACACTACTCTAGGATATAGAAAATACAAAGTAGAAAGTGTGAGATTGAAGGCTAACACTAACATCTTCCGCTTCCTCCTCACTTCCACCTTTGCCCTCACGCCCTCCCTTTCCTTCCTCTCTTTTGCATTTGCCCTCACACCCTCCCTTTCCCCCCTCTCATCTCTCTCCACTCCTCCCCCCCTCCCACCTTCCCCCCCCGGACAGCTGGCGATGAGCCATTGGTTGATGGTCGCAGACGATCCGTTCTTTGTGCCGCGGACAGAGGAGGAGAGGGAGGAGTATGGCGACTCGGGGGTAGGGCTGGGGGTGAACGTGGCTCGCAAGCTGGTGGATGGGGTGAGGAGGAGGAAAGGGCTTCCTGTGGAAGAGAAGGTTGTTGAGAAGGCCACAAAACAGCGGACTCTGGCTCGAAAGGTGTAGCTGTTTCTCCCATTGTGTAGCAGAGGAGAGGAAGGAGTATGGCGACTTGGGCATGGGACTGGGAGCTTTTGAGTCGACTCAAAAGCAGACTTGGGCGTGGGACTGGGAGTGAATGTGGCGCGAAGGCTGGTGGATGGGGTCACGAGGAGGAAAGGGCCTGCAATGGTAGTGAGGGCCACCATGCTATGCACCATTGCTAGAAAATTGTAATACTGGTGCTCTTTCGCCTTTCCACCGAGGAGAGGGAGGGGTTCGGGGACTAGGGGGTGGGGCTGGGTTGAACGTGGTGCGGAGGCTGGTTATGTCAGTGGTGATTGAAGCAATTTTTTTACAGCCCTGTCAGGGCAAATGACATGCTGATAGATGTATGTTTTCAGCATGAAAATTCGTCCAAATACTATGAGTCATGACACTGGCTTGGCTTGACCCAGGTCAGGGCCAAAACATTCACTGGCTGGACATTCATGGAGATTGCTTTGCATTAGGACAAAACAAAGCAGCGCTGTAAGCAGACCACAGCATCATTATTACCGTAAATGGAAGCCGGTATTTTTTTCAAGGCCTTTCGTGCCACGGCCCTTCCTGCCAGGGCCCGAGTCTTTTCAAAACACACATTGCCTTGTACCATACTCCCACGCCCCAAACCAAACTCAGTTTTTTCTTGAGAAGTCTTGTCTTGTCAGGGGCCTGCGAGGTGAAGGTGTTAGCTGAGCCGACTCAAGAATGGACCTGCGGGCTGAAGGCGACTTTTGAGCTGATTCGAAAATCGGCCCACGGGCTGAAGATGGGATGACTGAATCCTCAATGTCATCTGGGTCGTCCCTCCAGGGGCCTGGCACTTTCCGGAACTGACAGGCAGACAGAGAGGAGGGAACGGAAAGGGTTGTTGCTGAGGGAGAGGGCGAGAGAGGGGAGGACAGACAGAAAGAGGAGGGTGGGTGTAGGGAGGAATGGGGTGTTGCTGGGGGAGACGGCGAGAGAGGGGAGGACAGACAGCCAAATAGGAAAGAACGTCAGATTGTGGGGACACTGTCAAACAGAGGGACTATTGAGAATTCTTGCAAATATATATATATATATAATATACAATATATATATATATGAGCACACTGTCAAACAGAGGGAGCTGCGTAACAGAACAACAGAGAAAGGAGAAGGACGGCAGAACCAGGCACGATCTCTCTTACCTCTATTCGCTGGCCCAGAAGCTCTTGCGCTGCAGCCATCCAGCTGCAGAGGATGCAAACACAGGGGATGGTGATGAGGAAGAGTAGAGAGGGAGCATGCGCCAGTGTTGGTCACTTGTATTCGAGGCATCTGTAAGCATCTCGAAGCCACGTCACGAGCAAGAGGCTCCAAGAAGCGTCACAAGGCTGACAGACTACAGTTCAATATATACAGCCCACCACATGATACCGTACTCACTCTGGCATATCAGCTTCCGGCGAAGACTCTTGCACACACCCGCCTCATTTCGACTCCGAATCGAAATCGAGCAGATCCTCACGCGGAGGTCGTCCTCCACTGGCTCCTCGGTCCAGCCCCTAACCTCCAAACCGTTCTACTGGATGACTCCTCATTCAGAGGCTCTAAGAAACTGATAGCAATTCCACACACCCCCCACCACACAATACTCACTCTGGCATATCGGCTTTCTGAGAGGACTCCTCCTGCACACGCCCGCCTAGTTGCGATTCCGTAGCAAGAGCTCTCTTTCCAATGGATGACTCCTCATTCAGAGGCTCTAAGAAGCTGATGGCAGTTCCGGACGCCCCTGCCCGCCCCGTCCGGCCGATGCGATGCAAGTACTCCTGCGGGCTGCCCGGAGGGTCAAAGTTCACCTGCCCGGGACAAACGAAAGATATTGAGAATGCGAGGGAGAGAGTGAGCAGATTTGCAAAGGGGAAAAGGGAAAGGGCAAGGGGTTTTCCAGACCAGAGTACCCATGGTCTTTGGGGCACCTGAAATATTTTCGAAAATTGTCAACAGTTAACAGATGGAACACTGGGCTGGAGACAATGACTAAGCGATCAACCGGCTAGCCGGCTAACCGGCCAACTGGTTAATGTGACAGACGGGCAGACTCACCACGAAGGGGAGGTTGGGGATGTCAACGCCACGTGCTGCTGCCACGTTGGTAGCTTTTGAGGCGCCTCAGAATGCGTTCTTTGAGGCGCCTCAAAAGTGGTCTTCGGTTGGACAATGGCAAACAGACAGGCAGACTCACCACAAAGGGGAGGTTGGGAATGTCAACGCCGCGTGCTGCCACGTTGGTGGATACTAGGACCTGATGGGTGTGTGGGGAGAGAGGGGAGCGAGCAGGGAGGGAGATGAGAGAGAAGGAGAAGAAAGGAGAGTAGTCCGCAGCGTGTGGAGCTGCAGAAAGAAGCAGAGAGAGGATGGATACCACCAACGTGGCAGCACGTGGTGTTGTTGCCACGTGCAGAGAGAGGAGTGTCAACACCACGTGCTGCCACGTTGGTGGATACTAGGACCTGATGGGTGTGCGGGGAGAGAGGGGAGCGAGCAGGGAGGGAGATGAGAGAGAAGGAGAAGAAAGGAGAGTAGTCCGCAGCGTGTGGAGCTGCAGAAAGAAGCAGAGAGAGGATGGATACCACCAAGTGGCAGCACGTGGTGTTGTTGCCACGTGCAGAGAGAGGAGTGTCAACACCACGTGCTGCCACGTTGGTGGATACTAGGACCTGCTGGGTGGGTGAGGCGAGAGGGTGGATAGACAAGGGAGAGGAGAGAGAGGGGAGATTAGGGAGACGAGAGAGAGGGGAGATTGAAGAAGAGTACTTCGTAGCATATATGGCTGTGGCAAGCAGATGTCAACACCACGTGCTGCCACGTTGGTGGATACCAAAACCTGATGGGTGTGCGGGGAGACAGAGGGAACGAGTTTCAGCCCTCTCAAGAACAAGCAACGCCAAGCCACCACCGCGACCTCACATTGGTATGACTTTTGAGAATTCTCAAAAGTAACCACCGCGAGCTCACACCCCCCCCTACCCATATACACCGAACCCCCCCCCCCCCCCCCCCCCCCCCCCCCCACACACACACCTCAAAAACAATCTTGTCGCACCTACCCCGGAACATCCCCCCCCCTCCACACACCCGCCACTCACCTGCGCATTTCCCTGCCTGAACATCTCCAGAGATTGGCTCCTCACCGGCCCTGTCAATTCCCCATGCAGCCGCACTGCTGTTATGCCCCCTTCACACAAACTGAGGGGAAGAAAGGGGGGGGGGAGGGGAGGGGGGGTTCTATGAGGGGGAATGACAATGGCTGGCTGGCATCGACTCATGCGTAAAGAGCTTGCCTCCTCTCGACGGCCCTGTCAGGTCGCCGTGCAACTGCACTGCTGCACTTCCTTCCTCGGATAGACTGACGAAGAGGGAGGAGGGGAAGGGGCTGAGGAGGAGTGGCGGGGGACGAGAGGAGACGACACAGGTGACAGAGAGAGGTGGCATACGAGGGGTGGCATACGAGGGGTGGCATACGAGGGGTGGCGTGGCACTCACGTTTGGTGCAGCCTTTCGACTCGATGCACTGTGCGAACAAAGACAAGCACTTGGTGGTTCTGTTGAGGGGAGATGAGAGAGGGGTATGGGTGGGTGGGCGGGAGAGAGGTATGGGTATGAGTTGGCAGAGGAGGAGAGAAGCACACATAAGGGGTTGGTATTGTTTTTTATTCGACTCAAAAACGGGAGTTGGGAGTTGGGGGAGGGGAGAGAAGCGCGCTTCACATAAGGGAAGTGGCATTCACGTTTGGTGCATCCTCTTAGCTTGAAGCACGTTTTGTTTGAGGTTGATTTTGAGAATTCTCAAAATCAACCTCAAACAAAGTGGCATTCACGTTTGGTGTATCCTCTTAGCTTGAAGCACCATGTGAAAAAACACCAGCACCTGGTTATGTTTGTGTCACTTTAGCGAATACTCGAAAAGTGACTCAAACAGTGACGAGAGCTTGGTGGTTCTGGAAGGGGTTTGACTTGACCAGTGATAAGGGGGGTGCATACATACATAGAGCAAGAGAAAGGGGTAAAGGGGAGAGAAAGCAACAAAATGAAGTGGAAAATACGAGAGGAAAATGTGCTGATCACAAAAAGGAGGGGGAAAAGGTTTCGAGTGACAAGTCAGCGTTTTGAGACGGAGGGGGAATTCTCAAGTGCGTCTCAAAACACTGATCACAAAAAGGAGGGGGAAAAGGTTTCGAGTGACAAGTCAGCCACAGGAGGGGGAATTCTCAAGTGCTCTCACCTTTAGGGATGCTCGCCGTCGGAGCAGATAGAGCAAGAGGGCAGTCTTCCTGCGAGGGGTCACACAATAGGCCAGCTGCTTCACTGGTGGCAATGGGTGGCAATGGGTGGCAATGGGTGGCAATGGGTGGCAATGGGTGGGAATGAGTGGCAATGGGTGGGAATGGGTGGCAATAGTTGGCAATGGGTGTCACGAGTGGGAGGAAAAGGCTTAGGCAGCATGAGTGGGTGACATGACATAAATTCGCAGAATTCTCTAAACTGAATACGCCACGCCACAGGGAGCATACGCGGGTGACACACCAGGCAGCATATTTTTGAGGCGCCTCAAAAACAGAATTCACTAAACTGAATATGCCATGCCACAGGGAGCATACTCAGGTGACACACAAGGCGGCACCCAACCCACTTCACTGTCGCAACGGGCCACGGCTTTTTAAGGCTCCTAAAGAAAAGCCACCCACTTTCCTGGCGCAATGCAATGAGGCACGAGGGATGAGGGTGTTTTTGAGATGTCTCAAAAAGAAGTGATTCACCAATGCCCTCACTTCACGTAGAAAAGCCACCCACTTTCCTGGCGCAATGCAATGAGGCACGAGGGAAGGGAGAAACTCCCTCTGTGGGAAGATAATGCACATGCGAGACTCGAGGGAGAAGAGGGTAGTTACCCAACGGTTTGTCCGATGATGAGGGTTGAACGATCAGCATGTCCCCTCTGGGAGCAAAGCGGCGCAGCAGGAGCTCCGATTCGGGGAGAATGGTGGCAGATACGAGGATGACCTGCGGAATGCAGGGGGGGTAAAAAGTGGTGAAGAGGGGTGGAGAGGGGTGGAGAGGAGTGGCGAGGAGAGCAGCAGCTCTGACTCGGGGAGAATGGTGGCGGATACAAGGACGACCTGCGAGGAGTGCAGAGGGGTGGACAGGATTACAAACAGGTACAGAGGGGGTGCAGGGGTGTGCGGAGGAGTGCGAAAGAGAGCACCAGGTCTGATTCGGGTAGAACAGAAGCAGACATGAGGATGACCTGGGAAGAAGGGGCAGGTGAAAAAGAAATTTACCTGCATGTGTGGCCGAAGATCCTTTTTCTTGCCCGCCTTGGCCCTCTGCGGTCTGGGCAGCAGCGAAAAAACTTTCCTCAGGTCCTCCAGCAGCCCCATCTCGGCCATCTTGTCACACTCCTCCACCACCCAGTGCCGAACCTGCCCTAGAAAATCTTTTGGCAGGCAGCTTGGAACAAGACCCTGAGTTTTCCTTTTCCCATTGTCAATCCCAACATTCAGCTCCGACCCTCCTGCCAAGTCCGGTGCTGTCGTTTTCCCCGCAGCCGATTCGGATTCTGTCCATTCCTCAGCTTTTATAGATGAACTGGGCGCATCTCCAGATGAAACGGGTTGACCTCCAGATGAACCGGACTCAGGAAGGGCGGTTTCAGTTGTAACGCCTTCAGGTGCAACTGTGGTTCTGGTTGGTATCAGTGGTCCAAGAGGAGGATGTTTCTCGGAAGCTGCCTGTAATAGATGCATGGGAGGAAGAGAGGAGCCGAGGTGAGGGTAGGAGGGGAAGGAGGCGGTTGCTTTGAGCTTGGATTGATGGGTGTGTCGGATGTTTAGAGTCGGGGGCAACAAAAAAAAAAAAAAAAAAACAAAACAAAAAAAAAACAAACAAACAACAACAACAACAACAACAAAAGTTTGCGAGGAAGGCATACTGTACAGACGCAATGAGCAGCCACTCGCTTACCCAATCCAACACAGCCCACCCTCAGCATTCTTACCTTTCGGAAGAGTCTCAGCAGGCGGCCAGGCGTGGCGACCAGAACGTGGGGTGGAAACGAGTGGCCAAATCAAACCCAAATGCCTCGAAAACCACAGCCCTTACCAGCCTCTCTCACCCAATGCAGCACACCCCACCCTCACCTCTCGGAAGAGCCTCAGCAGGCGGCCAGGCGTGGCGACCAGCACGAGGGGCGGGCGGCAGTGCAGAGAGCGCACCTGAAGGGCTATGGGGGTGGGGGGGAGGCATGAGGAGCATGAGAGGCAGGAGGGGAATGAGGGAATGAGGGAATGAGGGAATGAGGGAATGAGGGAATGAGGGAATGAGGGAATGAGGGAATGAGGGAATGAGGGAATGAGGGAATGAGGGAATGAGGGAATGAGGGAGGGGCAAGACGCATGGCAACGGTCGCATGGGGCGGGCAGCGCTTGAAGAGAAAAACCAAGAGCGCACCTGAGCCCACCAAGATCGAAATCAAGATAGAAAAAAAGGGCGCCAACTGTTACATTACTTGCCTGAGACGCAGCTTGCTGTGCTGCAGCCGCAGTCACCACGTCAACCGTCAGATCTGGCACGAAGCGAGTGAGCCAAGAAAACCAGGCTCTATGGCAGTACACTAACCAATCAGAGACCCCCACTTGCCTGAGACGCAGCTTGCTGTGATGCAGCAGCCGTCACCACATCAACCGTCAGCTCCGGCACGAAGCGAGTGAATCGCCGAACCTCCTCCGCCACCTGATTGGCCAGCTCCAACGTGGGCGTCAGAACAAGACAAAACGGGCCACTGGCAGCAACGGCAGCGGTGGCGGCAGCGGCACCACTGCCAGCTGGCGCACTGCGATTGGCTGCTGCTGAGCGTTTCCCTTCTTGGGGGCGTTTGTGGAGTTGGCGCAGGCGAGAGGAGGGGATGTGGGGAGGAGAGAAGAGGGAGGAGGAGAGGGTGGGGAGGTGGAGGAGGTGGAGGATGGGGAGGAGGTAGGCGAGGGTCTTGCCTGTGCCTGAAGGGGAGGATACGAAGAGCTGGGAGGGAGGGGGGGGAGGGAGGGAGGGAGGGAAGGGGGGGATAAAGGACATGGAAAACAGGGAGAGTGAAAAGACAGCGTCAAGAACGGAAGCATGACCTTTGCGGTGCCTCATACGATGAGCAGATGATGCAGAATGGGACACTTGTAAGAATTCTCATGACTTTAGAGCAACCTCAAAAGCTTAGTGAAGGAAATACGCAAAGTGGGACCTTTTCACAGCTCATTGCTCAAAACCCCATTTTGCATCATCTCACCGCAGCTCGTTGCTTTCACGATTGACTTGCTCTACTCACACAACAATACTCAAACGCCGAACTCGCCATATACTCACACTCTCCCCCTTCAGCAGGCGCGGAATGCCCTCCTCCTGAACGCGCGTCGGGACAAAGAACGCCGACCCACGAAGCGACCATTGCAGCGGCTCCGCCAGCTGGCGGAAGGCGCCTCGAACCGCCACCATGTGACTCTCCCCCTCCCCCTGCCGCTGCTCCCTCTCCCCCGCCCCCTGCTCCCCCTCCCCCTGCCGCTGCTGTTTTCCCGGCAGCTGCTGCATCAGCTGCTGCTGCTGCTGCTGTTGCCGCTCCGTCTTCCCCTGCCGCTGCTGCACCTCCAGCCGCTGCTGCCCTTCCTGTCGCTGCTGCTGCCGCTGCTCCTGGCGGTGGTGCTGCCCTTTGCCGCCACTCACGGCGCCAGCTGCGGCGCCATTCACGGATGAAAAAGATCGGTTTGATCCAACAGGTAGGGAAGCAACACCTCTAGTAAGGAAGGGTACAATGTGAGGGGACCCACTAACGAGGTTTAACGAATGACAAGCAATCGAAGGCAGTGCGACGAGAGGACTCGAAGAATTAAGATTAGGGTTTGCTGTTCCGTGGGAGATTGACGGGGTGGATCCGACAGCGGAGAACAACACAGAGGCGATCGGACGAAGGAGTTGGATTTGATGAGCGGGATGGGAACCAATAAGTGGATCAAGTTCGCGACAGGTATGCAATACTGTTGCTACGATCGCGTTCGGCGACATCCGGGTAACCAGTCGAGAGAAAATCCAGGTCACGGCTCGCGATCCGAGAGGCCTATGAACTCCTGCCATGGCTGCGGCGCCTAAGAATTAGAATGTAGGTCAAGGCGGGTTCAATAATTGATGGAGACTCTTGGTAGGTTTCCACGCCGCTCAACTGCATTCGTCTTCTGCCGCGCGAGCCGAGTCGCTCGCTAGTCCGACGTCGTCCAGGCGTCAGCGTGACGATTCGTCAGCTAATACCGGAGCGAACGAAGAGAAGATCGTCATTTCGCTCAGGCACGCGAAATCCAGGTCGTCAATTGCTGGGATCTTGATGGGTTATGGGAAGGTCCGGCAGGATCTCCGCCGCATTCGACGGCACAGCAAGCGGCAGGCATACCTATCCTTCGTGGTTACCCCACGTGTGAATTCGTTTTTAGCTGATGCATGTCTGATTCAAACAGTCACACTGACTGCCAAAGAATTCTCAATCGATTGTTGAATTTCGTAACACATCCTCTGTAACACAAATGGCATCACTGTCGCAAATCTCAATCCGCGTTCGTTCCCCGAATTTCGTTCGCGACTCCGTCAAACTTCAGCCGCTGCGGAACCAAGCCCAGCGAAGATCCCACCATCGCCACACTTTTTTCGCCGCCGCCCCCCTCTTCCCGCCATTTTGTCCGCTTCGTCTCCCTTTGCCGAAAACTCCCCGTCACAGCGGCGCCGCGCTCGTATGCGCGTTTCACCGTATCGCGCTCGCCAATCCTCTTCGCGAAGACCACCGTCCAAGTGTCTCGCCAATCCTCTTTGCGAAGACCACCGTCCAAGTGTACGTCCTAAGTAACCCTGTTTTTCCCCTCCCCTCCCAATCACTTCGTCCATTATAAATTCCACCCCAGCAAGTCCAGTTTCATCATCACAGCCTTACACTCATTCCACACTTCCTACAGCAGCATATTCGCTCCTCTCAGCATAACTCGACCTTCGCTACAAGAAATTTCCACTTCCATCCTCTTTGTAGCTCCTTCGTTCACATCCAACTTTCATAAATGACTACTTCTCGCGTCCTCGCCGTTCTCGGCCTCATCTGCGTCGCCCTCTGCGTGGCTGGCGCGAGCGCACAAGCGACGCCGCCGCCGAAGCCCACCAAGGCGCAAATCAAGGCTGAACTCAACAACTTGGCGACGAACATCACGAAGCGTTACCCGCAATACGCGAAATACGCCAAGGACATCAACCGTTACATCGGCCTCGCGCTCAACTCCAAATACGACTTCTCAGCCCTCGCAGACGCCACCATCCTCCTCCCCAGCGACCCAGAAGCCCAAGCCCTCGCTAAGAAGCTCCCCGCTAAGAGCAGCAACCTCCCCACAATCTACAATATTACCGCTTACCACATTATTCGCAGGAAACTCACCGTTCCTCCGCTGAGATCGCTCAAGAAGTCGCAGCCGCTGGCTACACAACTGAAGCAAGCGATCTACAAGGTTTCGCCTCAAAACGGAAACGCCGTGTCGTTCGCCCGGGGGCCGAACGCGCCTGCAGCTGCGTGGACGACCATCAAGATCGCGCGGCTTTACGCTGGGCCTTACTTCATCGCGCATGGCGTGGATAAGATTCTCATCCCCGCTGGCACGACCATGCCCAAGTAAACATCAGTGAAGTGTGGAGCCGGAAATTCGAGGCAGATTGAGGTGTCGATACGCTACAGTGCAACATGGCCATGCGATGGCTATCTTAGGGCTGAAAGAGCAGTTCATTAGTTGACGCTAGGTATGTTTCTCTTCAGTTGACGGTCAGTAGCTTTGTGTTCAACCTCTGAACAGACGCGACTGACAGTCAACTGGATGAGATAAGTAGTTTTCTGTTAAAGGACTGAACGTAGAAGGCAGACTGAATGTTATTCTGGTAATTAGTTTTTAGGTTTCTTTCTCCTGTCTAGAAGCTGTTGGATATGGCAGACTTGTTGTCATGACCTTCCTTTCAACTTATCCTCCTCTGTAGAATTGAAAGTAATGGGTGTAGATAATATGTAGAGAATATTGTTTCTTGGTTACTAGATAACAAATAAGAAAATATGGATACTCGTATATTGGGTGAAAATGTTTTCATATTGTTATGAAGAGACCAAGAAATTTATTAAAAAAACCTTGAATGATGAAGGGGACGTGCTGTTTCAGTCATTCATCATAACGCTAGCGAACAGCGAGAACGTGATTGCTGCTGTGGCAAGGATAGCGATCGTACACGTGTCGCTGACATCAGATCCGCTCCCCACAGCCTCACAGTTATCATTCTTTCCACTTCGCGTTTCCGCGTGTCCAAAAACTCTACATCTGACGGTTCTTTTTCCTTCGCTCTAGATTCGACCTCCGTCATCCGTAGATATCCTCCCTCCACTCCTTGCCTCGATTCCTCCACAAAGCTGATTTGCCTGGAAAGCTCACCAGTGACTTCGACTCACCCTTGGGATAACCGACGACAGCCTCGATTATGTCACCTCAACCATATAGAGATCCGAACTGAACTGAATCACCCCCTTCTTCCCCCCCCCCCCCCCCCCCCCCCCCCCCCTCGTTATTGCGTCCGTTGTCCAGATCCTCAACCCATTTTCCAATTCCGTGATCAGTTTTTTGCCAAGGCAGGGATGACTGATCATTCCGTGCTCGTGGCTTTCATCTGAATCCAGGAAATCCACTGGTCTTCTGAGAGGTAGTCTTCACTGGGCGAGCATTCACAACAGAAATGTTTTCACGGATGCTGGTAGCCCGTGCTTAGCTAGCCTTTCGGAATCCACGAGCTAAGAAACCTTGCTCGGGGTAAACTTGTTTCCAAGCACCGGTGTCGCTAGGATAAGCGATTCAGTGGTAAAAGCCATCATAGGCCGCCATAAGCCCGCGATTGCCTCCAAAGCGCTCGTAGTGCCTGGTTAGGGTCCCTAGCCCCAAGTGACCACTAAATCGACTTAAGTTCGGGTATACTCCCAAGGCTCTCAAGCTTAGCTTCTCCAATGGCGTTTGCCGCCACGGCTTGTGTTCCGGCGTCCGTTGCCTGGACTGGTCGAGCCGGTCAGAATGAATCATCAGACCACTCGGTCAGTTCTCCCAGCAGAAAATCCGGTGCTGCGACGAGCAGCGCAGGAAGCACGTCCATCTCTTCCACCGCACCCAACTCATCCAGCTCCCATCGCAACCGCAATCCCTGCGGAGCACAAGCGGTTTTATCGGCAAGTCGACCGAACCTTCATGGGATCAACAGCGTAAAATCCCGATGCACATCGGGGCCGCGATCGCTTGCAGTTAGACCGAGCAGCTGTCACAGCTCGACCAACGGCCATGGGTCGTTGAGTAGCGGATCGTCGACTTTCTCCGGCGAAGGTCTCGACGTCGTCTGGATGCCGTTGACGGCCGTGCGAAACCGTCGCCTGCGATCAGCAGGTGCGTGTGCGATAGACTTTGTATAGCGTTTGCACGCTGCAGGTTCTATGTTTTAATTCCGTTCACATGGTTCCTTGGGAATGGCGAGAAATTGCATCACGGAGTCTCAAACCACCAGGGCTGACCATTTTGTCCGCCAGCTGGAATCGACCGCTGGCTGGCGTTTACGGTGATCCGCCACGGGAGACTTAGCGCTTGTGCTAAGTCCCGGCGCTTACGGTGCTTCCGGCTGTCGTGATATAATATCTGGAAAATACTGAATTGCGGCAAAGACTACTGAAAATCCAGCTAGTAGAGAGTAAGACTGATTGAAGAAGCCGCCAGGTTGTTCCTGATGGCTAGTTGCAAGTTGCGTCGGTACGATGCCGCATCTGCTGGTACGTTAAATGCGCTGGTACGTTCGGGTGATACGTAACAGGTGCTGGTATGCTACATCTGCGGGTTTCGGGCGAGATAGATCCGGTGGAAAGCAGCTCGGCTGCATCTGGAGCTGTTGGGGGACAGTCCGAGACGGATTCCGAGCACTAACTGGCTATACATACTGTCTTGATACAATAGTTGCTGATATTCAAGCAGGCGTTTACCAGCAAAAGAAAGGGCAAATGTCAGTGACGGGAGGGCCTTGCTATGTGCGATTCGCGTAGCTTCCCCGCGTATCTCGGTCTGACGAATAAACCCTCCATAGTTCAATCAAGGTGCCAATCTATTGGTCAATCGTGCTTACCTTCTTCCCGTCCTTCCCTCTTCTCCATAAATCTCATTTCCATTTCTTCCCCATCTTCATCGTTCCATATTCCGACCTGCAAGAAGCATATCCCCTTTTTCCGCCCTTCCCCTCCTCATCCCCACACCCCACATCCCCCTTCTCCCGTATCCCCCTCTTCTGCTTCCGCGGCTTTCTTTTCCGCATGTCCTTCCGCGCTGCCCCCCGCCAGCCTCCCGCGTGGCGCAGGCTGCAGCAGTAGCGGAGGCGGAAGCAAAGGCGGGAGAAAGTGCGGAGGGTGAGGAAAAAGAGAAGCAGCAGCGGCGGGTGGTGGTGACGGGCATGGGCATCGTGTCGTGCCTGAGCATGAACGCGCACGAGTTTTACCAGAAGCTTCTGGACGGCACCAGTGGCATCTCCGCTATAGAGGGATTCGATGCCTCTGAGTTCCCCACAGTAAGAGCTGGTTTGATTGGTATAGATAACGATTTGGTCGACAGCTTGAGATGGAACAGACGCTACAGGAAGAACCAGAAGAACCAAGAGGAAAGGAAACCGATGGAAACTGTTTATACTCACATAGGAGAGAGCCTTTCACTACTTCCCCTTCCCCTCACATCCATCCAGCACAAGATGGCTTGCAAGCCCTCCTTTCCCCCCTCCTCTTTCCTCCCTTCCCATCCCTCCTGCCAGTGCATCGCAGGCGAGATCAAGGAGTTCAAGGACAAGAGGTACATGCACCCCAAGATGCCTTGTTCTAATTTTATCTCCTCCCCAACCCTAGCCTTTCCCCCTTTTGCTTCCCCTCTCCCAGCGCATCGCGGGCGAGATACAAGGAGTTCAAGGACAAGGGCTACGTGCACCCCGAGATGGCTTGCACTGGTTCCTTTCACATCCCACCTCCCTTTTTTCCCCATACATCCACCCCAACTTCCCCCCGCCTGCACCCCCCTCCATTGCAGCGCATTGCAGGCGAGATCAAGGAGTTCAAGGACAAGGGCTACGTGCACCCCAAGATGGCGCGGCGCATGGACAAGTACATGCGCTACCTGCTCACGGCGGGCCACTTGTGCATGACATGGCTTGTCTCCCTCCCCTCCCCTCCACCCCCACAACCCCCTCCCACCCATTTATCCAACCGTCTTCCCTCCCAGCGCATTGCGGGCGAGATCAAGGAGTTCAAGGACAAGGGCTACGTGCACCCCAAGATGGCTGGCAAATGCTTCTCTCCCCCCTCATTTCCCCCTTTCGACCATCCAGCGCATCGCGGGCGAGATCAAGGTGTTCAAGGACAAGGGCTACGTGCACCCCAAGATGGCGCGGCGCATGGACAAGTACATGCGCTACCTGCTCACGGCGGGCAAGCGGGCTTTAAGGGACGCGCACATGAGCAAGGAGGTGCAGGAGGGGTTCAACAAGCAGAAGTGCGGCGTGCTCATTGGCTCGGCTATGGGCGGCATGCAGGTGCGCCGGGCGGCAGTCTGTCAGAGATGTGAAAGTCAAGGTGGGCGGAAGGCTGACAATGGTGGGGGGGGGGGGGGGGGGGGGGGCAGGCTGTCAGGTGCTCTATGCTGCAGCAGGATATGTCATGAGTCATGACTAGTACATGCGCTACCTGTCGAAGTTGAACAGGTGGGCTGCGGAGGCCTTATTTCCATCAACTCTTGCTGTTTAGGACAGAGAAACAAACCCCATGCAATAATAGTGGAAAGGAACCTGGTGTTGCGCTAGCTTAGATCGTTTCTTAGAGAGCCAGTGTGGACCAACTCTTCACTTATAGAATCAGAACATTGTGTAAACTAGTTTCGGCTTTGATAAGCCTTCATCAGTAAAAGCCTGAGACCTGCTCACAGTGGGCCCTGCCCCCCACGCACGCTTCGCTACTTCCTTCCCTCCAATTGCCCTCTCCTTCCCTCTTCCCCCCTCCCCACACTTCTTCAACGACGAGGTGGAGGCAATAAAGGTGTCGTACCGCCGCACACGTCTATGTATTCATGGAGCTCAATTCAATTCCCTTGTCCCTCCGCTGTCTTGCCCTCACCCCTCACCCCCCTCCCCTACTCCGCCCCTTTCATCAGGTGTTCAACGATGCGGTGGAGGCGCTCAAGGTGTCGTACCGCCGCATGAACCTGTTCTCGAGTCCTCTTCCCCTCCCTCTATACTTCTGCCCCTCTCGCCACTCCCTACCCTCCAACGGTCCCCTCTCCCCACCCCCCCCCTTCTCTCCTCAGGTGTTCAACGACGCGGTGGAGGCGCTCAAGGTGTCGTATCGCCGCATGAACCCGTTCTGCATACCCTTCGTCACCACCAACATGGGCTCTGCCATGCTCGCCATGGACCTGGTGTGTGCTACAGTGGTGGAATGGAACGGAGTCATCATGGTATGTGCGTTGATGTCACGGAGCTGGTAAGCTGTGCTGGTATGAGGATGACAGGCTCAACTCTTTGTCACTACCAACATGGGCTCTGCCATGCTCGCCCAGGACCTGGTACATGCTCACATGGGTGGAGGCTGGAGCCATCATGGTATGTGCGGCTTACAATGGTATGGCCCTGGTGTGTGTGATGATGCGAGGGAGCGGGTAAGCGTGCTGGGGTGGGGGGATGACAGGCACGCGCCAGGGACTCGTGCCCCCCTTCTGCATACCCTTCGTCACTACCAACATGGGCTCCACCATGCTCGCCATGGACCTGCTGTGCACTTCTTACAGTGGTATGGTCCTGGTATGTGCAGATTGCCATGCTCGCCATGGACCTGATTTGTACAGACGTGCTATGGATCTCATACATGCCATATTATTCAGCAAGGGCACAAACTCGCTCTGCATACCCTTCGTCAACACAAACATTGGCCCTGGCGTGTGCCATACTCGCCATGCTCACAGTAGTATGGCTATGGCCCTGATGTGTGCCACCACGATGTGCTGCTGGGACTGATTGACAGGCACGAAGGCTAAGAACTCATCAGCACCGTGCTTCCTTCCTCATGTGCACACCCTTCGTCACCAATGCTCCACATGGGCCTTGTATGCTGCCATGCGACTCATCTGAGTTGACTTTTGAGTCCTTCTCAATCTACCCTTTACTCCGAATACATCATCCCGTTTCCCCTCCTCCGTCAGGGCTGGATGGGTCCCAACTACAGCATCTCCACTGCCTGCGCCACTGCTAACTACTGCATTCTCTCCTTACGTCATAGCTTCTCCAATCCAAACTTCCGTCTCTATTCGTCCCTTTCTTCCCCATTCCCGTTCCTCCATCAGGGCTGGATGGGTCCCAACTACAGCATCTCCACTGCCTGCGCCACTGCCAACTACTGCATTCTCGCTGCTGCCCAGCACATTCAGAGAGGCGATGCGGTGAGTTGAACAGGCAAACTGAGTATCGATTTGCTTGATTCTAAACGAGTTTAAGATCGTGTATGGCGCGGAGCTTTGAGAGACGTAACGCTTCATGACTGCCGTTGCTGCTTCTAGCTTTTCAGTGGGCGTTTCTATTACAGGCAGTTCAAAAGTTTTCTCTAAGAGATGATGTAGTTCGACTGTGTCTCTCGGCCTCTGCAGTGCTGTTTGCATGCATCTTCATCTGCGAACCTTTCTTTGGTTGCTGTTCTGTTCTGTAAACGTGTCTTCACGATAACGAACTGGAGTTTCTTGCACTCCTCCTCCTTGACTCTCATCTGCTCTCGTCCCTGAACTACAGGACGTGATGCTGTCAGGAGGGTCGGATGCTCCCGTCTTGCCTCTCGGTAATGCCCTTTCCTTTCCAAGTTTCCACGCGTCTCTTCTTAACCCTCTCCTCTTCTCGCCCTCCACCTCACCTCTCTTTGTTTTTTGCCCCCGTCTTGCCCCTTGGTAAGGCCCAAACCTTTTCATGAATCCATTCTCCATCCCCTCCCCTTCCGCCATCCTCCCCCTTCCATCCTCCCCCTCCTTCGTCCATCGTACATCCCCCTCAGCAAGCATTTCAAGCTGCTCGTTTCCATCTCTTTCTCTCGCTTCCTCATCTCCACCCTCCCTGTCTTCCTGCTGTCCTCTCTTCCCTCCTCTCTCCTTTTCCCCCGCTCCGTTTCCTCCTCTCACCCCTTTTCCAGGACTGGGTGGATTCGTGGCCTGCAAGGCACTCTCTAAACGCAACGACGAGCCTGAGAGGGCCTCCCGCCCCTGGGACAAGGTCAGTGTTTTTTAAACAGATTCAATGTTCGTGAGTTTTGAGACGCCTCAATAACGAGCTGGAGAGGGCCTCCCGGCCCTGAGGCAAGGTCAATCAGTGATTTCTTATCAAATCAATGCACTCGACAAGATCGGTCAGTCAGTGCATTCCTTGGCAAGCCACGTGTAAAAAGGCGTCTGAAAAATACCGTTTTCACACGTGGAGAGGCAAGGTCAATCAGTGATTTCTTATCAAATGATCAAATCAATGCACTGATAAGATTGGTCAGTCAGTGCATTCCTTGGCAAGCATACCCCCCCAACCACTCTCTCCCCCCCTCTTCCCCTCTCTCCCCCACCCTGACACTAGTTCACTGCAGCATGCAAACACTCTCCCGCCCCTGGGACAAGGGGATTCAGTGCATTCCCCCTCTCCCCTCCTCTCCCCTTCTCGAGCAGTCCTCCTTCCTCCTCCTTCAGTGCATTCCCCTCCTCTCCCCTTCTCTCTCCTTCTCTCCCTCTTTCTCTCACAGAATCGTGATGGCTTTGTGATGGGCGAGGGAGCGGGTGTGTTGGTGCTGGAGGAGCTGGAGCACGCCAAGGTGTGTGTGTGTGTGTGGTGTGTGTGTGTGTGGTGTGTGTGTGTGTGTGTGTGTGTGTGCGCGCGCGCTGCACTCTGTGCTGTGCTGTGCTGTGTTGTTTGTGGGTTTCACACCATGGTGTGTAATGGGCGAAGGAGCGGGTGTGTTGGTGCTGGAGGAGCTGGAGCACGCCAAAGTGTGTGTGTGTGTGGTGTGTGTGTGTGTGGTGTGTGTGTGTGTGTGGTGTGTATGTGTGTGTGTGTGTGCGCGCGCGCGCTGCACTCTGTGCTGTGCTGTGCTGTGTTGTTTGTGGGTTTCACACCATGGTGTGTAATGGGCGAGGGAGCGGGTGTGTTGGTGCTGGAGGAGCTGGAGCACGCCAAGGTGTGTGTGTGTGTGGTGTGTGTGTGTGTGTGGTGTGTGTGTGTGTGGTGTGTATGTGTGTGTGTGTGTGTGCGCGCGCGCGCTGCACTCTGTGCTGTGCTGTGTTGTTTGTGGGTTTCACACCATGGTGTGTAATGGGCGAGGGAGCGGGTGTGTTGGTGCTGGAGGAGCTCGAGCACGCCAAGGTGTGTGTGTGTGTGTGTGTGCGCGCGCGTGCGCGTGCACGGGTGCATGGGTGTGTGGCTGCGCGGGTATGTGGGTGTGTAGGTGTGCAGTTGTGTGCGTGTGTGGGTGTGTTTGTGGGTGTGAAGTTGTGTGCGTGTGAAGTTGTGTGCGTGTGCAGTTGTGTGCGTGTGAAGTTGTGTGCGTGTGCAGTTGTGTGCGTGTGCGGGTGTGCTGGTGTGTGGGTGTGCGGGTGTGTATGCTGCAACCATTTTGCTGAAGTCACGTGCTTCATCCTTGTTTCTCTTTCTCTGTCAGCCAACCCAGTGGTATTGTACCACTTTACCCATCTGCATCTCTCTCCTTCCCCGTCTGGCCTCTCCCGCTGCCTCTTCACCCTTCTTCACCCCTCTGCACCTCGTCCCTTCCAAGGCCCGAGGCGCCACCATCTACGCCGAGTTTCTGGGCGGCAGTGTGTCATGCGATGCACACCATATGACCGACCCGCACCCTCAAGGTGAGACTGTCAAAACACGATGTTTGTCAAGCCGCCTTGCAATGCGATAGAGAGCGCATCTGGGTTTTAGAGACATGTTACCTCTCACTATCGAGAAGGTTTTTGAGGCGCCTCAAAAACCACCTCAATGCACGCGGATTTCATTTTGAGGCGCCTCAAAAACCACGCCCTTGCAATGTGATAGAGAGCACATCTGGGTTTTAAAGACGTGTTACCTCTCACTATCGAGCAGGCTTTGGAATACTGTTCCAATGCTTGCTCCGCCGGAACTCCTACCTCCTCTTCCCTTCTCCCTCCCTACACCTGCAAATCTCCTTCCCCGCACCCTTTATCCCAGGCAAGGGCGTGCTGATGTGCATTGAGCAGGCGCTGGCATCATCCGTATGTGAACTCCAAGAATGCCCATGCCACTCCCCCGTTTCCCTCCCTTCCCTGCTTCCCATCCCCATCCCCCCCACCGCCCTCTCTCCCAGGCAAGGGCGTGCTGATGTGCATTGAGCAGGCGCTGGCGTCATCGGGAGTGCCTCGCGAATACGTGAACTACGTGAACGCCCACGCCACCAGCACTCTGGCCGGCGATGTGCAAGAGTACAAGGCGCTCGTGGCTGCGTTTGGAAACAACCCCGTGGTGAGTTTGAAGCTTGGACGGTAACCTCGTAATTTTCTTGAGGTGTCTCAAGAGCACTCTGGCCGGCGATGTGCAAGAGTACAAGGCGCTCGTGGCTGCGTTTGGAAACAACCCCGTGGTGAGTATGAACATTATCTGATTGCCAGTAGGCCTCTTCAGGTATCTCAGAAGCACTCTGGCAGGGGGCATGCAAGAGTACAAGGTACTCGTGGCTGCTTTCGGCAATAACCCTGTGGTCAGAAGGGAGGAATTTATCGCTTCCTCTGTCTTTATGGCTGTCTTGGGCTGGCTGTCTTAAGTTTGACCTGAAGCTGGTGACGTACAAGAGTACAAAGCACTGGTGGCTGCTGTCGGCAACAACCCTGTGGCTGTGGTGCGTTGAACTTCATCTCAGTCTCTGACGCCGTCTTGAGATGCCTCACCCCACCAGCGATAGCTTTCTTTGAATGCTTCGCTCTGAAGTGGAAGGTGCTGGCGGACATGACCAAGACTGTACATGTGGCCGCAAACCCATGAAATAAGATTGGTCTAGTCCATGATCGGCCATCTGCTGGGCAACCTATTAGCCTGGCCCAAAAATCGGCCTCAATTAAACCCCTGATTCCCGTGCTTCCTGCCCCGTTTCTTCCCTTTCCCACACACCGCAGCTGAAGATGAATGCCACCAAGTCCATGATCGGTCATCTGCTGGGCGCGGCAGTGGGTCACCCTCACTTTCGTTTCCTAACTCTGCTCTTTCCACCCCTTTCTCCCTTTCCCACACACCGCAGCTGAAGATGAATGCCACCAAGTCCATGATCGGCCATCTGCTGGGCGCGGCAGGAGGAGTGGAGGCCATTGCGACTGTTGGGGTGAGTTTTATGTGTTTCATGTCTTGTGAACTGGCTCAAAGGTTTCTAGTGTACTCTTCTGACGCCTCAGGAGGAGGAGTGGAGGAGGGGAGTGATACTGTCGGAATGCGATTAGCGAGCCATTGCTGGGTGCTTCCAAGCCAGTGCTTTTGTGATGCCTTCTATTCCTGCTGCTTCATGCACACCTCTCTCCCAACCCTCTTCGTTCCTCTCTCTCTCCCTTTGTGCATTGCCCCACATTTCCTCCATATTATACTGCCCTCCCTATTATCTGCCATCCATTGGGCCCCACATAATCCCCCACCCACTGCCCCCCATATTGCCCACCATTGCCCCCAGTTTTACCCAATACCTGTCCATTGGCCGTCCACACACAGGCTACCTCCACCCCAGCCTCTGGCACTGGATTCCAGCGTTTCATGCACCTCCCGCCCAATGCATTGAGGTGACTTTTGAGTCGACTCAAAAGTCACACACAGGCTACCTCCACCCCGGCCTCTGGCACTGGATTCCGGCGTTTCATGCACCTCTCGCCCAATGCATTGCCCCATATGTCCCCCTTCCCCTTCCACCACCCCCATTGCCGCCCATTGCCACCCATTGCCCCCTGTACAGGCCATCCACACAGGCTACCTCCACCCCAACCTCAACCTGGAAAACCTTGAGGACGGCCTGGTAAGGGGTAGCTGCGGGCATGGGAGCAGTGCAGGTACGTTGTGAGCGGGGATTGGTAAGGGGCACCCTAGTTGGCCTCATTACCCTCCCTACAGGCCATCCACACAGGCTATGTCCACCCCAACCTCAACCTGGAAAACCTTGAGGACGGCCTGGTAAGGGGTAGCTGCGGGCATGGGAGCAGAACAGATAGGATGTGAGCAGGGACTGGTAAGGGGACACCCCAATTGGCCTCATTGCCTCATCCAGGCCATCCATGTAGGCTACTTTCACCACTTTTCTCTCGATGTGTGCACTCGTAAGCCTGTACTCTTGTTCCCACCGTTTCCTTGCTTTATTCTTCTAATATCCAAAGTTTCATCACTAGCCAAGCCCCAGTGGAAAATCAGTTGCCATGATTTGAGTTTGTTTCTAGCATACCTCGATCTCCTCCTTCATCCCTTATGATATCCAACCAGGACGAGCGCTACTTTGTGCGTGACACAAAGGAACGCTTGGATGTGAATGTGGGGCTCTCCAACTCGTTTGGTTTTGGCGGCCACAATTCGTCCATCCTCTTTGCGCCATACCACCCAGAAGGAATCCATGCTCTAGTGGCAGAACGCAATGCTCAAGTTTGAGCTCGCCTGCTGCAAAATGGCAGCTTCGGCATCCAATCTTTCCGTTGTATTGCTTTGAACATTCCGTCACATGCATGTCCCCTCACTTAGCTGTCCCCTTCACGTCGCCAAACATTTTTTGGGAGGTCTTCCCAAAAAAAAAAATGCTCAGTACTTGAAGTATTGCTCTCCTAATAGAGGAGGTCAGGTCCTTGTTTAGCTCATTTGTAGTTCAACAGTCACCTCCCAATTCATGAACGATTGTTACAGTATGAATGACATTGTCGACGTGTATATTTACGTGAGTTTTGTCGGTGGGCCTGGGCCAAAGGCGAACCTTCCTTGCACTCGGAGTGTTGTTCGATTCGTCGTCGCATCCGACCAATCGCAAGCGAACTCGACGGCGAGGACCTCAGTCTGACCGTCGATTTACAGGCGACAACCATTCGTTTTGAAAAGTCCTCCAGACTTTCCCAGGCGCATTGGCTTGGGTTGGTTGGTTTTCGCTGGTCAACCGCGCCCCGTGCAAGTTCCGCGCGCGCAGCGCGCGCGGATGCCGAGTTGCAGCAGATCCAGAAAGTGGGCGCAACAGCGGAACCGCGCGGATTCACGCATTCCCGCCATCCCCATCACCACCAACCTCGATATTACCGCACGGGAAAACGTAAACCAACCTCGGGAAATGATCGTCGTGATATCACCATCACACAACCTCCAGCTTGCTTCTTGTGCCTCTATTACGGTGTCATTGTCGTGAGGATATGTGGCCGAAGGGCGCGTCGTTGTTTGAATTTTCATGGTTTCCTGCTGGCGAGAACGCAAAACTTCTTAGTGCTAGACTGCCATTTCTGATCTCAATTGATCGTTAGATTAAAATGCATTCGGAGGTTGCCATACGTAGCCCATGCTCTTTATGAGCCTAACTCTTAACGAGAATGTGTATCTGGGCGCGAGCTAGCATACGGCTCGCGGAACAGTAGCGAGTTTTGCGTTCAGAGGTACCTAGGGGAAATTCACGATGCAGATCGTCTTTTGATGTGCCTAATAAGTAACGAAGACGAGTCGCGATGCAGATGGTTTTATAAGGCAGCCTCGAAACGTACCTGGGAACGTCGCGAATCGCGATGCAGATTGTGAACGGATCGTTGCCGCGCGTGAAGCGGCGGAGCAAGCCCGCGAGCCCCACGGAGCGATTATGGACCTTGATGGTCATCTGCGGAACCATGCTTTTCTTCGTCTTCCTCCTCATCCTCTCAGGTAAGTTTAGTCGACTTACATGCCATGGAGCTGTTATGGAGCATGATGGTCGTTCATTTTGGGATCACTTTTAAGAATTCTCTCGTATAAAAATAATAGCATTTATTAGAATGCGCAAAATGTTTCCTATGAAGCGGTTATGAACCATAATGATCATCTCCGGGACCATTCTCTTCTTTGTCTTCCTCCTCCTCCTCCTCTCAGGTGCTTCTCCCTTCCTCCTCCTCCTCATGCTCCTCCTCCTCCTCCTCCTCCTCCTCCTCCTCCTCCTCCTCCTCCTCCTCCTCCTCCTCCTCCTCCTCCTCCTCCTCCTCCTCCTCCTCCTCCTCCTTATGATCCTCATGCTCCTTCTCTCCTCATCCACTCAGGTGCTTCTCTCTTTCTCCTCCCCCTCCTCCTCCTCCCTTCCTCCTCCTCGTACTCGCTGCAAGCATGTTGCTGTGAGGGCATCAGGCGTCTCACGTGCCGTCCTTTTGCCTGCTGAGTTGACGAAGTTGCAACTCGGGGCGTTGCTGACTTTCACTCAGAGTCAGAATCTACATCTCCTTTCCCGTCCCTAAATCCCCACTCAGAACCCCTCCCCCACTCCTCCCTCTTCCCTTCCTTCCCTTTCCCTTCCCTCACTTCGCTCTCTCCCCCATTCCCCCCTCCCTTCTGTCCCTTCGCACCTCCCCCCTCCCCTTCACCTCCCCCTTTCACCAGGCACGTCGCCCAAGAGCGAACAGACAGCACCAGTGCTGGAGGTGGGGACAGCATCGGACAGTGTGCGGCAGCGCATAGCCGATTCAGAAACCCAGAGCACCTACTTGGGTGTGAATTCGACTCAAAATCTGCATGAACCCTCCTTCCCGCCAACCCCACTGCGGCCCACCTTCCCTACCCCCGTACTTCCCCTTCCCCCTCCCTCTCCGATTCCCCCTCCCCCGTCACCAGGCACGTCGCCTAAGAGCGAGCAGACGGCACCAGTGCTGGAGGTGGGGACAGCACCAGACAGTGTGCGGCAGCACATAGCCGATTCAGACACTCAGAGCAGCAGCAGTGGAGGCCATAAAGGAAAGGAGGACTCGACTGATTCCGGCGGGAAACTCCAGATATTCTCAGGTTGGTTTGATCCTTTGTTTGTTTGTTTGTTTGATTTTCTCAAAGCTATAACACATTGTTTCGAGACGAGCACTTCTGCCTTGTTGCTCAATACGGGTTTGTGGGTTGGGAGCAGAGCAGTGAGTGCGTTTTGTTGTTCCTGCCAAAAGGGGCGTTTTGTTGTTTTGTTGCTGTTTTTTTCTCGTTCACTCTCTCATATGCTGCATCCATCCCCTTCTCCATCTCTCACGGACGAGCCCCGTTTTCTAGGCGCCTGAACAATAATAGCAGTTTTAAAACCCTACCCCTTTTTCTCCCATGCAGGTGCCATGGCGGGTATGCTGAGCAGCGACGAGCCCTTCACGCTGTTTGCTCCCTCAGATGACTTCCTATTGGACATCAGCAGCGTCTTTCACAAGTACCCCAGAACAAAGGAAATGGTGAGGGTCGTTCATTTGAGATTCTTCGATTGTGACGTGTGTTGTTGATGTTTCTTATAAACACCCCCCCTTCCCCCCCCGCCCCTACCTCCCCCCACCTGTCTCGCTTCCCCATGCCCTTCACTGTCTGCCCTTTGCCCTTCCTCCCCCTGTTGAGTAGGCTAGTGGGCTATTCCTCCCAGTCGACTTTTGAGGTGCCTCAAAAGTCTTCCCATACCCTTCACTTTCTGCCCTTTGCCCTCCCCATGTTGAGTCGGTTAGTGGGCTACTCCGCCGTGCCTCGCCGCATTCCAGCAGCCAACGTGCCTTTGGGAGCCACCCTCTCGCCCCCCCCTTACCCCGCTCTCTACGGCCCTTCTCTCCCCCTTTTACTTCCCTCCCCCCTCCTCTCCTCTAGATCGACCCCATGATGAGTCGGCTAGTGGGCTACTCCGCCATACCTTGCCGCATTCCAGCAGCGGACGTGTTGCTGCCATCCTCCCCTCTTTCTCTCTCCCCATACCCCCCACTTTCTGCCTTATGCCTTTCCCCTCTCCTCTAGATCGACCCCATGTTGAGTCGGCTAGTGGGCTACTCTGCTGTGCCTCGCCGCATCCCAGCAGCGGACATCCCGCTGGGGGCGTTTGAGCGGTTGGAGTCGATAACAGGGTTTATCATCAACGTGGGGAGGGACCCGCGCACTGGACGGATTTTCGCAAATGGTGTTCCGAGCAAGCAGGTGAGGTTTTTTGGTGTACGGGTCGGGCTGGGTTCTGTGCAGCAGGCGAAGGTGGGTAGCGAGTGAGTGTGAGTGTGTGCAGCATCCCAGCAGCGGACATCCCGCTGGGGGTGTTTGAGCGGTTGGAGTCGATAACAGGGTTTATCATCAATGTAGGGAGGGACCCGCGCACTGGACGGATTTTCGCAAATGGTGTTCCGAGCAAGCAGGTGAGGTTTTTTGGTGTATGGGTCGGGCTGGGTTCTGTGCAGCAGGCGAAGGTGGGTAGCGAGTGAGTGTGAGTGTGTGCAGCATCCCAGCAGCGGACATCCCGCTGGGGGCGTTTGAGCGGTTGGAGTCGATTACAGGGTTTATCATCAACGTGGGCAGGGACCCGCGCACTGGACGGATCTTTGCCAACGTGGTGCCGAGCAAGCAGCTGCGAAGTGTGGGTGCGTCTGGGAGAAGTATGCGGGGAGGTGCCTCTAGGGGGCGTTTGAGGGGTTGGAATCGATCACGGGGTTTATCATCAACGTGGGCAGGGACCCGCGCGCTGTACGGATGTATGCCAATGGTGTGCCGAGAAAACAGGTGCGCTGTGTGGAGTGCCCAGAATGGTTTTGAGCGGTTGAACTCGGTTTTGGACCTCATGAGCCTTTTATGAGGGTTTTACGTTTCAGCACTCGAAGGTTGAATGCTCACTTTGTTGTCGGAATGCTCGGCCAGCATGACGGCGTCCTGAAGCATTACCCCTCCCTCCTCCTGATGATTGAAGTGGTTTGAGACTTTTTGTGACTCTGTCATTATTGAAAAGGCTGAATGCTCACTTTGTTGACAGGATGCTGAAGCATCAGCGCTCCCTCTCTCCCATCCATCTGCCAGGTTGACATCCTAGAAGGCCAGCTGGTGGTGCATCTGATACATAGCATGCTGGGGCCGTGTTTTGAGTCGACTCAAATCACCTCTCCCTCCCTCTCTCCCATCCATCTGCCAGGTGGACATCCTAGAAGGCCAGCTGGTGGTGCATCTGATAGATGGCATGCTGGGGCCGCTCGACTTTGTGGAGTCGGTGAGAAGCATGGACCCTGATGATGTCAGCATGGAGGCAGCTCTTGAGCAGGAGTTTAATTCTGGGGCGTTTGTGCGCGGCAGTGAGAGCAGTGGGGGCGGGGGAGGGGGCGGGGGAGGGGCTGGGGGAGGGGGAGAGGGAGGCGGAGAGGGCGGAGGAGGAGGCAGCGGGAAGGGTGGGGACAAAGGAACTAGGCAGGGAGAGTCTGGGCAGGCTGCGCAGGGAGAGCAGCAGCAGCAGCAGCAGCAGCAGCAGCAGCCGGGAGGGGACGGTCAGGCAGAGAAAGTTTTCTTGCCTGAGGAGCAGACAGATCTGGGTGCTGCTGTTGCTGCCGCTGCTGCTGCTGCTGGCCTTGGTCTTGGTGGTGGGGATGGAGCAGGAGGGGGAGGGGGAGGAGGAGGAGCTGAAGGGGAAGCGGGTCACTCTATAGAGGGACAGGGAGAGAAGCAGGGTGGTGCTGGGAATGCAGCAGCAGGGGAGGGCGGTGGGGAAGCAGTGGTGGCAGCAGCAGGGGCGGATGGCACACAGAGGGAGCAAGGGAAAGGCAAGAGCGACGGCACGGGCAGCAGTGGAAGTAGCAGTGGCAGTGCCGGTAGCAGTAGCAGTAGTGGTAGCAGTGGCAGTACTGGCAGTATTGGGGCTGCAAATGCTGGTATGGATAGCGATGCGCGTAACAGGGACGAATTCGTGCACGAAGGAAACGAGCTTCTAGAGGCAAACGAGGTGGACAGTATTGAGGATGAACCCGGGGACGAGGGGCCTGGGGGAGGGGGGGGGCGAGGGAGGCGGGGAGGGGGCGGGCGGAGGCACGGCAGGGGCAGGGCAGGGGGGGAATGGCACAGGGACTAAAGCCCAACCGGCTGGGTTCGGATGGAAGAGATTATATGCTGGTCTGCCAGGGGTGGTGCTATGGCAAAAACAGAATACAACAGGGGCGGAGGGAGGAGGAAGAGCAGGTGGAGGAGGAGGTGGTGGTGGGGAAAATGGGGGGAATGGGGAGGGTGGGGGTGCTGCAGCGGGTGGGTTTCAGTGGTTTGGGTTTGGGAAGGGAGGCGCAGCTTCCAAGAAGGAGCCGGAGGAGGACCCTGTGGATAATCTGCCTGTGTTGAAGCCGGAAGTGATTGCTCAAGAGCAGGTGCGGTGGGGTTGCTGGGCTCTGGGCACAGGTAAGTGTGTGGGGAGCAGTTGCGGTGGGGTTGCTGGGCTCTGGGCACAGGTAAGTGTGTGGGGAGCAGGTGCGGTGGGGTTGCTGGGCTCTGGGCACAGGTAAGTGTGTGGGGAGCAGGTGCGGTGGGGTTGCTGGGCTCTGGGCACAGGTAAGTGTGTCGGGAGCAGGTGCGGTGGGGTTACGTCTGGGTCAGGGCTGGTTTGAGTGGACATCAAACACACTCAGAGGACCCTGTGGATAATCTGCCTGTATTGAAGCCAGAAGTGATTGCTCAAGAGCAGGTGCGGTGGGGTTTCTGGGTTCTAGGCACAGGTAAGTGTGTGTGTGGGGAGCAGGTGCGGTGGGGTTTCTAGGTTCCATGCACCTGCAAGCGTGTGGGTAACAGGTTTGGTGGGGCTTCTGGGATTCTACGCACCTGCGAGTGTGTGGGTAACAGGTTTGGTGGGGTTTCTGGGTTCTAAGCACATGCATGCAAGTGTGTGGGAGCAGGTGTGGTGGGGTTTCTGGGTTTCTACGCACCTGCAAGTGTGTTGGTAGCAGGTGTGTTGGGGTTTCGTCTGGGTACTGGTAACTGGCGGGGTTGGTTCAAGCTGACACTAAACACAATTGGATAATTACAGCGGGAAGACGCTGTGGATAATCTTTGTGTACTTAATCCACGTGTAAAAGGTGAATTTCTGAGACGTCTAAAAAAATCACTTTTTACACGTATAATCACAATGGGAAGACTCTGTGGATAAGATCATCTTTGTGTACTTAAGATTGGTCGCTGACTTTGATAATCTTCCTGTGAACCCACCCCTGCTCTCATGCTGTGACAACCTCCCTCCCACGTGTCATGTCAGGTGCGCGAGGAGTTGACTTGTGTTGACTTCAGGGGTGTTTTGTGGGTCAAACTTAAAATCGGTCTCTGAGTTGACTCAGAACTTACCTCCGTCCGTGGTTGTGCTGTGATTCTCTCCCTCCCATTATCAGGTGACTTTTGAGGCGCCTCATAAATCTCCCTCCCATCCCATCATCAGGTGCGCAAGGAGGAGAAGGTCAAAAGCCAGGAGTAAAAGTTGACTACAGGAATGATTATCTTGTCGACTCAGGAATGCTCTCTGCTGAGTTGACTCGGAAATTACCATCAAGTGGTTGATGTGACCTCCCACCCATCAGGTGCGCGAGGAGGAGAAGGCGAAGCCAGGAGTGGAGGTGGACTTCAGGGGAGCACACAAGGGAGCATGTGAGTGGTGGGAGATAGACACGAGCAGGTGTGGAGTGGTGCTGATTGGTGCTGCTGCGTGGTGCTGGGTTGTGAAGGGGAGCACACAAGGGAGCATGTGAGTGGTGGGAGATAGACACAAGGAGGTGTGGAATGGTGCTGATTGGTGCTGCTGCGTGGTGCTGGGTTGTGAAGGGGAGCACACTAGGGAGCATGTGAGTGGTGTGAGATAGACACGAGCAGGTGTGGAGTGGTGCTGCTGAGTGTGCTGGGGTGTGGAGGGGCGCACAGAAGGGTGCATGTGAGTGGTGGTGGACACGAGCAGGTGTGGAGTGGTGCTGGGTGGTGCTGGGCTGTGAGAGGGAGCACACAAGGGAGCATATGAGTGCAGCTGAGCAGTGAAGAGGGGTCCTCTTTTCAAGATTGCAACTGTCAGTGTCTGTGGGCTTTGAAAGGGCATCAACTTTCTTGGTTACAGAGAGGTCCCTCCCTCTCCATGAGCGTTACTTTCTCAACTTAAGTCAATTCCAATCCAGGCCTAAGTTTTCCCTCTCACTGTTGCTCCCCCCCACACTCCCTGTTGCTCGTTTTCTCCCTGGATCCCTTCCTCTCCTTTCGAGTCGACTCCAAAGTCACCTCGTTTTCTCCCTGCATCCCTTCCTCTCCTTTCCCTCCCAGCTGTTATCGAGGTTCCTCCTTCCGTGGATCCCACCAAGCTCCCGTGTTTGGGCCAGGGCATTCTGCATCATCTTGTGTCTCACGCTAGTCCCTCCCACCCCACACGTGCCCTGTCCCTTTTTTCTCTACCTCCCAGCTGTTATGGAGGTCCCTCCTTCCGTGAATCCCACCAAGCTCCTGTGTTTGACCCGGGGCATTCTGCGTCATCTTGTACCTCTTTGGAGTTTGGAAGGGAGAGAAAAACTCCCTCTTCCTTTTTCTCTCCCTTCCACGGCTCCACTCTCTCACATCCGTTATCGAGGTGCCTCCACCTGTGCACCCCACCAAGCTGCTGTGTTTGGACTGGGGCAGGCGATAGCTTCTGCCCTCTCTCAAGACAAGGCAACTCACCCCCCTCCTCTCGCACCCTCCCTGCTCCTTCTGCTTTGCCTTTCCCGTCACTTCTCCTTTCCCTCTCAGCTGTAATCGAGGTGCCTCCCCCTGTGGATCCCACCAAGCTACCCTGTTTGGGCCGGGGGTAGGCAGCAGCAACTTGTGTCTCACTCCCTCTTCCGTTTTTTTTTTTTCCTTTTTTTTTTTTTTTTTTTTTTTTTCGCTTCCACTATCTCTCCCAGCTGTTATCGAGGTGCCTCCCCCTGTGGATCCCACCAAGCTACCCTGTTTGGGCCGGGGGTAGGCAGCAGCAACTTGTGTCTCACTCCCTCTTCCGTTTTTTTTTTTTTCCTTTTTTTTTTTTCCGCTTCCACTATCTCTCTCAGCTGTAATCGAGGTGCCTCCACCTGTGGATCCCACCAAGCTACCCTGTTTGGGCCGGGGCATTCTGCAGGCAGACAGCAAGTGCATCTGTGCTGTGCTCTATGGCGGGGATAACTGTGAGGTGAGTTCTGTGACTGAGGTGGTATCTGTGAGGGAGGTAGAATAACTCGTCCTTGAGTCGACTCAATAGGTGATATCTGCAGGCAGACAGCAAGTGCATCTGCGCTGTGCTCTATGGGGGGGATATCTGTGAGGTGGGTATGTGAGGGAGGTAGGTGGTAATTCTGAGGCCAACAAACAGCATTCTGCGGTGGCCAGACAGCAAGTGCATCTGTGCTGTGCTCTATGGGGGGGATAACTGTGAGGTGGGTGGTAATCTTGAGGTGGGAGGTAGGTAGGTAGGTCTTATCTGTAAGGTAGGGTGACTGGTACTTGAGTCGACAGTATCTATACCCCCACATTGCTAGCTACCTGCTCAGCTCACTCCTCAAGCCCTCGTGCCCTGCTCTGCAGCTTACCTTACCTTCGCTTATCAACGCCCTCATCCTTCCTTCCCAGATTTCCTGTTGTTGTGTGTTAGCCCGGGTAGCCTGGTGACAGGAAACGCACAACACTGACAAGCTCACAGTCAACCCGTTCGTGGGAAGCTACCTGCTCACTGCACAGGCGCTCATCCCCTACAGCCTTTCTTACCTTTCCTTCCCAAACCTCCCATTCGCGTCCATTGCCCTGTAACATGGTAACAGGAGACCCGCAACACGGACAAGCTGACTGTTGACCCCTACGTGGGAAGCTACCTGCTCACAGCACAGGCCCTCATGCCGCCACCGCCGCCAGCAGCAGGAGAGGAGGGAAGCAGCGGAGGGGGAGGAGGGGGATCGGCTACGCGATCCGCTATGCTGCTGGAAGGGCTGTCGATTGAAGAGAGGCGGCAGCTGCGGGCTGTGCTGCCTTTGACAGACATCTATCAGACCACTGTGAGTGACTGATGTTGAGTTGAGTCGACTCACAAAAGGGGGGAACTGGGGGGGGGGGGGTCGGCTGCGCGGTCCGCCATACTGCTGGAAGGGCTGTCGATTGAAGAGAGGCGGCAGCTGCGGGCTGTGCTGCCTTTGACCGACGTATACCAGACCACTGTGAGTTCATTCTGTGGGAGGGTATTGGACCTTTACCAGACCTTCAGAGTTGGAGCATGATCTGTCTTTCTGTCGCGCTGCTTCTGAGAGTCTCCCCTGCCTGTCCTCTATACAAATTCAGGGTTACACCTAAACCAGTCTCTCTGACTTCCACCTCTCTCTTGTTGTGCTTATGTTCCTTTTCTTCCAGGTGTGCCTTTTCTTTTTCTCTCTGACACTACACGCCGCTGTTGAGTGTCTTTCCTGCTTGTCCATCTGTTTTCCCAAATGTATTGTTTTCTCTTCCCGTTTGTTTTTCTGCTTTGATTGTTTTCTCTTCCCGTTTGTTTTTCTGCTTTGATAACATGTTCACCTGTTACAGGTATGGGAGACGTGTGCTGTGGTGGGTAATTCGGGTGCGCTTCTGCTGAGGGAGGATGGGGAGGAGATTGACAAGCATGACATGGTTTTGCGCTTTAACACAGCACCCACTAAGGGGTACGAGAAGCAGGTGGGTGCAATCGATTCCAGGGAGATTGACAAGCATGACATGCATGCTTTTGCGCTTTAACACAGCACCCAGTAAGGGGTACGAGAAATAGGAGGGTGCAATGCAATTGATTCAAGGGACTCTAGATATTTAGATATCTAGAGAAACGATGAGGACATTCACAAGCATGACAAGACGTTTCTGTGCCTTATAACGCAGCACCCACCCACTATTCACACCCCCCTCAGGTGGGGAGGAAGGCTACGCTTCTCCTAAGCGTGCCAGACAAGGAGGGTTCAGAGAGGCTTAAGAGACAGTAGTATGTCACCTGTACCTGCAACTGCAATCCAGTTTACCCACCCCCGCCGCTCCCCCCCCCCCCCCCCCCACTCCCGCCAACCCCTCTTCTCCCCCTTCCTTCATCTAACCCTCCCTCCTCCTTCAGGTGGGGAGGGGAGGAAGACCACGATTCGCCTGAGCATACCAGACAAGGCGGGTTTCAGGGAGGGCAACGAGACTGTGGTATACCACCTGTACCTGAATCCCCTTATCCTTTTCCCCACCCCCCATTCATCTACCCTGCGTCAGGTGGGGAAGAAAACCACGCTCCGTCTCAGCATACCTGACAAGGCGGGTTTCAGGGAGGGCAACGAAACTGTGGTATACCACCTGTACCTGAGGGGTGTGAAGGACGAGTTGCAGCATCTTCTCAACTTCAAGCGGGTCTTCAGGGAGGGGCCTTTATACTTGCTGGACCTGGGATTTGAATCACAGGTGGGTGCGAGTCACTGTGCAGTGCTGAGCGGTGCTGTGCTGTGCAGTGCTGTGCAGTGCTGTGCGGTGCCCTACACTGGGCAGTATACCACCTGTACCTGAGGGGTGTGAAGGACGAGTTGCAGCATCTTCTCAACTTCAAGTGGGTGTTTCGGGAGGGCCCGCTCTACGTGCTGGACCTGGGGTTTGAATCGCAGGTGGGTGTGGAAGTCACTGTGCTGTGTGGTGCTATGCGGTCCTGCGCTATACTGTGTGGTATTCGAGGGGAGTGAAGGATGAGTTGCAGCATCTGCTCTGGTTCAAAGCGGGACTTCCGAGAGGGGCCGCTCTATGTGTTGGACCTAGGGTTTGAATCTCAGGTGGGTGAGGGAGTCACAGGTGTGTGAGTGTGTGAGAATAACATGCACTGCGCGCGACACCGCACGCGTAACGAACCTGAGGGGAGTGAAGGACGAGTTGCAGCATCTACTCAAGTTCAAGAGGGTGTTCCGGGCGGGGCCTCTTAACATGCTGGACCTGGGGTTGCCACGTGTATGAAGATTGGTGTTGAGACGTCTCAAAACCAATCCTCTTAACATGCTGGACCTGGGGTTTGAGTCGCAGGTGGGTGCGAGTCCCAGGTGAGTGTGTGTGTGTGTGAGTGTTGACCTTTTATGTGCTGCCATCACCTCTCCCAAGCAGTCCTGTATTGATATTGTTCATAAGTTACAGGCATGGCAGGTGGTCTTAACTAGCTAGACTAAGTGCATGCCACCAACAAGGTGGCTTGTGTTTTTTGAGAATTCTCAAAAAACACATTCAGCAACCAGGTGGCTATGCTATGCCATCACCTCTCCCACTCTCCTTCGCAGGTATTCAACACCTTTTGGGGCATTCACACCAGTGGGATACGTGGGGATGCTCCTCCTTATTTATTTTTGTGAGAATTCTGGATGAGTCTCCTCAAACCTCTTTTCTGCTGCTACCGGCTCTCCCTCTCTCTCCCGTCCGCAGGTGTTCAACACCTTTGGCGCCTTCACATCAGTGGGATACGTGGGGACAGTCGTTGTATGTGATTCAGAAGTTTACTTTCTTAAGCGCGTCATATCCTTCCCTGCTGCCATGTTGCCTCCTCTCTCTCCCTTCCACAGGTGTTCAACACCTTTGGCGCCTTCACATCAGTGGGATACGTGGGGACAGTCGTTGTATGTGATTCAGAAGTTTACTTTCTTAAGCGCGTCGTATCCTTCCCTGCTGCCATGTTGCCTCCTCCTCTCCCCTCCGCAGGTATTCAACACCTTTGGCGCCTTCACATCAGTGGGATACGTGGGGACAGTCGTTGTATGTGATTCAGAAGTTTACTTTCTTAAGCGCATCATATCCTTCCCTGCTGCCATGTTGCCTCCTCCTCTCCCCTCCGCAGGTATTCAACACCTTTGGCGCCTTCACATCAGTGGGATACGTGGGGACAGTCGTTGTATGTGATTCAGAAGTTTACTTTCTTAAGCGCATCATATCCTTCCCTGCTGCCATGTTGCCTCCTCCTCTCCCCTCCGCAGGTATTCAACACCTTTGGCGCCTTCACATCAGTGGGATACGTGGGGACAGTCGTTGTATGTGATTCAGAAGTTTACTTTCTTAAGCGCGTCATATCCTTCCCTGCTGCCATGTTGCCTCCTCCTCTCCCCTCTGCAGGTATTCAACACCTTTGGCGCCTTCACATCAGTGGGATACGTGGGGGCAGTCGTTGTATGTGATTCAGAAGTTTACTTTCTTAAGCGCGTCATATCCTTCCCTGCTGCCATGTCGCCTCCTCCTCTCCCCTCTGCAGGTATTCAACACCTTTGGCGCCTTCACATCAGTGGGATACGTGGGGGCAGTCGTTGTATGTGATTCAGAAGTTTACTTTCTTAAGCGCGTCATATCCTTCCCTGCTGCCATGTTGCCTCCTCCTCTCCCCTCTGCAGGTATTCAACACCTTTGGCGCCTTCACATCAGTGGGATACGTGGGGGCAGTCGTTGTATGTGATTCAGAAGTTTACTTTCTTAAGCGCGTCATATCCTTCCCTGCTGCCATGTTGCCTCCTCCTCTCCCCTCCGCAGGTATTCAACACCTTTGGCGCCTTCACATCAGTGGGATACGTGGGGACAGTCGTTGTATGTGATTCAGAAGTTTACTTTCTTAAGCGCATCATATCCTTCCCTGCTGCCATGTTGCCTCCTCCTCTCCCCTCCGCAGGTATTCAACACCTTTGGCGCCTTCACATCAGTGGGATACGTGGGGACAGTCGTTGTATGTGATTCAGAAGTTTACTTTCTTAAGCGCGTCATATCCTTCCCTGCTGCCATGTTGCCTCCTCCTCTCCCCTCTGCAGGTATTCAACACCTTTGGCGCCTTCACATCAGTGGGATACGTGGGGGCAGTCGTTGTATGTGATTCAGAAGTTTACTTTCTTAAGCGCGTCATATCCTTCCCTGCTGCCATGTTGCCTCCTCCTCTCCCCTCCGCAGGTATTCAACACCTTTGGCGCCTTCACATCAGTGGGATACGTGGGGACAGTCGTTGTATGTGATTCAGAAGTTTACTTTCTTAAGCGCGTCATATCCTTCCCTGCTGCCATGTTGCCTCCTCCTCTCCCCTCCGCAGGTATTCAACACCTTTGGCGCCTTCACATCAGTGGGATACGTGGGGATCCAATTCGCCCTGCAGGTGAGCAGGTCATGTCTCTATGCGACTTGCTTGATTTAAGCACTTCTTTTTGGTATTATTGGATCTCTGTGGTTAAAGCGATCCAATTCTCTATTATTGGATCTCTGTGGTTCTTTCTCGTCTCAAGTGAAGGGACCTTCACTTGTCATTGGCACCCCAATATAATCACGTAGGTGGCGAAACAAGGGAACCCTGTTCGCCCTGCAGGTGAAGGACGCGTCTCCTCGAGAGGCACGGTGTGAGGCGCCACTACTACAACCGGGACAAGCGCAAGTGGCACAATTGGGACTGTGTCCCGCAGTTCTGTCCCTTTGTCTCCCTACTTCGGTCCCTTGTTAGCTTTCTTTGCTTTTCTTCTTTCCCTCCCACAGAAATGCGACCACATTAACTTCTGCCTATTTCTTTCTTACCAAGAGGAGCGCCGTGCGCCACCAGAACTACAACCAGAAAATTTTTGAGGCGCCTCAAAAGTCGTCTCATGTCTCGCGGTTTTGAGGCGCCTCAAAAGTCGTCTCATGTCTCGCGGTTTTGAGGCGCCTCAAAAGTCGTCTCATGTCTCGCGGTTTTGAGGCGCCTCAAAAGTCGTCTCATGTCTCGCGGTTTTGTGGCGCCTCAAAAGTCGTCTCATGTCTCGCGGTTGTGAGGCGCCTCACAAGAGGAGCGCTGTGCGCCACCAGAACTACAACCAGAAAATACTTCTGTTTTGTTTCTCACAGTTCTTGCCCCTCTTTGCTTTCCCCCCTTATTCATTCCATTCCATCCACAGAAGTCCCACCACATAGACCTCTATGGCTTATTCCTGAGCGAGAGGCACGGCGTGCGGCACCTCTATTACAACCCAACGAGCTTAGGATTTCCATTCCATCTCTTACATTCTCTTCACGTTTGTTTCTTTTCTTTCCCACCAACAGAAGTGCCACCACATAGACCTGTACGGCCTATTCTTAAGCAAGAGGCACGGCGTGCGGCACCACTATTACAACCGCGACGGGTACATGCTTTCCATTCCATCCCTTACATTCTCTTCACGTTTGTTTCTTTTCTTTCCCACCAACAGAAGTGCCACCACATAGACCTGTACGGCCTATTCTTAAGCGAGAGGCACGGCGTGAGGCACCACTACTACAATCGGGACGAGCAGATGCCGGCGCAGGTGACAATTGACCAGCTGGACCGGGAGTTCGTTCAGAGCATTGAGATCGCCGACGCGGAGCTTATGTGGATTGCAGATCCATGCCTTTACGGTGAGTGGGGAGAAGATGGGGAGGTGGGAGAGTGGGGGAGCAGGGCGCGTGACAATTGACCAGCTCGACCGGGAGTTGGTTGAGAGCATCGAGATTGCCGACGCGGAGCTCATCGCTGACCCGTGCCTCTACGGTGAGTGACTGTAAGGTTTGGTGGAGAGAGGGAGGTATAAGGAGCAGCTGGACCGGGAGTTTGTTCAGAGCATTGAGATTGCTGACGCGGAGCTTATGTGGATTGCGGAACCATGCCTCTATGGTGAGTGGTTTTACAGGGGAAGTGGGGGACGGGACAGGGGAGGAGGGGGTTGGGGGGGAGGGAGGGGGGGAGGAGGGAAAGATACGGAATGAATGCTCAAAAGAATGACGGCACCACTACTACAACCGAGACGAGCAGATGCCGGGGCACGCGACAAGCGAGCAGCTGGATCGGGAGTTTGATCAGAGCATTAAAATTTCTGACGCGGAACTTATGTGGATCGTTGACCCGTGCCTCTATGGTGAGGTAAAGTAAGGGGAAAAGGGGGAGTGGTGGTTTGGTGGAAAAGGGGGGGGAGGATACGAAATGAGGACTTCAGAGGAATATTTTGCACCACCCTGCTTCTCTCTTCTCCCTCCTCTCTCAGAGTGATGGAGGGCTGTTCATCCCTGTAGAATAAGTTTCTGCATGATGCATGATGGCTATGATGCATGCTGTACTGTAAACATCCTCTGCTCACTCTCCTATTTCCTCTCTCCTCTTCCCTCCCTCCCTCCTCTCTCAGACTGTCGAAGGTCGGTCCAGCGATGCAGCATGTGCATGCGAATCTCAGTGGACGAGTTGAGCCAGAAAACAGGTGCGTACGGTGCAGGTGGGTATAGTGCAGGTGGGTGCGGTGCAGGTGGGTGCGGTGCAGGTGGGTGCGGTGCAGGTGGGTGCGGTGCAGGGGGATGCAGTGATTGTGAGTGTGGCAGGGTTGGTATGGTATTATGTATGTCCATGTGCATGTTCACGTCTTGCCTGCATCTCATTAGACTTCTTGCCCCCCGCCCCCTCTCCCTCCTTTCCCATCCTCCCCTCCTCTCTCCACGGCTCCCCCCATCCCATCCAGAGTGGACGAGTCAGCAGCTGGCCTTAAATTTGCGCAGGGAGCAGTGGTGGCGGGAGTTCCTAAAGTGGCAGCTGGTGGTGCGGAGGAACTGAAGAAGAGTTCTTGCCCCCTCTCCTCTTCATCTCTTCATCCCCCCCCCTGCTCCCCCTGCCCCTGTCTCCCCCTTAATGCCCAAACCAGAGTGGACGAGTCAACAGCTGGCCCTAAATTCGCGCAGGGAGCAGCGGTGGCGGGAGTTCCTAAAGTGGCAGCTGGTGGTGCGAGAGGAGCTCAAGAAGAGCGTGCGGCTGCAGTTCCAGCTGCAGGCAGAACAGCGACGCATGCGCTCCTCCTCAGGCGGACTTGCAGGGGGGTCCCGCATGGACGGTTTGGGCGGAGATGGTACCGGTAAGAGTGGCAGAGGGAGAGGGGGGTTGGACACAGGTGGAGGAGCAGGAAGGGGGAGAGGAGCGGGGGGAGGGATTGGAGAGAGAGTAGGGGGAGGGAGTGGAGGAGGGGGGGGGGGGTCTGCCTGGGGAGAGTGAGGATGAGTATGATAGTATTGACTGGGAGCGGGTGGTGGTAGAGGACATGCTCGATAAGCTATCGATGCACGAGGTGCTGCTGTACTTTAGGAGAAACCACCTCACGATTCCGGACACGCGCGCTCAGATGCTCCAGGCAGTGAAGGCGCATTATTTCTTTCTGCGAGGGGAGCTGCAGAAGCAGAAGAACCGGCTATATCGCCCCTCCGACTGATTTATCAGGGTCTTAAAAAAAAAAAAAAAAAAAAAAAAAAAAAAAACTTCCATTTGTACCATGTACGGTATTTCAAGTTGTTGCCATATTTTAGTACTGGAAGAATTTTTATTCTCCTCCCTAAGCTGCCACAGTCCATAACCTTACAGAGTATCTCTCGAAATCAGTGATGAAGTGAAGGGACCAAGCCGTGAGAGGTCAAACCAGGGAAGGATTTAATAACAGAGTAGGTGTCATATTCAGTTAATTGTCGTCACATCTACTCACAGGCTTCATGGACCCATAGTGATTATTTACTAGGGGATTCAATTGACTGAACAGTGGTGTGACTTATACATAACCACAATATGCATTTGATTTTGAAGTAGCTGCTTAATCATACGCCTGGTGCTGTCTATATGACGCACCAGACGGGAATATACAGGCTCTGTACACCTCTTGCTGCCAATCTGGACACACAGCCCACTGATTTCAGGTGACTAGCCAGAATCTGTTGGAGCCAAAACCTGATCCAGCATGCGTCTCGTGGTTAGCAATTAGGTTTGGATACACCTGAGAGTCTATCCAATCGGGAGCAAGCAACGTGACATGACCGCGGGCAGTATAGAGCCAGGTCGGATCCAGCACAGTGCCATCTCGCTGAAGCCTAGCTCGCGCGAGCCGCAGAGAAACAAACACAACCGCGACTCGGTCCCTCCCTCTCGCCCTCCCTCCCTCACATATATGTTCAATCACTGCCAATTCCTCCCAACATCAAGCATTGGAACTAATCGAGCAGCAGTGAATTATCTCAAATCGACTGTACCCTACTCCAAACTCTGTATTGTAGTTCCATCCGACTAATCAGACACCCTCCCTTCTCACTTCTCATACAAGAATGGCTAGAGCCGTGCTTCTCGCGCTGTCCCTGGCGCTGCTGCTAGCAGTCGCCCGCGCCGGCAGCCCCCTGACGAGCGCCACCGCGAACGAGAAGCCCGACCAAAGCAGCAAGAAAGACGACGGTCTGATGACCGAAGTTCCCGCAGATATCGCAAAGCAGGCCGCGGCGGGCAACGCGGCGGGAGTCACCTACGTGGATACCGCGCAGGACTCGTTCTTCATGGCTGATGTGAAGAAGGCGGGATGGAACGCGCAAAAATGCCCGCCTGGTTTGAACAAGGAGCTAGCGGGAGCGTGCACGCCCAAGAATTGCTCCAAGGGCGGCATCCCCGCTAAGTGGAAAACCGCTTATCTGCAAAAGAACAAGCTGGGTTACGAGCTGTACGTGCCGGGTAATCCGCTGACGTTGCTCAAGGCGAACCCCGCGTCGTGCTGTAACACGTGCGCCGCGACGCCGCTCTGCACGTACTGGCAGTACATTCCCGATATCACCATCGACGGGAAGAAGGGCAAGGGCGCGTGTTATTTGATCCACGACCAGATTGATTTTACCTGTGGAGAAATGACCGCGCAGTATTCTACGGAAACGAAGCCCGTGAATCTGCAGGTGCGCATCGGCGGAGAGTGTAATCCTAGCGCGAAGATTCTGAACGACCCGCATTTGGTCGGCGCGCATGGCACGCATTTCGATTTCAACGGCCGCCCCGACAAGGCGTTCTGCCTGCTCACGGACCGCGATCTTCACGTGAACATGCTGCTGAGGGGGTATTACGACGAGCGCACTGATAGCGCCGCGCTTGTCGTTGACGGAAAGGCCGTGCACACGTGGATTAAGGAGCTTGGCATCGTCTGGACCGCTCAGGGCGCAGACCACAAGGTTCGGCTCGCGGCGCGCGGCGGCAAGCAGCAGGAGCGCGGCGACGGGTTTATGAAGAGCATCGAGATTGACGGTGAGGAGATCCCGAGGATGAAGGTTGGTGACACGGTGACGAGCGAAGGCGGGCTGACGGTTCAATTCCGCGGGCTCGAGAAGGAAGGACCGTTCGATGTGGATTATTACATGCTGACTGTCGACGGTCTGATTTCGCTGGATCTGCGCCTGCGCGTCGCGCACCCGAAGCTGCAGACCCCGACCGACGCCGAGGCGCATATCAACGTCGGGATTGCCGAGCTGGAGCACACAGAGGAGATCCATGGCGTGTTGGGCCAGACTTACCGCGCGGATCATGCGCAGCGCGCCGCGGATTTCCAGCGGTTGATCGCGAGCCTGCACCGTCCGATTTCGGCTGACGGGGTGGAGGGGAAGGGGTTCTTGGATGGTACACCCAGGTCGTATGAGGCGAGTGATGTGCTTGCTGTGGACTGCGCTTACACTGCGTATGGCCGCGCCAGGAAGGTTATGCCCGTACAACAGTTCCCGTAAAGAGTTGATTCGGTTACAGCACTTATACTTGTATTATACAGTGGGCTGCTTTGGATATTAGATTTGAAGATAAAGTGGGTTGATTTGTTTATTCTTTGGACGATGATATCAATGGGATGAGAAACCTTCATATTCATTGACTGAACCAGAAGGCTCAGATTCGAGATAGCTTCTGTAAGAGGTCATGCAAGCATGAAACGTACATTTTCCAACAAGGTCTACACAAGAAAGCAATAAATAAACGGGACAGAATCATGCACAGTTTTCGTCCAGTTGACGGTCAGTAGCAAATGTTCTGAGGCTGATCAGAACACTACTGAGCGTCAGCTGGGGCTACGGCAGTCAACTTCTAACAGACAACCTGTTCCTAGCCATCCTAGCCATAATTGGGCACTGTAGTCTACTTGGGCACGGTCGTGCCAGCGGGGATGAGAATCTTATCCACGCCATGCGCGATGAAGTAAGGCCCAGCGTACAGCCGCGCGATCTGGATGGTCGTCCACGCGGCAGCAGGCGCGTTCGGCCCCTGGGCGAACGACACGGCGTTTCCATTTTGAGGCGAAACCTTGTAGATGGCTTGCTTCAGTTGAGTCGCCAGCGGCTGCGACTTCTTGAGCGTGCTCAGCTGACGAACGGTTCGCTTCCGAGGGAGGATGTGGTACGCGGTAATATTGTAGATGGTGGGGATGTTTTTGCTATTAGCGGGGAGCTTCTTAGCGAGGGCTTGGGCTTCTGTGTCGCTGGGGAGGAGGATGGTGGCGTCCGCGAGGGCTGAGAAGTCGTATTTGGAGTTGAACGCGAGGCCGATGTAACGGTTGATGTCCTTGGCGTATTTCGCGTATTGCGGGTAACGCTTCGTGATGTTCGTCGCCATGTTGTTCAGCTCCGCCTTGAGCTGTGCCTTGGTGGGCTTCGGCAGCGGCGCTTGTGCGCTCGCGCCAGCCACACAGAGGGCGACGCAGATGAGCCCGAGCATGGCGAGAACGCGAGAATTAACCATCTGCGTGGTGTGGCGAGACGAAGGCTCTGCTGCAAAAGACAGAAGCTCTAATACTGACGAAGGACAAACTATTGGTCGGATAAACTTGAAGGTTAGGAATTGGGTGGAAATCAGGATCGAGTTGGGTATGGAGCAGCGAACGAAGAACCGTGTGTTGCGGCGGAGGTCAAGGAAGAGTGACTTGGCTGGATGGGGGAAGCAAATTGGTTGTGATGAGAATTGAGTTGCTGGCGAGGAATTTGTACGAAGTGGTGGGAGGGCTGTGGCTGGGCTTACGAAAATTGCGAGCAGGCGTTTCGCGAACTTGGGTCCAAATGACGCATTGAAACTCATCGCCAGCGGTGATCGCGGTGCGGCGAAGCAAGAATACAGCAACCTCGTACATTTCGGTGGAGAGAAGTGTGAGGCGTAGGGTAACAGCACGGACTGGGATGGATGGGAACCGACAACAGGGCGGCGAGGGAGGTGACGAAACTCTGGTGAAGGTGAGGGGTGTCCGCTGATGTGAACTAGCAGTTCTGGTTTGTCGTACTGATGGGAGTGTTGATTAGCGATGGCGTCCCGATGCCTTCCTCATTCAACGGCGATTGATAGGTATCCTCGTTAAAATCATAGAGGCTTTACCACACGAAATTACATAGTGTCGTAGTGGTTATGTAGAAATCGTTCACGACCCATAGAGAACTCGGAAGCCCACACACACAAAATCTACCACACCTTGCAGGCATGTCTCGAATTCTTGTTCACCTCTGAAGCATTTTCAACCGATCTGATAACGAATGTTAGCCCTTGACAACGCAAAGAAACGTTTCGAACCACCAGAATCATCGATACGAATGCAAGCCCAACCAGCACGCGTGAGTAATTTGGCACTAGATTGTCAGATTCTGTTTTTCTAGAGCCTGTCACCAAATGACACTGGAGCCCCAGTCGTTGGGCACGAGGTTCCATGTCCGCCATTCGTGTCTATTATTTTCACATTGGAGATTCTACTAGCGATTTTGGTCACACCAACAGGAGCCGCATCGATTCCGATGACATTCGCAGCACCACCAACTGCGGTCGCGACGATCGCACAGATTCCGAATTGCGAAAGCGACGATTGGGTTACGCGAGCAGCGAAAAGAGCGGCGTGAGCAACAGCTCTACGACTCACAGCGAGAGCCCGTCCCTTCGAGTGTCGGTCATAGAGGTACAATATTTACTGGTATTGAAATGTTACGTTTTCAGTGTCATTAGTGTACTTCTGTTACGAGATTTACAACAAATATATAGATTGCCGGTTTAGGGTAGGACGAAAGGGCCATTTTTATTTCCGTAAAAAAAAAAAAATTCCAGTTGAGTGTAGAGCTAGGAACCACGATCTTCTCTCCTCCTGCCACAGTGCATTCCCGCCTTTCCCCATCCCCTGTTCTAATCGGTTTCCCTTCTAGGCCTGAAGGAGTCACTAATTCCGCGTCGCCTCCCTCGCCCCTGTGGCAGCACCTGGTTCACCACGTGGGGCTGCGTACTGCCCTTTCCCCCAGCTGATGTTCCCTTGAGGTGTATTTTGAGGCGCCTCAAAAGTCGCCTCCTTCGCCCCTGTGGCAGCACCTGGGTCACCACGTGGGGCTGCGTACTGCCCTTACCCCCAGCTGATGTTCCCTTGAGGTTTATTTTGAGGGGCGCCTCAAAATTCGTCTCCCTCGCCCCTGTTGCAGCACCTGGTTCAGCACGTGGGGCTGCGTACTGCCCTTTCCCCCAGCTGATGTTCCCCTCCTCCATTTCCTTATCCCCCCGCCCTCCCTCCAGCACCTGGGTCAGCACGTGGGGCTGCACACGTGGCCGTCAGCAGTGGTGCTGGGATTGATTTCTACTTTCTAACACTCCCTTTCACCGTTCCCCAACCCTCTCCGCAGCACCTGGGTCAGCACGTGGGGCTGCACACGTGGCCGTCAGCAGTGGTGTTGGCAGAATACCTGTGGCAGCACCGGGGGGTGATACAGGGGAGGAGTGTTATCGAGGTACGTATGTGATAGAGAGTTTCTACATGTACATCTATTGAGTATGTATATGATGTTTTGTGACAGCAAGAGTTTTAGGTCCCCATCTGAGTGAGTGGGAGTGGTGATTGCTTACCTACTCTCTCACCCTTTTCTCACCTTCTGTTGCTGATTCATTCTGTGGCTCATTCGTGGTTCATTCTGTGGTTCATTCGCGGTTCATTCTGTGGTTCATTCTGTGGTTCATTCGCGGTTCATTCTGTGATTCATTCTGTGGCTCATTCGCGGTTCATTATGTGGTTCATTCTGTGGTTCATTCGCGGTTCATTCTGTGATTCATTCTGTGGCTCATTCGCGGTTCATTATGTGGTTCATTCTGTGGTTCTTTTCATGCCGGCACGGCAGCTAGGGGCGGGAACAGGCCTGTGTGGGATTCTCTGTGCCAAGCTTGGCGCACAAGTCACTCTCACAGACGCCCACTCGCAGACCCAGGTCAGCTGCTTCTTCTTCACACTCCTTCCTGTTTCTTTCCCAATACAATGGCCAGCTCACAAGTAAGAAACTCACTTCCTTCCACCAACGTGGTCCCCCTATCCTGTTCCCACCCGTTGCATGCTCCTCTGCTGTCTCAGGTTCTCTCCACCCTGCATCAAGCAGCAGAGCTGAACGGCCTCTGCTGTAGGGGAGAGAAGGGCTGTCAGTCACCAAAAGGAGAATCTGGGGGGTCTTTTGAGATGTCTCAAAAGTGCTCCCTCCAATCCCACTCCCACCTGCTGTCTCAGGTTCTCTCCAGCCTGCATCAAGTAGCAGAGCTGAATGGGTTCTCCTGTAGGGGAGTGGAGGCCTGTTCAGCATCAGGAAAAGAATCTGGGGAATATCGGGAGCGTGTTGAATCAGGGAAACTTGGGGAATTTGAACAAGCATCCTCACTGCCTGATGGGGGTGTGAGCGTGGAGCCACTCACCTGGGGCGACATGTCTCACCAGGTCTTTCAGCTGCCCCCTGCTGACGTCATTATAGGAGCAGACGTGCTCTATGATGCTTCAGGTGGGCTTCAGGTATGGTTCAGGCAGCTATGCCCTGTTTGGGCATCAAAACTGTTTTTTTTTGGGGGGGGGGGGGGGGGAGATCTGGGGAATCTGGGGAATCTGAGATATTTTGGGGAATTTGAGGGTGTATCGTCACCGCCTGGTGGGGGTGCGAGCGTGGAGCCACTCAATTTGGGCGACGTGTCTCACCAGGTCTTCCAACTGACCCCTGCTGATGTCATTATAGGAGCAGACGTGCTCTATGATGATTCAGGTGGGCTTCAGTTGTGCTTCAGGTGTTCTTTAGGTGTGTTTCAGGTGTGCTTCAGTTGGGCTTCATGTGTTCTATAGATGTGTTTCAGGTGGCTTCAGGCAGGGTGCATTATGGTGTTTGTTGCTTCAGGTGATTCTTCAGGTTGTGCTTCGCTGAGTGGTTCAATGAAGGGTGCTTTGGTGGATCTCCTGAATCTCTACTCTCTCCCTCTCTCTCCCTCACTCTCCACACACTCTCCGTGCCTCTCTCTCTCTCTCCCTCTCCTGCTGCAGCCTTTGACCCTCTCCTCTCCACGGTGCATCTTCTCCTAGGGTTGAAACGAGGCTCAGTCTTCATTACAGCCTATCAAGCACGCAGGTAGGACTGATCCCATGCCTCTGCCTTATCAGACACGCAGGCAGGATGAATTCGGCCTTCATGCAATCATGCTCACATGCCGACTCTCACCCCCCCGCTCCCAACCCCCGATTTCTTCCTCCCACCATGCGGCACCCATGCCTCTCTCCATCTGCTCATGCAGTCATGAAGTTGCTTCCTTCCATTCTCTTCCCCTCTCCCCATCCCCCATCCAGCACACATGCTTCCCTGAATCTCCTCATGCAATCATGGGGTCTGACATGCGTCCACATCCCCTCTGCCCCACCCTTCCTGCTCCCTTTACTCCCCCCATCCCCCATGCAACACGCATGCCTCTCTGCACCTCCTCATGCAATCATGCGACTTCACACGGCATCTTCTCCTTCCACTCTTCCCCCCCCCTTCTTCCCCATACCCTGGGCAGCACGCATGCCTCTCTGCACCTACTCATGCAGTCATGGGGCCTAACATGTATCCACATGGTATCAGCAGACGAGTTCATGCCGTCCAATAAGCTCGCGACTCTTGGCGGGAGCGAGATCTATGTTGCTGTAATTGCTACAGTGGCTGATTCGTAATTACCATCACACATGGTTGTACTGTACAGTTGAGTTGGGTATCAATGTAGCATGGTTGGTTCCGCTAGTTACATGTGGATGATTGTACAATAAGAGAGGATAAGCATATACAATTTTATTACTGAGTACGAGTTTTCATGCATGAGCGGTGGTGGCTCATCTGTGAGCTTCCCTCCTGTCATGCTGACTCATTTGCTCTTCATCCCCCATCAAAAATAGTATGTACAGCAAGCACGGCACCTTAATGTAGTGGTTTTTCAATATGCAGGTTTGGTGTAGTCCCCTGAACCCCATTTACCTGTTCTTATGAAGACAGACAAGAGCTGAAGCCCCTTTACAGCATTTGTGCTTACAAAAAATTATAATTTTTAAACACACATGTAGTGTTTTTTAAAATTGTGTATTGTGAAAGCGAAGCTGCTTGTACTGCACAATTGGCATCGTCGAAGCGCGCTAAACGCCCTTCTCCAACTACAAAAACCGTGGGTTGGAGCTCATTTCCCTCCACCCACGTTTCTCAATTTTCAAACGGCTCACTCAACATTTTCCGCTCGAGTAGTTTTTCCCTCCAAGCTGGCTAGGATTAAATCGCTTCCTAGAGGCGAGTCACCCTCTACTTTACTCAGCGACATTTTCAACTTCAATCGCTCAACGATGGCACCTACACCGACACTTAACAACGGGAACTCGTCAACCCCCGCTTCCGACTCCGACCGTAACGCCCGCGATTCTGCGGGCGAACGCCGTAACAAGCGTCGGGCAGAAGACGGACCTTCCGCCCCGACTGCAGTGGACGTGCTGCTGGGCGGGCTCGAGGTCCACAAAAACGCCGAAACCCAGCAGCACCCTTCGGTCCCTGTGGCGCCAGTGGCACCTGTGGCGCAAGTGGCGACAGGGACTGGCGCGGCACACGCGACTGACGCCGAGCACACGCCAGCACCCGCTGCTGGACCGTCGCGTCAGCGTCAGAGGAGGCGGACTGCAGTCTCCTCGTCTGACGCGACCGCCGCCCCTGCGCTGACGCAGGCGTTGACCCTGGACCAGGTCAACGCGCTGCTGTCCCTTCTACAGCAGCAACCCGTCAGCGTTACAGCCGCGGAAACTGCACTACCCGCCGCATCTGCGTCGGCTAAAAAAGAAACTGCAAAAAAGGAGAAAGGCACACGGGGAGCACGGACGAACCGGCATGACAACGACGCAGCGACTGCCGCTCCCCCTGCTCCAGCGGTCGACAACGACACCGACGACTCTGAAGATGAAGCCGGTGAGGCTCCAGTCAACAATGTTAATTTTATTGGCACGGAAAACCTTCCCCCCCTCCCTTCTTCTAATCTTACCTTCTCGGCGGCAACCTTCGTCAACGACTCCGTGCGAGAGCAAGCGGAGCTACTGGAGGACCTGCGGGCGTACCTGCTGCACGCCGAATACAAGGCGCAGCGCGGTGATCCGGCGGGCGGACTCGAACTCATCTCACACGCTCTCAACCTCATCGCGGGGCGTTTCGAGGTGCTTCAAGTGGAGGACGCCTCCGACTTTCGCACGGCGAAGCGCTTTAAGCTGTACCAGTAGAAGAGCCTGCTGACTTCTCGACCCTTCAAGCAGGCGGTCGCGGACATGGCGGCGATGGACAGTGCGGCAAGCGGATACGCTCGTGTCAACCGCGGCGGAAACAACGGGCCGATGCCGTTCTTACCCAAGCGAGGCCCCCCGCCCACGGCCAATTGCCGTGGGTTCCGGGGCTCATGCTTCCGCTGCGGCCAGCCGGGCCACGTGGCAAGTGCCTGCCCTCGGAACGGGCATGGAGGCCAGGGACCCGCTCCGGTGGTGTAGGAGCGGGCCATGAGACTAGGCGCTTGGGCGCTAGGCACGGTGCACTCTTGAGTGCGAAAACCGTGGGCAACCCTAGGGGTTTGCGATGGCAAGAGGCCAGCCCTAGTAAAGGGTGGGATAGGCTTGGGCCTAGGATAGGGAAGGGGAACAACAACCCCTCGGTCCCATATGTTGGCCACTTGGTGGCATGCTAGGAAAGCATTGCTATGTGTGTTGGTAGATTTTATAAAAACTACCTTCCTAAAGGCCTATGGTTTTGGCAAAGAGACTATGAAAATCAAGAGGTGGAGCAGAGAGGGAGAGAGACAGAGAGAGAGAGAGAGAGAGAGAGAGAGAGAGAGAGAGAGAGAGAGAGAGAGAGAGAGAGAGAGAGGGGGGGAGAGAGAGAGAGAGAGAAAGAGAGAGAGAGAGAGAGAAAGAGAGAGAGAGAGAGAGAGAGAGAGGGAGAGAGAGAGAGAGAGAGAGAGATAAGAGAGAATGAGAGAAAGCACAATGGACAACGGTGTCCATGGCCCTAGGCATCAGCCCCTACGCACTAAGGGCAGGCACAACCATGTCCTACCAAGTGGACGACGGGGCAAGAAAAAAAAGAAAAAAAAAAAGGGGAAACGAGGAGAAGAAGAGACATGCGTTGACATGCGTTAACATTCCCGACACATTCGTTGACATTTCATTCAATTGTTCATTCTCTTCACACCTTCGATCAATGGTTGCCCGTACAAGTACATGCACACGCATGCTTTAACGTGGAATACTCAAAGCTTATACCACTTGGCCTCAAATGTACAGGAGCACGACGGTGCGAGGCGGCATGCCACGACGATCCGTACGAATTTGCCGTTACAGACAGAACTATTACACACATGCGCGGTCGTCTTCGCGCGAAATTTGCGTGGTGGAGCTCATGGTGCCCCAGCAGCCTTGTCCTCTCCGTCATCGCCAAGGGTTACTGGTTGCCATGGAGCCACGGCCCACCGCAACATTTCCACGATCGCAATCATGTCGGGGCAAACACGCATGCCACGTTCACACGTACCGCCATCCAAGAACTCATAGAGACGGGAGCGGCAATTCCGATGGCCGCAACGGAGCTTACATGCATAAGTCCACTCAACGTGGTCGAGCAAAAAGACAAATGCAGGCTCATTCTTGATCTGAGGAAAGTCAACGCCAACTTGATCATCCCCAAGTTCAAGTACGAAGGGCTCAGCCGCGTCGCCGACCTTGCGCGCGTTGGGGACTGGATGTTCTCCATTGACCTCAAATCTGGTTACCACCACATCGACATCCACCCATCGTGCTGGAAGTTCCTTGGCTTTGAATTTGATAAGCGCACATACGCATTCCGTTCACTACCATTTGGCCTCGCGACAGCTCCATTCGTTTTCACGCAGCTCATCAAGCAACTAGCTCGGCGTTGGCGAGAACAAGGCATCCGAGTCGTACCTTACGTGGACGACATCTTATTTCTCTGCCAGTCGAAAGAGGACGCGCAAGCAACTTGCCAGCGGGTGATATTGGATCTTAAAGAGGCAGGCCTTGTGATAAACGCGAAGAAATCACAACTGTCACCATCGCAGCGTCTCCGATTCCTGGGCGTAGAACTCGAGACCGATACCGGCCGATTCTCCATCAGTCCGGACCGACGAGCCTCACTACATGCAACCATCCGGAACCTCCTGAGCGCAAGCAAGGCATGCCGACCAGTCCCGGTCCGCCACGTGGCCAGAATCACTGGCATGCTCGCATCGATGGGTGTCGCACTTGGCGCGACAGCTCGCGCATTCAGCCATGCTATGTTACAAGTGATCGACGACGCACCGTCATGGAAAAGCAGCGTCGTTATCCCCCCATCTGCAGCAGAAGAGCTCCAATTTTGGCTCGAGGAGTTCGACCGTTTCAACGGCGCACCTTTTCACGTCAAGAACAGCTACGACGCGGTAATCCACGTGGATGCCAGCTCTCATGGTTGGGGCGCCACTCTGACCACATTTCCGGGTGGCATCGAAGAAGCTAGCGCAACCATGTCAGAGCCGCTACGAGGAACGTCCAGCACGCGACGAGAGATCGAAGGCGTCCTTTGGGCGCTACAAACGTACGCGAACAAGATCAAGCAAAAACACGTTCTCGTGCGGGTGGACAACCAGGGCGTATTCTTCATCCTTCGCAAAGGCGGCTCTCACAGCCCCGACCTCACAACGGCATGCAAGAGCATCATCCGAACATGCATGGCGCTTGGCACGCGCTTGATCATTGAATGGATTCCGCGCGAGCTCAACACACACGCCGACGAGCTTTCAAAAATGGTCGACCACGACGATTACGCGCTGAAAACGCCGTGGTTCCGGATCTTGGAACGTCGTTGGGGTCCTCACTCCATTGACCTTTTCGCAAACTCCCGCAACACCCAACTGCCGCGCTTCTGTTCAAAGATTCCCCACCCGGCAGCCATTGCAGTTGATGCGTTCTCGATCGCGTGGACACCTGAAAACAACTTCGCCTTCCCCCCACCTCAACTGGTCCCAGCCGTCCTCCATCACGCACAACGCACCCATGCATCACTCACACTGATAGTTCCGCACTGGCCAGGCGCAAGCTGGTGGCCACTCTTGCAACCCTCCCCACGCACTTGGGCACCACACATCCACGCGCACATCCCTCTGACACACGGAAGCCAATGCCTAGACGTAGGGTCCCATTCAACTGCTTTTTCGGGCATGGGACTACCGCACAGCCCAATCATTGCACTGCGAGTGGCATTTGACTAATTCAAAATATATACACCTTGTGTTCAGATTTGCTCCCAAAGTTACACGACCAACTGATCAACATGCTCGCGCAGTCCCGCGCCGATTCTACGATCCGGACATATGAACCATACTGGGCCAAGTTTCGAGCCTTCTGCACAAAAGTGAACCTTCCATTCCTCCCGGCATCCGACATGACCCTTGTGCTATACCTGGTACACGCAATCCGACGCAAAGCCACCCTGTCCGTAGTGCAGCTAACCTGCTCGGCGGTCAGCTTCGCCCATCGCATGACCGGGAGCAAATGCCCGACAACCGGACCGTTCACCACCCAAGTCCGTGACTATGCAAAGCGACACTGCCCACGCCCTACTCGTCTGAAGGAACCCGTCTCGATCCAACAAGTCCAGGAAATGGCCGCGA